GGACGATAAAGAAAAGCAGTGGATTGGTTTAGATCATTGGCGGATCCAGACGGGGGGGGGGGGGGGCGGTAGGGGCGGTCGTTTCCCACCTCTTAAATCTCTGTCAGCGCCCCCCCCCCCCCAATTCAGTGCTCGTAGTTCACCTCCTATCACCAATTAGGACCAATGATAGTAAAACCCCTGTGAGCACACATTAACAGCATTCAATTGTGATATGAAAGGGTTTTTCTGCTAACAAAAACAAAAAAGTCATGACCACGTCCCCCTCTCCGGTGTTAATTTAGATGACCGCCCCCCCCCCCCTCCTCTCTAAAATGTGTGGCTGGATCTGCCCCTGGTTTAGATTGATAAATTTCCCTATGAGAACTCTAACGTCTTCTATTTGCTCATCATATGGTCTATAAGTAGAGGAAAAAAAATAAAGATTGATGTTTTAATTTTATATTTCGCGCCGAAATTTTCGCGCGTGATGCCACGCATTTGAAATTGTATTTATCGTGTTTTGGTGGCATCCCCCCAGCCCCCCCCCCCCAAAAAAAAAACAAAAAAAAACTGCCTACGCCCCTGCCGAGTTGCGGCGATCGCCAGAGAGTATATAGCAACACGGTAATATCGGCTAAAGGGCCACCGATGTTGCGCGTTCTTAGAACGGTTTACTTCCTACATTTGCCCCCAGAAATCCAATGACCAATGGCAGACCGTAGCAAGAAGCACGTCATCGCCTCGCTTTCATTCGTGCACCAATGGCGAAGCTTGCCGGGCTCACGTGATAGAAGTAGGGAGGGCCAGGAGTCTGCCATGACACTTGATATAACCCGTAAACTGAAGCTTTGGCGATAGTTATAGCGCGAGAACAAAACGACGACACAGAGACAAGAAGGACTTTCGTGTCTTTCGTGTCCTTCTTGTCTCTGTGTCGTCGTTTTGTTCTCGCGCTATAACTATCGTCATGCCATACCAACTAGCCCAAGCTGCCACACTTCTATGAAGCTTTGGGCTGTAGTTATTTTTGCATTGTAAAGCAGCCGCAATCATCGGCAGACATCAGGACCAGCGCAGTCGCGAAACCATCAAGAAGTTTCATTATGCATCAGCATGACATCTTTCTGTTTTAACGACCGACGATGGAATTATCTTTTTTTTTTTTTTGGAAAAGCACGTGTAATGATTCCTTCTCTACTGAAACGTTCCGTATGCGAGTCCAATAATTCCATATCTTTCCGTAAATAATACATAAGTTCCCATATATTTCCGTAAAATTCTTACGGAAACATACGGAATTATTGGACATCGCATACGGAACGTTTCAATAGGGAATTGAAAGAAATCTTGTCATGCTTTTTTACGTTTGCAATGTTTTTACGTATATAATTTCCTTTGTGTTAAAAATCCGGTTGAAAGTGAGCGTTTGTCCGTGTCGCTGTTTTACATATTCTATGCACGGGCGGGGCGGGAAATCGTTCGAACGGTTCAGAAGCTACACACAATGCCAGAGTGAAGAAGGGCCACACGGAACAGTGGCAGCTACAGCACTTCGCATAGAGTATAGGGCCGCTCGATGAGGCGAGGCTGGCGCCCGTACTTTAGAAGACCGAGGCCCCGATCTGGGTCGAAGTCGTACGGTCGAAGTCGAAGACGTACCGTTCATGCACTTACCCGCCCCGACCTGGGTCGAAGTCGTACGGCACCGTTCATGCACTTACCCCCCACGTCACCCCAGCCCACCCGAACCGCATAAAGCGCGCTTGTATCGATGATTCGCGCAATCACGAGTCAATTGCAAAGCGAAGCTTCTAGCATAACCACGAGGTATATGCGTCGATGAAACTGCGGCAGTACTCGAGAAACACTGAGCGGCTTTCGTCTCGGGACCATAGAGATGCATATCTCGAAGCACGTCTGCGGCCCCTGCAGATGCATGTTTTTCTCTCTCTCGCTTTTTTCTTGCTTTTTTCATTACATGTACGAGGCCTGTGGTAACAAGCCCGGTTCTAAGCAATCGTTTTGTGCGCCGCTTATCAAGAGACGGTGGCGGACGAGCCAATCAATGAGAGTCGAAGGCTGGGCAAACGTACAGCGGACATGAAGACCTGCGGACATGCAAATATTTGAGATAAGCACTACCAAGGAATTTTAAGTTTTGCATTGGAGTCTCGAGTTTTCAGAATAATCGGGCATCTACGGTTGCTAAAGGCGACTTTCAGGAGTTTATTATACAGCATACTAATGATCTCGATCACGACAAAATATAAACAAACAAACAAACAAACAAACAAAAACATCACGGCAGATTTGCCCAAGTGGTGCGCCAATTGAAGGAAAAGCCGAGCTGAGGGGCCTTCCATGTCTCCTTACTTTTCTTTTATTTCTCTCTCTCCCTTTCTCTCTGTGTCTCTTTTTTGTATCTTTATTTCTATTTATTTCTTTCTCACCTCATTTATTTTTCTCCATCTCTACAGACCGCATTATCATTAAAACACGTTCATTCTTTCAACCTCTTATTCTTTTCTCGCTTTATTATGCTTACATTGACAGCCATTTATCCTACCGCCTATCATCATGGGGTAACACGTACGCCATTCATCTCCAACCGCTTCAGCGCCTTCAAAACGAGGCGATAAAACTAATGACACACATAGCCCATTCCGTTCCCATTTCATACCAATCTATCAACAGCTGCGCATTCTACCGATTCAAGAGTTGTTTTATCACAGATTATCCCTCATCACATACCGCCTTATTCATCGTGAAATATCATTAGGTCGTATTCCTCAGCATGTCCTTGTCAATAACAATATTACCAGGTTTTCAAAGCAAAGTAACTTTCTTTTACCCAAAATAAGACCAAACTATGGCAGATTTACAGCTCGCTTCTATAGTATTCATCTTTGGAATCGCATACCTCTTCATACTAAATCATCTCGGTCACTGCAATCTTTTAAACACAACATAAAAGACATATATGGTTAAAGGAACCTTTAGTTCATCTGCAATAAATTTATTTTCATCATCACTTCACACTTCTGTATTGGTATTTTTAAGCATTGTATAATGCTGCTATGGTATATATATTTTTCTTTTCAGTATAGATCATTTCTGTTTTGATTGCGTTTCAATTTGTTCGCTCTTTTTGCTGCTGTTAGTTTTTATGTATGCCACTAATTATAAGAGGTCCCCCTGGCAGTCTCATACTTTCAGACCTCCAGATTCTGTATGTATTATGTAACCCGTTTTTTTTTTTTTGTACGTGCACTGGTAATAAACAAACTTGAACCTTTTTTTTTTTTTTACAGATAGGAGATTTCTTCCTTTCCGAGCTGTTGCACGGGAGCACAAAAGCTGACGTCACAGCCTCGACAGTGCCACTTTGAGGGGTCACGCATGTTAACAACAGCCCAAAGAGGACTATTGGGGCACCTACGGAGTTCTTAAACTTTTTTTTCACCTTATTTATCGCTTCCTCTTTTATTCTGTCCCTTTCTCCCTCTCTATCCTTGATTTTTTTTCGTTTTTTTATCATCTTTATCACGTTTATTTTTTATTTTGATATTCTCCAGTCAACCGATAAGTTTTTTTTTTTCTTCGTCTCAAGTCTCATCTTTATCCATATATGAATGATTGATAAATGGGGTTTAACATCCCAAAACCACCATATGATTATGAGAGACGCCGTACTGGAGGGCTCCGGAAATTTCGACCACCTGGGCTTCTTTAACATGCGCCCAAATCTTTATCCATATATTAACTGTCGGTTTCGTGGCCAATCCCCATGCGTAAGAGCGACATCACAAGGGTTAAGCAAGCAAGCAAGCAAGCAAGCAAGCAAGCAAGCAAGCAAGCAAGCAAGCAAGCAAGTGTTGCAAATACTTGTGGGTATGAGCCAACTTCTAGGTGACAAAACAAAGCGTGAAAACTGGGAAGGAGCGATTCATGCAGTGTGCGCCGGTATTTACCACAGCAATATCACCACTGCTTCAACTCTCCAGCGGTCTCCACCAATGCGCCATCACATTCGTAGATATATGTTTCAAGAAGTGCTGTTTTCAGGAAGGTGACTTTACCACAGAGGTGTAATGTTTACGCCTCTGGTTTTTCAACGAGAAACTTGAGCGCCTTGGTTAAATTTCGTCGGGGATTCTGGTACCACTGCTAAGCCGAGGATGATGCAGTAACGTTGAACCTTTTGACTCGCACAGTATAGACTGGCGGCGCGCAGTGCGATTCACCCAATGTTTTGTGGCGCGTACCCACGTGATGACGACATGACACGCCGAGACTTTCGGGTTCTTCAGGCTCCGAAATAATGAAATCGGTGTCAGCATTTCGCGCTCTCAGTGAGTGTCAGCATTCGGGAGAATTCAGCCTTTCAACTGAAAGCAAGGAATATCCGGATAACTTAAAAGTTTAATTGCTTAATCTTGGTTCGAATTGTCGTTAGCCACATATATGCTTGCAACCGTACGGGGTACACTCTTCAGGATCGAAACTAACGCGCTGTAACGCAATATCAGTTTAGCGTTCGCTGTCTTGGTCACCTCAAATTTACGCGCACTAAGCGCAAAGCAAAGTTAGCAATCGCAGAACAATCTGGCGCGACCAAGCCAGAAAGCGCGTGCAGACGTGTTGCTTCAAGTGGCGAGGAAGCTCGCTGAGGTTCAGTGCACACAATTAATCGTACGTGCTTGCGTGCCGGAAAAAAAAAAACAACAAAAAAAAAAACGCCGCGCTCACCGGCGGTGGGAGCCAGAGCCCGTGTCCAAAACCTGTTGATACCACGGCACAGCACACAACACGGTATGCACCTCACGCGCAGAGAAGCGTCGAGTGGGCATGCAAGCAAGCGAAGTCGGCGCTGTGGGGGGGATAGGTCCAGGGAGATTTTGTTGTGCCATCACCATAACGACCAGCTGCGAGTGCCCGGCACGTGATGTGCCCAGACATTTTTCTGAGATATAGGGAGGTGCGAAAGAGTGAGAAATCAATGGAACGACACCGCGAGGTTTATTTCTTGATGCATCTTTTTATTGCGGCGGTGGCGTGACGTTACCATTGTCGCGCTTACGAGATACACAAAACGCGAGCTGCGTACGCTGACCTGCAGCGGAAGCGGCTTCAGTCGCCGGCCCCGGGAAAACATTGAACATGACTACTACCACGGGGTCGGGAAAGAGGGAACAAAAAAAAAACGACTTAAAAAGGAACAGGAACACACTCTTCAAACGCGCGAACACCCTCACGAAGACAAAAAGAAACTGGAGCACGGTGACGGGAGGCGTTTGTTTCGTTTGTTCATTTGGGGCAGTCGCTATGGGTCATGTGGCGCCACCTTTCGGGGCAAATAGTAACGACGGATTCAAGCGACGCGTTGTGCCGCTGCGGCATGCACGCAACAGTACGCGTCGTCACTGGAGGGCAGCAGCAGCGGACGTTCCGTTATTAGATATATACACACACACATTCACACACACACACCACACACAGAGTCCACAGGGCTCAAGTTTAGGACCGCGGCTTGCGCTTTGCCTGCTTCGCTTGGCGTCGCCGTCTGACGATCATGTCGTAAAGCCGTTCGAGCCCGTCGTCTAATCCCTCGCCGATGATGGCGCAGGCCGGCTGTACGTGCCACAAGTGACTGGCCGACAGTTCGTGTAGGCCGAGCAATCGCTCAATTACGCGGGGTTCCTTAGCACCGGGCAAGTCCTGCTTGTTAGCCAGCACTAGCAGCGGCACACCCGGGTTTTCGCGCGCGACGCGCTGTAACTCCAGTCGAGCTTCTTCCATGCGCTCTTCGTCCACGGAGTCTAGGACGAAGACGACTCCGTCGGTGCAGCGGGTGTAGGAACGCCAGAGGGGGCGCAGTTTGTCTTGACCCCCGACGTCCCAGATGAGAAAGCTGGTGCCCTTGGCGCGCCCCGAGGTGCCCTTGATCTTCTCGCAGTTGAAGCCTATAGTGGGCACCGTGTTGAGGTACTGGTCGAATTTGAGCCTGTACAGGGCCGTCGTCTTGCCCGCGGAGTCCAAGCCCAGCATGACGACGTGAAGCGACTGGTTGGGCGGCAGGCTATCCAGTAGCGAGGCGGCGCCCTTGCCCATGGCCGAGCCCATTGCGGCAGCCGGTGTGTCCTTTCAACGGTCGCCATGGCCTCGGCTGCCCCTCTGCATCCCCGCCGTCCGACGATCGCGTCTCGCGACGGCTTCTTCGCCACCAGCGACTGAGATGCTCCACCCCGATCGTACGGGCGCCATGACAGCAGCACGGCAGGCGTCACCACAGTGGCCAGACGCAACGTTTTTAGCTGGCCAGACGCGAAAGACGCGCGCGCGCTTTCCTGCCGCTAGTCGAGCATCTGCCAAAACGACGCAGATTTCCAAGTATTGGCCTCACATCTTAGAGTCTGTGCTTTTGCATGCTGCGATTTTTCGAGAGCCGTCACGACCAAGATTCAAGCCCGACCGAGCATAGAGTTTCCATGCATGTAACAACCGCGCATGCAGCGGTCACTAAAAAAACACTAATTGCAAGGTTTTAGTTTTAAATGCAAACATTTTGTGCACAAAAATTTGAACCTTGCAGATGTTAGCGTCACCTGTCGGCTTAAATATACACTTTTAAATGACATACTGATTGTTAAACATTCATTATACGTTTTTCTACTTGCAGACTTGGATGACAGGACAAGTTGCACAACCAAAAATTTTGTAACATTAATTTTGTTGTGGATACGACTAGTTTGACCAATCACACATTCGCCTGCACTGCTTCGGAATAGTGCACGTGGATTTTTCTTCTCGCTAGCATTACATCGCCGTATTTGTGTGGTCGTTCAGAAAAAAAAAAATTGTCTACACGTGCTGGACACATCCAATCTACGCGATCATTCTGGCTGACCGTGGCTGACGCCTCCATAGTCATGGTCGAACCAACTAAACTGTGGTCCACCGAGCTCGATCTTCCCGCCGATTGCGTCGAGTTCTGCCCTGTTAGACCGAGCATGTTCGCCGTTGGAATGTACAAGTTGGACGAAGTAAGTCGCACAAGTATGAATCATGGTGCATTCTTGTTTCAGGGCAACTAATTTGTATGACCTCATGTGCGGAATAAAAATGAAAAAAAAAAAAAAAAAAACGCTGTCAGTTTTCAAGGAATCCAACTCGAAATTTCGCGCGCTGAAGCTGGCTGGTGATTGGCCAGAATGATTTCTCCTAATTTATTGCGCAATCGAACCGCGCGGACCAATCGCGAGTCGATTTCACTCATGCGTTGGGTCGACCAATTCAGAATCATTTTTCCTAATCTATTGCGCAATCGGACTGCGCGGACCAATCGCGAGTCGATTTTACTCAGGCAATTTATGCGTTGTTCTCGTGTCCACAAATGTGTTTCCACAGTTACTTTATATCAGCTGTCAAAGTAAAACGAGCCCCGAAAATTTTCATCTCTTTCCTTGTTACAGTTACACAATAACAATTCACAAGATGTCGTGCCAGATTTTACTTATTAATGAATGTTTGGTAAATCCACGGATGCACACATAAAAAAATACGTGACAGTACAGAGCATAATGAGCATTTGCAATATGTGCAAATATATAAATAAAAAAAGACTGAATTTTACTAGCTCTGACAGCTTCGAGTAACATTCAGTGCCAGGTAGTTATAGATGCACATGCAAGAACAACATTGGCAAAATATGCCAGTTCAGGACTGCTGCATTAAAAGCAGGGCTGTTAGCACAGCACACAGGAAGACTTCTGAAAGTTTCCTTCCATCACAAAAGGTTTTTTTTTACACCGTTTATCAACGGGATTGACTGACTAGCAACAATACGCCAATCTTATTTTAAACACTATCTTTCTTTTTTTTTCTGCCAATATACCTTCTGTTAATAAGGACATGCATAAGAGTGCATCACTCATTTCACTACCATAAAAAAAAAAAATAACACCAAATTTACAAAAAAAGCTTTTTGCTCAGTTTGTAAAGCTCTTGTTTCTCAATAAACAAGACCATTATTTCATGAAAATTAATTAGAGTTTCCTTATTTCACTAATTGCATAAAAACACAAGTTGAGGGTAACTTGAAGAAATACTGTAAAAGACTGCAAAAAAACTAAAGACAACGCACAAATGGCAAAGCATGGACAGGTGTGGCCATCTAGCATCGAGGAACACAGCTATGATAAGTATAATTGCCATTGGTTCCATGTGGGACCAATTTTCGTTGATGTCTAGTATAGTTGTCATCTGTCATTTTGATACAAAATTTCACGATGTCTGTACTCATTAACAGAAGCGAAAGAATCAAGATGGTTGAGTAGTCGTGCTATACTTTTCATGATCCTTGTGTTCATGCAATGGTTTCATCATGCAAGTATACTGTTGTACTGGTTCCAGCTAAGAACCAGTTTGCATCGCTGTGCATTTTGCAGGAAGCAGGCGAGAGGAAGGGTGCCTTGGCTACTTTCCAGTGGCACGGCGGAGCAGACGTGCAACAGTTGTGCCACTCTGGCTCACTGCCAGGAGTGCTCGACGTCAAGTGGAAGGACGATGTACTAGCAGGTGCCTTTTCCGACGGCACGGTACAGCTGCGCCGGCTACGGGAGGAACGGCTAGAGCCAGAGGCTTCTTGTCAAGCCGCAAGCTGCCTGGTACTGGCTGTGGCTTGGGCACCTGAGTGAGTCCTTAGCGTGCTCGTTAACTGCTGACCTTACTGTTTGCTAACTTGGCATCATTCAATACAGGGGCGATAAGTTGGCTGTAAGTTGCTCTGACGGGTCCGTCTCGACACTGAGCTGTGGTTCGGCTTCCTTGGAATCCGTCGCAGAAATCCAGTGTCACAGCTTTGAGGCCTGGAGCGTTGCCTGGGATGCCACACAGCCCCACACCTTCTACACCGGTATGGAAGACACAAAAATCTCCAGACTGGTATAACTCCTATTCTAGCCCAGTGTTGCCAACCAATTTTTGGAAAGTACCCTACACAAATGTCAAAATTAGCCTACTTTACCCTATACCACTTTTTTATTACCCTATGCTTTTAAATAGTGTCATGTAACAGTGATAATGTACGGATACCGTACATTCTACGACGTTCAGACTTATGGGGTGCGTCCAGGACTGGCCCACGTATTGATGTGGGACGATGACATCTGATGAACCATTGTTTGACGTCACATTGTCATGCCACAGTGACGTGACCATGAATCCATAAAAACTTCTGGGGATATGTCATGCCACAACCACATCATGAGGTGGCGTCGTTATATCATAATTTTTTGCAGCACTCGTGTTAAGGCCTACCATCACTTTTCGTACATGATGAGGCATCTAAAGCTTTTGCCTTCATAACTGAAACCGTCCACTGTCGCAAAATTTAAAAGCCCCTTTACGCAATGGTCAGGAGATGACAGAGAGAGAAAAAGCAAGCAAAACCTGAGAAAATGGAAAAAAAACGAACATAGCACAAGGATATTTAATATATTATCTTTCGTTTTTTTTGATGGTGACATTTGAATTAAGACAGCTCCAATACGGATCTCTCCAGGAATGTAACATTCCGATATGTTGCACAGATTTTTCACGAATCAATGACGCATAAAATGTTGAAATTGCTCTGTGTCACCGCCCTACTACCCTACGCTGGCCGAAAAATTTTAAAAATACCCTACAAGTAGGGTAATTACCCTACAGTTGGCAAATTTGTTCTAGCCCTGCGATAGAAAGCCGAGGTCGTTTTTTGTTTCTTTTTTTTTGAATATTTTACTTTAGCAGCCATGCGGATGTTTATATATTTTTTAAACAAGATTTGTTTGCTTTGCCAAAGCACGTGCGTTAGCACAATTTCGGTAGTAGCCAAATACGAGGAATAAAAAACTGCACGTCTACTCCTGTCAATGGAAAGTGGCACGTGGAACACCCCATCAGACATGGTATCGTATCCAGCAGCGCAGTCGTCGTAAGCAATATACTTTGCATGTTGAAGCAAAGTGGAGCCACATTTCCGCAGTTTCAGTGGAGTGTATCTGCTTATGTCTCGTTCGTGTCTCCACATCTTACTTGGCAATCTTCCTTTTTGTTCCATCATAGTGTGACCAAGCTGGTTCGTCCGTGTGTGCTCTTACACTATCTTTCATCTTTGTGATACAGTGGGCCCTTTTTCTGAATGTGTTTTTGTTGTTACACAGGAGGGGATGACTGCCGTTTTTGCTGCTGGGACGAGCGAAGCCCTGGACAGGCTGTCCGCACACTGCGCAGGTAGCTAAAGTGAGCATTATGATGCTGTGGTCGCATTGCCATAGTAATTCAGCCAGCCAGCTTGTCATGCATCTTCGTTCATGAACATGCAGTTTGTACTTCATTGATGATTCGTGTCCTACTCGTGTAGGCTAGCTTTCATGGTTAAATTTTTCATACATTTGTAAACATAGAGTAAAATTCTTGAATGTACAACCCACTGATAAAGAGAAGTCAAGGAGAACTAAAATTTCCTGGGAATGTGGTGCTTCTGTGAAGTGCAGTGTGCTTATTCTGAAGGAAGTAGCGTCGGTGTACACACGGCACTTTCTATTTTGTTCCAAATGTCAGTAAAGTATCATTAGTACAACTGGCTTACTCGACTTTTCATAGACATTCGCGCAGGTAAACCTGCGATTCAGTTGCGTTCTATGCATGACTCCGGCTCGTTCTGTTACTCCTGTAGAAATCTTCTATTAAGAACATTGAATTCGTGGGAATACGTTTTAAGGGAGGACGTGGCTATCAGGACATCGAAGGCATAGCGTTTCTTCCCAATTGTATCAAAGAGATTTCTGGTGCCGCTCATCAGCCATAGAGTGAATCACGAGTACTATTGCTTAATGCATGGGTTCAGCTTAACTGATAAAGTAAAGTGCAGCTTCCTTAGTGCCATTTTTCATGATTAGGCTGCGTAACGAGGATGTGGTATGCAAAGTGCAGTGCGCCTACGAAGTGCATAAGTGCCTTAACGAAGCACGGCATTCATCTATGTGTTGTGCAGTAACTGCCTTAACAACCACTGCACCCATCTAGAGACTGAGGCTCCAAATGAAGGGCGACTGTTCTAAAAAGAAAATGCAACAGTGGACATGAGGTTCAAAGCGAGTGAAATCAATGCCACGCAGCACACTTGAGGCAAGTGTTAGGGTTTAAATAGGAAACCTGAAGGTCTACATCACTCAAAGCCACGAGGACCAAGTTTGTACACATAGGCTAGGTAGCTCGAATAGGTGGCACATGAATAAAAAAAGGTTTGCTGGGTGGTACAGTGGACAAGTAGAACGTTCCTAATTCACACCTGGCACAAAAGTACCTCAATTACATCCGATACAAATTGTAATCGTGTGTCTGTTACAGTGTGATGTCAGTGAAAAAACAGACTTGCCTGGTTGTATCTGTATTCATTATACCGATGTTCTAGTGTCCCTGCAGTAAAAAGTGCTAAGTGTGCGAAGGAGGCATGAAATCTCTTCCATTTTTTTTCTAAAACACAATACTGAAACCTCAATATAACAAAGTAGCGCCTTACTAGAAAAGAAGTTTGCTATACCAAAAAAATTCGTTATAAAGGTTATTGCTAGCACTATATATTACAAGACTATTTTTCATTTACTTCTTTTTAATAGATATTTCGTTATATCTGAGTCCATTATGTTGAGGTTCAAGTGTACAAGAAAAGTTGAAACATGTCAAGCACAGCCGTATTGACGCTTGGTCCGGTTGCAGGCACAGCATGGGAGTGACGGCCATTGCTCTGCATCCCCACCAGGACCACGTGCTGGCATCGGGCAGGTAAGCTCAATACAGTAGTGAATTGAGCATGTTGGTTTATCATTAATTTATGAAGTCTTAAGGCTCAGTCGCTCGCACCAGTGAGTTGTGCCGGTCGCGCGATGATTTGCGACTGGCCACCAAAAAGCAAGTCAAGGCGACTGATGTTCACATCTGAGAGCTACTAATAGCAGAATTAAATAGTCTACTTCGAGCCGAAATCGCAACCACACAGAAGAATAATCACATAGACAGTCGCAATTTCTGTGTGGTTGCGATTTGGTGTGAAGTGGACTATTTATTTAGACATGTACTAACTAGCCCAACAGCGAGCTCTACTAATAGCGGTCACCACACAGTGCTCGCATCTGCTCTCAAATGGTTCACATTGCCATTGTGCCCCAAGACAAGCAAACATCTGTTCCTGTGCATCTGATTGGTTCAGGGGTTTGCTAGTGCAGTTGCACGATTAAAATATTGAGCAGTGAGCAACTAAGCCCGAGTGGTCAGTTTGCAACTGAAGTGGCAATTTGCGAATGTTTGTGTGTCGCTTGACGACCAGCTCTGTCACGCGACCGGTACTGGTCACAGATGTGAACAAGCCTGTACATGCCATAACCAAGGATTGGTTACGAAGCAGGCCATAGTAAGGGACTTTGTATGAGGCTCTTTAATGAGCACCTAAGTCTACGTATCGCCTCCAACAAAATGTATACATCGTTACTAGGAGTTGAACCCGGAACTCTTGACCTTAGCCGTGCGACACACTTTTGGTACATCATGGTGAAGTATGATGAGCTAAAGAAGACGAGACAGAAACAGTTTTATCTTTTTGCTCTCATTTTCTCTCGTGCTCTGGTGCAATTCGTCATCATCCTTCAGCTGGCATGCTCAGTACATTTCGTTTGAACATGCCTGGACGACATTCGCGGAAATGCATATCTTTTGCATAACAGTGTACTCAGTGCACTCAGTCAGAAAGACCTCTATTCTGCTAGACATTCACGTAAGGTTCACGCCTGTGAACCTTAGGTGGACGTAGCACGCTAGCTGCTAGCTGACTTCAACTAGAAACCCTGCTAGCTGATGAGTCAGCTAGCAAGGTTTATCACGCTAAAGGCCCATTACATGTTTTGTGCTCATTGGTTTGTACTTGTAGTGTCTTTGGTTTTACACTGCTTGTTATTTTGCGTAGTGCCATTTTGAGTTTTCGTAAACATTCTACATAAAGGGAAATCGTTGTTTACCGCGTATTCTGAAGAAAAAAAAAAAATGCCAAAAATCTTATAAACTGAGTCAAGATTGAATGAAGACAATGTTGTAGCCATAAAAACTAATCACAGAGATTACCTATCATTATCCGACATAGTCAGTGTTACAAACTGCTAGTAGCAAACTTGGCAATTGAACTTGGTTAAAAATTACAATAAAAAATTACAATAATGGTCACAGTCTTAAAATAAGTGAGTGGAATAAGACCAAGGATACTGTGCAATCAACGAATTCACGCTTCCATATCTTCTTAAGCGACTAGATTTTAGATATTTTAGAACTGCATCTTGGCAGGTGTTGCAATGTTACCATAATGAGTTAAGTTTGATTGATTTGTGGGGTTTAACGTCCCAAAACCACCATATGATTATGAGAGACGCCGTAGTGGAGGGCTCCGGAAATTTCGACCACCTGGGGTTCTTGAATGTGCACTCAAATCTGAGCACACGAGCCTACACCATTTCCGCCTCCATCGGAAATGCAGCCGCCGCAGCCGGGATCCATAATAAGCTAAGTAATTTAATTTTGAGGGCAAATTTCTTTGACACGTTAATGAAAACCAGCCAATAGTGAAGCAAAAGAAAGTATAAGGGACATTGTACTGTTGCAAGTTTTCTGTAGCAATTGTGATATACTCTCAAGCTTCATTGTAATGAAGTTGCATTTTATAAAAAATAAGTTTATTATATCCAAAAATTCGTTATAAATGTATATTCCTAAAGCTATGATAATTGCTAGTGTATTATTAAGTTTCCTCATTATAACCAATATTTTGTTATGTCCAGGTTTACTATATAGAGGTTTTGAGTGTAGACGTGGAGAAGGTAAAAGCAAAAACTTGCCACAAGCGGGGACTGAACCAGCTGCGCCTGCTACCTTCGGAGGTTGCAGGTGCGGCCACTGCCGGCAGCAAGTTGTCTTTTATTTCGCTTTACTTTCTCCAAATCTACACCACAATTACAGCAGTAAACTTAAACAGAACAATTATAGTCCCCCATGTTTTCTTTGGTTTCATTGTCAGCTGGTTTTCATTCTTGATAACAGTAATAACATCAATAATAATATATGCGGTTTTACATCCAAAAACCACGATACGATTATGAGACGCTGTAGTGAAGCACTCAAGAAATTTTGAACATCTGGTGTTTTTTAACTTGCACTGACATCACACAGCACATGCGCCTCTAATATTTCGCCTCAGTCAAAGTGCGACCGCCACGGTCGTGAGCGAACACACAACCGCGAGGTCAGCAGCCGAGCACCCTAGCCGCGCTGTTCCACCGAGGCGGACTTTACACTAATGGTAGCCACCGATGATATTGTTGCAACTCTGGCACACCCCTGTGTGTCGATGCCGAGAGAGTACTAGTAACTGAACGATGACTACACTGTTTGCAGTTACGACGAGCAAGTGCTGCTGTGGGATACGCGGAGCTTCTCCAAGCCCTTGTCCGAGGGACAGGCGGGAGGTGGCGTGTGGCGGCTACGCTGGAGAGTGGGCCCGACGCATAGGCAGCAGCTGCTGGCGGTTGCCGCGATGCACGGGGGAGCGTGTGTGCTCGCCCACAGCTCTGACGGTAACACTCTCGCTCTTCGCAGTTCGAACCGTTCTCTTGAAATTACGACCGGGTCAGCGAGTGAGTGAACTGGGTGGCTCGTATGGTGGGAAACATCAACGTTAGAGATGTGCGAGTAGTGATTTGGTGGAATAATTTTGAATCTAATAACTTGAATAGTATATATTAGACATGTAAAGAAATATGGGCATATTTGTCATGACCCAACCAACCTGCATAACATTATTTAAAACCGGACAAAGCATGTGTGGATGTCATTTTTTTTTATTCTAAACAAGTGGAAGCAACTTTAAATCACAGCAGAACTTGAATTTCAGCAAGATTCTAGCTAGCAAAATGTGTTACATTCTGAAATTTACTATAGTAAGAGCATATAAGCTTATATAACAATATTTTATACTTCAAATATGATTAATCTATGTAAGTTTAATAAGTCGGGCGCCTTGACAAAATGGATTCTTTTCTGAAAAAATGTTATGTTGGCGTAGCACTCATACTTGCAGTGAAACCACCTTTACAAAGGGCTACATACGTTTTTTTTCTATGTTTATTCGTTCATTTTGAATACTTCGAAATTGTGTCAAGCATTCAAATACTGCAATAGTTGTTCAAATATTTTAAGCGCTTGAATACTAGTGCATGCCTACTTAAAAGGGTTATGACACAGTCACTCGTCGAATTCTGATTTTCAGGAAAAAATAGAAGTTGAGGGTACATTGTGCATGTACATATACAAAAAGCTGACAGTAAGAGAACATTTTGTAGCAAAATGAGCCCTTGAAGACCCTTGATGTAAACTCCGCCCGTCGCCGGCGACCGCCATTTGGAAAAAAGTCCTAATTTATGGCGGGTTATATGAAGAAAACCTCCTTTCTCCAAGCACCAAATCCCAAATTTTGAGCACCATAATTAACAAAGGTTCTTTTAGACCCGAAAACAAAAGATCGTGCGAACCATTCAGTGTCAGCTAACTCACGCACAGCACACGTAAGCTCCGCTCCTTCAACAAGAACAGTGCGTTGAACCACTCAACAGCACAAACAAGAAAAGTGTCCCCATCACCATATGCCTCTCAGATCGCTTGACAGGCGCAGAAAATGCAATTGTGAACCTGCCTAAAATGTAGTGACGTTTGTTTTTTGTTTCCGAGGGCTGCAGGAACATTTTAGACAGCTCTGAATGATTGCTAGAATATTTATTGTGTTTGTGTGTCAGCAATCATACTAACAGTTGTAATTATAGGGTGCGTGCTAGTGCACATAATTATTGAACAAGATATACTATAACTGTGTGTGACAACTTCTACTAGTGGCCCTTTCCCAATTCTAGAATGCTTTTTTTTGCACAACACCAACACACTGCAGTTAAAATGACTAAAAAAGCATTCTGCATGTGGGAGAACGAAGGCCAGGAAATTTCAGAACCTTTGTCCTTTTCTTCTTTTCTTTTTTGCAGTGGGGGTTGGACCTGTTTGTAAGGAAACTTATGGTCACATCTGTATGATCAGGAATGTCCCGTAAAAAGCAAAAGTTTGGCGTCGGGCAATGCTTCCATTCAGTACACCAGTCGCTCATTGTGAACACCTTTTGATGCGGAGCTTCCACATTATTTTTCAAATGTTCATGTACAGCAGTACGGCAACCGATAAAATAATGTGGCTGATCCCTCTTCTTAGGAACCGGTATAACACGAAAGCGAAACGCGTCTTCAGAGAGGTAGTCATTGTGCGTTGTTTCGCCACAAGAATGAACGAATGATTGCTACAGCAACATATTGCAATGTCACGCGAAAAACAGCATGCAGCTCGAAACTTGCAGTGTGCATCTCAAGCAGAAAGCAAGCATGAAATCAGCATAAATGGGACAAGCGCAGACAAACAACTGTCACAGCTTGATATTCAAAGCACGGTGTTCAAATAGAAAGACGCACGAAACAAACGCACAAGTACACGCCTGGCACGCACAACTGTCACAATGTCTTTTTCGCGTGTGAGCAGTGCGCTCCTTTTAGAAACGTGGACGCGATTGAAGCGGCCGTTGTGCTCCCTTTAACCACTGTGACTTCAAAGTAAACTTGCGGTGAAAGCACACGAGGTACAAATCATCAGTGAGCAACCACGCCTGAAACCGTTTGTACAAACTTTGACCACGTTATGTGGAGGTGCGCACGCATTAGCCAGGTGGCACGGGGCTTTGACCTTTATCGCATGTGCGGCTAATGCGCGACCCTTGTGCCATCTTGCTACTGATGACGAAAACGCGCTTGCAGAGTTTCGAGGACTGTGAACGGCACACGGTGCATATAAGTACCTTTCCGTTAGCAAGCTAAGCAACGTGCGCATTGAGGTATAGTGGCTTGCATCGCGTGCTGGGAAGCGAGAGATCGCTGGCTTGATGCCACGCTAAGGAACTTTTTCTTCACGTTTTGTTCTTTGAAGATTGTTAGTATACATTTTATTACGTCATATCTGTGATGTAAATATGTCAGCGGAGCCGTCGTGGACACTGGCATGGAACACTTTGGTGTTCTCAACATTAAGCACGCCAACCGCTGTTTGTGAGACAGGATTGGATGGTCTCTAAACTGCAGGTGACCATTCTGGTGCATATTGGCCCCTATTTTTAGCTATTTCTTGCACAGCTGAGAAAATTTTGAGGCTGGTCTAGAATTTTGTTGCAGAGTGACATAATTTCAAATAATTTCACACTTCTGGTACAGCTTGGTGCGGACAATTGTATCTAACCGGCACTATCGGAGCAGCTGTTGCACCCCTGAATCTAGGACCATTCAGCCTTTACTATGAGTGAAATATCTCTTCAGAACCAGGAGAGTAACAAACGAAACTTCTGAAGCGGTGCGCCACAAAACAAATAAATTAACATAAATAATAATGCATAGAATTAAGAGAAAGAAGACAGGGCTACCTCCCAATAAATTTCTCACTTCAACCATTTCTTTTTGTACGTAGGTCAATCGGTCAAAGCTCAGAGGGTTAGGTGGTCACTGCAATATTGAAGATACTTGTGCGCTCATCTAAGGCTGCTGTTCAAATGGGCAAGCTGCTAGTGATAATGACCGACTTAATATGAAGGGTTTTATGAGCCGAAACCATGACACTGTGATTATGAGTCGTGCTGTAGTGAGGGAATCCTCATTATTTCCATCATGTGGCACTATTTACTGTGTACCTAAATCTAAGTAACTGCATTAGCAGTTGTTGAGTGTAGTTACCATCACAGTTCACTTCCAGTGAAGATAATAAAAAAAAAAGACGTTTGACAGATCATCTTGAAAAAGACTTGTTCTATGCCTAGCTGGCATTTACTGGAGTACGTGAGTACTCCTAGATGATGAATAAACATTTAGGAATGTAAACAAACACACAAGCATAAACAGGCGTCGGTGTCATCTTTTACGCTCACTGTGTATTCCCGATTCTAGCGGTACCTAGGTAACATATTACGCTGACAGTATATGTGAGATGTTGAGCCTCGTGCCTCGAAACATGTGATCATTCGTTTACGTAGACTCCTTCCGATTCTTTATATACAAGTATCTGTAAAGAGCCAGTGATTGTGTGCTCTCTACTGGTTTTTAAGCACACCTTAAAAGTTTCAGTAACTACCTTACTACGACGTGCAGGTGCCCTGGAGCGCGTCTGCACCTACATCGGTCACCGGTCCATGGCATACGGCATCGACTGGGCGTGCGAGGACACCCTAGCTTCGTGTTCCTTTTACGACAAGCACCTAGCGCTGTGGCGGCACGATATACTTCGGGAGGGATAGTCGTGCACACATTATGTGACTTTGCAACGACGCCCAAGTGGGGGGGGGCCACCGAGTGGCTGCAAACTGTCCGAGCACATCGCGATTGTGTCCTCACATTACCATAAAATGCCAAGCAAGCCCCCCCCCCCCCCCCCCCCCAACTACTACTCCCATTCCGGCCACTTCTCTTTTTCCTTGCAAGCATCGCTTGTGTAAAAAAAACAAGAATAAGCACACTGAATGCGTATCTAATGCTGTTTATGAAAGGCTTTATGAATAACGCATTTCATTACAAACATAGAAGGGCATTTTCTTATCTTTAGTGACCCTCCCGCCACCATCAATTTCAGTCAGCGACAGAGCAAGCCCCCCCCCCCCCCCCCTTCTAACTTGGTTGGATTATCCTTCACCGTAGGGTGGATAAAGAACGCCACGCTTGCTTGGCAGTTTACGATAGTCATTTTTTACTTACACATTTTCTTAGATGGTAGCAACTTGCTACAACCTTTACAGTGGCAGCATGTACAGTATGGTCCACTGCTAAAGGGAACACTCGAATGCTTACCATCAATATTCCTGGCCCTCTAAGAGCAAGTGGATTAAAAAACAATCTTCGTGCAAGTTAATAAGTCTGTCAACAGGAGTCTGAACACTTAACCACCAGTAGCCTTATGCATATCTAAGCCGCTATGATTCCGTAAGATAGTGAAATCTAAACATGCTGCTCACGCAGGTGTTCCCTTTAACAGTGGACCGTTGTGTACTTTAGTGCAATCGCTTTCTGTTTACTACGAAGTGACCTGTATAACAAAGAATTACTTATGTTCGAGCTACCTTGGTTAAACAGTTGGATGCAGCATAAGCTACATCACACTAGTGAAAACAACTGTAGTTCGATGCATGGGTGCAGCCGGCGCAATCGGTGGCTGCCAGCGTGCTCCAGAGAGCCCACTGTATTGCTTCATCTACACGCTTGCAGGGCCAACCCACAATATATTGCACGGAGAAGTGGCAGCAAGGAAAACGGGTGGCTGTGCAGCGTTCTGGGCAATGTGTTTTAGGCAATGATACGTATTCAACAGAAGTCGAGGTGCCTTGTACACCAAGAAAAGTGCTTTGTGTCGTGCATCAAGAAAAGCACACCCTATTTATTACCCATGGATTGCAAAATCGGCAACCAAGCAAGCAGACACTATAAGGCCTACAGATCGCTCAAGTTTACAGTTGGCGCAAGTCTCTTGCAACAAAATGAAAAGATTTAAATAAAGCTGTTGAGTATGCTGTTGATGATGCGTGCATTTACGTAAATCTCTGGTGTGAAGACGGGCTGCCCACTAGCAGTGCGGTCGATTTAGAGCGGTTGACTTGGAGATATGGCGGTTTGTTTTAGTAAGCAAGCAGTGCAAAAATTGACGAGACAAAAACATGCGCTTGTCATCATTGTTCAACACCCATCTTTTTGTGTCCTTACCCTGTTCATATCGTGGGATCAGGGGGGGGGGGGGGGGCAACAGCAGCAGCATGGAGTTGTACTCCTCGCATGGTATTTTCTAATAGCTAAAATCAAGCTGGCGGAAGCGAGCATGAGAGACAGAATAAAGTATAGGCTGTTTCTTCGCTTCTAGACATGCCAAAATACAAGAGCTTCAGCAGAGTAAACTCAAGGAAAATAATGAGGCTTATAGTACTACATCGTGTGATGTATGCATGCAAGACCGTTCGCAACCGGACAATTGGAAACCTCGTAAATGCATAAAAACTGGTTCTGGTCATCAAGAAGAACGCAACAGAAGCAATAAAGTAAATTAGAAGTCATTACGCCCCTAGGTGCTCATACGATTTCGCATTCACTGAAGGAGAGAAGTGTTCCGCAAGAGAAACCCAAATAAATGAATGTCGCCTTTTTTATGTGGACCATTTATGATTTCGGTTTTCCGGGTGCAGAATTGGGCTGGGATGTTACAGTACAGCTTGGCCACGTGGCCACGCAAAGCTGCGACGCACGTCGTGCGAATTATCGTGCTTTTCTCACACACGCAAAAACGAACCTTTTTCACCGGTATTTTTCACTGATGAAGAGGGTCACGGCAGAAGGACAACACACTCGTTGCAATCTAGAGCAAATGCATCATTTAGGTGGCTCCTAAAAGAGCTGTTTATTTTTAAAAAGTCAAAAGAAAAAAATCCGACATGGCCGGTGCTGCCTCATTGGTCCAAAATTGATCTAACACTTTGGCCCAAAAATGTTGCTTATTATTTTTCTTTCGTACGGCAGTCCGCTTAGCCGCAACGATGTCTGCCTTAATTTCAACCAACGTTATGCTATCGCTGTACACCTATGACACTGTCATCAGCTCCAAACTCGTTGGCTGTGTAGGTGCTGCCTCTTCGATCTCTGTGTTGGAGGCGACAGAATCCTCCATAACTTGACAAGTCATGTTGTCATTGGTTAATTTCACACACAACTCGAGGTCTTTGTCAGTGTCAACAAAGCTCTCGAAGGTTCATCATCATCATCAGCCTGACTATGTCCACTGCAGGACAAAGGTCTCTCCCATGTTCCGCTAGTTGACCCGGTCCTGTGCTTGCTGCTGCCAATTTATACCCGCAAACTTCTTAATCTCATCTGCCCACCTAACCTTCTGTCTCCCTCTAACCCGCTTCCCTTCTCTGGGAATCCAGTTTGTTACCCTTAACGACCAGCGGTTATCCTGTCTACGTGCTACATGCCCAGCCCATGTCCATTTCTTCTCCTTTATTCCAACTGTGATATCCTTAACCCCCGTTCGTCCCCTAATCCACTCTGCTCTCTTCTTGTCTCTTACGATAAATACGCATATTATTACCGAGACAATGCGCATGCACCTCAGGCATTATGCCAGGACCCCTTCTCACCACCTGGCGAGTCTAGCTGCTGAAAGGCCCCGCACGACATACGGCACTATTGTCTCCAAGCATCGTTCATCGTTTGCTGAGACATACGCACCTGCATCAAAGCCACTGCTTCCTCCTTGGAGCTTGAGCCGGCCGCGAGTTCACTTAATGATTCCAGGAATGAGGAGAAAATCGGACTTACCGACACATGCCCTGAAACAACTGAGTCTATCCCTACTGGAAGAAAACTACAGTAACCACGTGCACATTTACACGGATGGCTCTACTACGCCGTCTAGTTCAGGTGGAGCAGTGGTTATACCATCACAAGGGATAACTCGGTGTTTTAAGACTTCACATGTGACGAGTTCGACGACGGCAGAACTCGAGGCTCTGCGCAATGCACTGGAACACATCAATTCAGAAGAAAGACCAGGTAAATGGGCTGTGTTTTCTGACTCAAAACCAGCGTTACAGTGCCTGATATCAGTTCTCCGACGCGGATGCCACGACCAGTTGACCTACCAAACCGTGAAACTACACCACCTGTTAATACAAAAAGGCCATGACATCGTCTTTCAGTGGTTACCTGGGCATAGTGGTATAGGCGGCAATGATTCTGCAGATCATGCTGCTCGCACGTCACATAAAGAAGGGAACAGTGTTTCGATACCGCTTTCAAGAGCGGATGCAGCGAGGCAGATTCGTCAACTGGCCCGCAGTCTCACACTGACCGAGTGGAACACACCAAGCATACGACGTACACGACTGCACGAGCTCGACCCATCACTACAACTCCGGCCTCCACCCGGCCTACATCGACGTGAAGCTTCGCTTCTCTATCGCCTTTGGCTGGGAGTTGCTTTCACGAAAGCATATACCACGTTAATCGGAATTACTGACAGTGCGGCGTGCGATGTTTGCGGCACCGACGAAAATATCGAACACCTGCTGTGTCATTGTCCTCGATTTGCCTCAGAGAGACAAGTACTTGCCAACGCAATGCGGCGACTGGATGATCGGCCTCTTTCTGTGCAGGTGCTATTACAGCAACGTACACATGCCTCGACAGCCCACAAGGCAGTGAAGGCCCTGCTGCGTTTCCTGAGAAAGACAGGCTTGTGTGAACGCCTCTGACATGCGGTAGATTTCTACACGCTGCAGTGAAATTACTGTCAGTCTCTCCCCCACCCCCTTTTTTCCCTCTCTTCCCTCTTTCTCGTCCTTCTTGTCCCCTTCCTTTATCCCCCAGTGTAGGGTAGCCAACCGGATGTCTTTCTGGTTAACCTCCCTGCCTTCTCCCTTTTTGTTGCTTCCTTCCTTCCTTCCTTGTCTCTTAAGGTTACACCTACCATTTTTCTTTCCATTGCTCGCTGCGTCATTCCAAACTAACCAAGAGAGCCATCGCGACGACTTGCCTCAAAAACGCATTGAAAAAGTCATATGCGCACTTTATGAAGCAGAGCTTCCATAATGAGATCACACATTTGCAGGGATCGGGCTATCCGGATCATGTTTTAGTTTCAGTTGCGGAAAAAAAGTAGAAAAAGATTTGTGCAAGGTCAAGCCAATCTAATGTTCATGTCGATTCACCAGCAAAATCAAGACCCACGGCCATAATTCCATATGTTCACCAGCTGTCACATAACCTTAAGAAAGTGGCACTTCTGGACAATATTAGGGTGCTATTTTCAGTACGTGATAAACTTGGGAAGTTGTGTGTGCTGACGAATCCATCACGTGAGGAAAGGGTGTTGTGCACAAAAAGGCATACACACAAATTTGTGGAGTGCATTTCGTTCGTCATTTATCTTATTCTGTTCACATGTGGGAAAAAATATGTCGGCCAAACCAGTAGGTGTGTGAAGGAGCGATTGAGAGAACACAATTACAAGGCGGATTTTTTGTTTTCCCTCTCTTCCCTCTTTCTCGTCTTTCTTGTCCCCTTTTGCCCCGCCGCGGTGGTCTAGTGGCTAAGGTACTCGGCTGCTGACCCGCAGGGCGCGGGTTCGAATCCCGGCTGCGGCAGCTGCCTTTCCGATGGAGGCGGAAATGTTGTAGGCCCGTGTGCTCAGATTTGGGTGCACGTTAAAGAACCTTAGGTGGTCTAAATTTCCGGAGCCCTCCACTACGGCGTCTCTCATAATCATATAGTGGTTTTGGGACGTTAAACCCCACATATCAATCAATCTTGTCCCCTTCCTTAATCTCCCAGTGTAGGGTAGCCAACCGGATGTCTTTCTGGTTAACCTCCCTGCCTTCTCCCTTTTTGTTGCTTCCTCCCCTCGCTGCGTTGTCCTCAATTTAAGCTGAACTCTCTTTGCAAGTCTCCAGGTTTCCGCTCCGTAGCTAAGTACCGGCAAGATACAGCTGTTATATACCTTCCTCTTGAGGGATAGTGGCAATCTACCTGTCATAATTTGAGAGTGCTTGCCGAATGTGCTCCACCCCATTCTTATTCTTCTAGTTACTTCAATCTCGTGGTTCGGCTCTGCGGTTATTACCTTCCCTAAGTAGACATAGTCTTTTACAACTTGAAGTGCACTATTACCTATCTCGAAGCGCTGCTCTTTTCCGAGGTTGTTGTACATTACCGTTGTTTTCTGCAGATTAATTTTAAGACCCACCTTTCTGCTCTCCTTGTCTAAGTCCGTAATCATAAGTTGCAATTCGTCCCCTGAGTTACTCAGCAATGCAATGTCGTCGGCGAAACGCAGGTTACTAAGGTACTCTCCATTAACTCTTATCCCTAACTGTTCCCATTCTAGGCTTCTGAAAACTTCCTGTAAGCACACGGTACATAGCATTGGGGAAATTGTGTCCCCCTGCCTTACACCCTTCTTGATTGGTACTTTGTTGCTTTCCTTATGAAGCACTATGATAGCAGTTGATCCCCTGTAGATTTCTTCCAGAATGTTTATATATACTTCATCTACGCCCTGATTCTGCAGTGTCTGCATGACAGCTGATATTTCTACTGAATCAAACGCCTTCTCGTAATCTATGAAGGCTACGTATAGTGGTTGGCTATATTCTAAGCATTTCTCTATTACCTGATTGATAGTATGAATGTGGTTGATTGTTGAGTAGCCTGTTCGAAATCCTGCTTGTTTCTTTGGTTGATTGAATTCTAATGTTTTCTTTACTCTGTTAGCAATTACCTTTGTAAATAGCTTGTATACTACAGAGAGCAAGCTGATCGGCCTGTAATTCTTCAAGTCCTTGTCATCTCCTTTCTTATGTATTAAGATGATGTTAGCGTTCTTCCAAGACTCTGGTACTCTTCTTGTCAGGAGACACCTCGTAAACTGGGTGGCTAGTTTTTCTAACACAATCTGTCCTCCATCTTTCAGCAGATCTCATGTTACCTGATCCTTACTAGCAGCTTTACCTCTTTGCATGCTCTCCATAGCTTTTCTGACTTCTTCTATCATTACTGGTGGGGTGTCATCTGAGTTACTGCTGGTTTATATAATATTAGGGTCGTGGTTGTCTCGGCTACTGTACAGATCTCTGTAAAAACTCCTCCGCTATTTTAACTATCCTATCCATATTGGCAGTTATTTTGCCTTGTCTGTTCCTTAGTGCATACATCATATTTTTGCCTATCCCAAGTTTCCTCTTCACTGCTTTGATGCTTCCTCCGTTTTTCAGAGCGTGTTCAATTCTCTCCATGTTATACCTTCTTACATCGCATACCTTACGCCTATTAATCAACTTCGAAAGTTCTGCCAGTTCTATTTTGTCTGTTGTACTTGAGACTTTCCTGATTTGACGCTTCTTAATTAGATTCTTCGTTTTCTGGGAAAGCTTGCCAGTGTCCTGTCTAACTACCCTGCCTCCAACTTCCACTGCACACTCCGTAATGATACTTGTCAGATTATCATTCATTGTATCTACGCCAAAGTTGGTTTCCTCACTATGAGCCGAGTACCTGTTCTGAACGACACTGAATTCCTGTACAGCCGGGATAACCTCGAAGGTTGTCCCAGCTGAAATCGAAATGCCGGCAGCGCGCAGATCGTCGAAGGCAACGTCCACGCGTGGAAGTTTGTCAGGCATGTTGTCGACTCTGGACGAGACGGCTGTCTCGGCAAATTCACTAGACGAAGAGCCCAGTGTCACACAGCTAGGGGCGCGGCGGACGCTGCAGATCAGGAAACGCGAACACTGAATATAGCGTGCAGCAGCACACAATCTGCCACAGAGCTGACAGAACAACAACACGTGAATGATGACAGTGAAATTTGACCACAGATTTGACTAAGCTACGGCTCACAACGGATTGGCGTGCGCTAGACTGCGGCAATTACAGTTTCAAGGATACAGTAGCCGCGGCGCGGTGCTGCTGGTCACACCTGCGATGCAAGTATGATGGGTTCGAGGGTATAATAACAACCAAAATAGCGGCGTTGATGATGACTCTGAGTCTGCAATTAGCACTAAGGAGTCCAGAAAATCAGATGGCCAAGGCTATAAGCATCCAACATTTCGGAAATATTAATGGGGAACTTGATGATGTTGCAGATGAGTCCGGGAAATCAGGCATGACCGAAATATCGGGCATTTGAAAAATTCAATATTTAATCAGTCAACTGTAAAAAATAAATTAATAATTCACACTCTTCATGGGAATGGCCCTCAAGAACATCTTGTTTGCAAGGTGAGAGCTTGCAATGTGCCAGTGCCTTGCACGAAGCTTTAGGAGGCTTTTCCTTCCAAAGCCCGCGGAACTCGAAGGAGTCCCACGGGAAGTAGAAACATTTACTTCTTGAATCAACAAGTTCCAGCAATCACACAACAAACTCAACAGTGCCAAACTTCTTCAGGTATGCATCTTCCTTTGCAGCTTGAAGGACCTGCAAACAAAAGGCAAAACAGCATTGACACTCATGGCTATAGCTTTGCGAGTGTACTACGTAGGTACACCGTGAAATCACTACCTCATTCATCATTGCCCTATTCGTCATAAACATGTTTAAGTCTACTCCAGGACAAAGGCCTCATATGAAATATAGCTAGCTACAAATACCATACCCGCGAATTTCACCATTTCATTGCGTGACCTAGCTTCTTGCAGTCTTTTTGAAGCCACTGAAGAGTTTCAGTATCTGAAATTTCAAACGTTCTTGTACACCGCAGTGTCTGTGGGGCTTGTGACAACGCCACAAAAACATCCGAATTCTCGAGCATGTACGAAAAATTAGCAGTAGACCATATCGCATTATAAGCAGATCATGCGGCGCCATCTGCCAATGGTGATAAGTGGATGATACGCACTATCCTATTGATAACGCTTGTCTTGCGAACTGCTTTTCTTGTGATGCTGATAGTAAAATGTTGGTAAGCTGATTGAGGAATGATTCCGTCATGACACTAAACAGACTGCTTGGGCAATCAGAAACCAGAGTGCCCAAGCAGCACGCAAATCTGGTGAAGTACGTTGGCAGGTGCCTTCGGGACGCGAGACCCATCACGCTGTTGTATTGAGAGCACGGGAACACTTACGGGATTCGTGACGTAGAAGTTGCAGGCGTAGCACCAGACCGACAGGTCTGAGTAACTCAGCACCAAGGGGTGCTGGGTTTCTTCGTGGTGCGTCACCATGTGGCCGCTCACATAGCGGCTACAGTAGACCTGCGCAAAAGATCCAATGTCTGTCCAAGCACCTCTTTTTGAAGCTGACCTTTCTTGAATATTCTTGACCTTCTCAATAATTTGAACTGCCAAGAGTCGGTCAAAAGAAGGGCTTGAACACGTGATGCACATAATCTCCAGTAATCATTGAACGACCTCAGTACCGCATCAGTTATATGGATTTGTCACATACTTGAAGCAGTCCTTCTCTTGCCTTGACGAGAGCGCTGGAACCTAAGCAGAGAGGGACGGCACGAGGCAAACATGCGAGATGAGCACACGTCAGAATCTTAACTGCGCGTGATGAAACAGAATCGCTCTCTCGCCCCGGCGATTCCTGTTCGCACTATTATGCCAACTATGTAAATTTAGCAGACTGTGGAATGCGCCGCCGGCACGCGGTGGGACCCTGCATCAAGATGTGCAGAAAACGCCACTCTTGACTTATGAAGGTTATTGGCCACCAGCATGCTATCCCGCAATTCAACATCAAGCAGCAAACTCCAGCAGCTCCGGAGAGCTGCTGCACCTGCTGAATTGAGCGGGTTTCAGAAGCAACGACGGCTTTCTGCATTGCACTAGAGTATTATACCACAGCGCCACGCTGGTGCTTGAAACTCCTTATGCTGACGTCATGTCGGGCAAAGAGTCAGGTTAGCGTACGGGTCATGTTTTTTTTTTAGGCAATGTAGATTTATAAAAAAAGGTCCCAGAACAGTCGGCCTCTTCTTGTTTTTGCACATGAACTCTCCGTCGAGGAAATGTTTTCGCAGAGCTGAAATGACATTGATTCAACTAATTAACAAAAAACTTTCATTAACTTTTCCATTATTCATTTGAAAGCAATTGTTTATAATAAAAAAGTTATAGTGTGGGCCAATTAATGGCATACCCATTTTTTTATAAACCATGATGCTTATAATTATAGATATTCATCATCGAACTTTAAGGGTGATACAGTTAAACCTCGTTAAAACGAAATTGGAGGGCCACCACTATTTGCTCGTTATAACCAATATTTCGTTATAGCCGTAGCGGGCATTTACCGCAAATATTATGCACTGTACTTACCAAAAAAAAAAAACAGTGGGCGAAATAGAATCCCGCCGCACGGTGGTATGCAACAAAATAACCGCATTCCCGAATAAAAAGGAAAAAGTCATGCACATGTTTTAATGCACTTCAAAATACACAGCTTGCATTTCAGGCAAACTTAGCTGCAAAGAAGTCCGTAATTGGACGTTGATGCATCTTCCTGATGCGAACGATGGCTCGCTCAGCTGCGGCCGCAATGTTCAAGCCATCTTCGCCACAGTTGTGAGCGCCGAAGTAGCGGCGCAGTACGTCCACCGCGTCTAATGCCTCCGACGCCGTCGGCACGTTTGTCTCCTGTTCGTCGACAGAGTCATTGTCACTGGTTTCGTTACGATCACTGACAGCGCGCACAATATCGTCATCCAGGAGCTGCTCCGTTGCCACCACTTCCGAGTCCGCACTCACATAGTCGCAAAACGACTCGCTGTCAGGCACGACACCGGCGTCACGAAGTGCCGTCCATGATGCAGCGACTTCGTCTGATGTGGCAAAACCGTCCGGCACAGTGGGCTCGTCTGATGGCTGATCGCTGGCGTCTGGTGCGGCGGCAAATGAGGTGTGTTGAAAGCAGTTTGCGATCGTGGTCGCCGTCACACTCATCCACACCTCCTGAAGCATTTCGAGCGCAGCGTACAAGTCAACATCGATGTCTCGCTTCATCCTCATGTTGAGCAGGAGCTTGTCTATCACACGCTTGCGGTAACCTGCCTTCAGCGACATAATCACACCTTGGTCAAGCGGCTGTATTTTTGCTGTGCAGTTGGCAGGAAGCAACAGCAGCTCGATGTTTTGAAGCACGGCAGCGGTATAGTGGGCGGTGGAGTTATCTAAAACAAGGCACACCTTGCGGTTCGCCTTTGCCAGCTTCTCGTCCCATTCGCAAAGCCATTTTGAAAAAATCTTCCTGGTCATCCAGGCTTTGCGATTGGCTACGTACTTGACTGGGAGCTGCCTCTTCCCCTTAAAGCAGCGAGGGGATGCACTTTTGCCAATTACGAAAATTGGCAGCTTCTCAGAGCCGGTCATGTTTGCACAAAGTAGTGCAGTGATCCGCAGCTTACTTTGTTTGCCGCCATGGCACGGCTTGCCTTTGAGGGCTAACGTTTTGTGCGGCAACACCTTGAAAAAGAGAGTGGTTTCGTCCGCGTTAAAAATATCCTCCGCGCTGTATTTTTCTAGCAGCCGCACAATGTTTTCTTTCGCCCACTTGGTAGCCTCTGCTTCGTCGACAGATTGCGATTCGCCGCAGACCGCTCTCCCGACAATGTCGTGGCGCTCCTTGAAGCGTTGGAGCCAACCCGAACTTGCTACGAAGTTGTCACAGCCCATGATGCAGGCAAAATCTCTCGCTTTTCTTTGCAGCAAGGCGCCGTTCACCGGCATATTCACGGCCCGCGTGTCCAAGAACCATTTAAAAACGGCCCTTTCGACCGCTTCCAAGGCAGGTGCCCTCATCCTCTTAGCGCTTCCTTTCACGCCACGTGCAACAGCGTCGATGATGGACTCCTGCTTGCTCAAGATGGTTGACAGTGTGCTCGTCGATACGCCAAAGTCTCTTGCCACGTTGCCTTTCTTGGTCCCCGATTCGACGGCTCTTATCATAGCCACCTTCTGATCTAGCGTTATGCGCTTTCGCTTCCCGCCTGGCGCATTCGTGTTGCTGGAATCACGAGCGCAGCACGATGAAAGATAAGGTGGAAGCGGTCGAAAAAGAGAAGAAACACGCACGCAAAAGCAACACGTCTCACGTCGGCGAGCGACAGCACTTGCAGAGATAGTGACTGTGAAGAGGAAGGGGCAGAAGGGGCGCTCTTTTGCGCTGCTCTCTAGGAACCGATTACTCAAGGGGAAGGGGGTATGTAAGATTAGGAAGCGCGCCTCAGCGCCATGAAAAAGGGGGGAGGGAGAACATAAAGAAGACACAAAAGAAAAGAAAAGGGTGAGACGTTCGCGAAGCTGCGGAGCGCTCCGCTGTCGGTGGTAGCCAAGCAGCGCACGTGCAGCGACCTCTCCTCTGGAAACAGCCCGTGCCGTCTGCTTTGCGCGCGTTGCTGGAGGGCGCGTGGCGGGAGTTTTGAACTGCTAAATACAGTTCTCGCGTTGCGCGCCGTCCCAAATTCACCTTGTGCCCTGTCGTGACATCGGCTCAAAAAATTTACTTCCCAACAAAATTTGTTCGTTATATCCCATAACAGGCAAATTTTGCCTCGTTAAAACAAGGTTTTGAATACATTGGTTTGTATGGGGACTTTCAAGGGGAATTAGGATTTGCTCGTTATATCCATTATTTCGTTATAGCCCGTCTCGTTATAACGAGGTTTAACTGTACTGGAACTGATGGCACCAAGCGCACAGAAAACATGGCCTCGACGTTATGTCGAACTATAACTATCCGTGACAGGGTAGTGACAAAAGTTTAATCAAGGCGTGTAGATGCTAGGCTTGTGTGAATAGTGAACTTTAGGTTCAAAACAAATTCGAAGCGAATAGCGATTTTGGTCGAATAATTTCGCATCAGATTCAAATAGAATATATGTCTCATAAAAAAAAAAGGGTGTACTTATCACGACCTAACTGACCCGCACAATTTTTTTTAAAACAAGGCCTCTACGCAAGAGCTTTCTTCATTTTTTTTTCCATTCTAAGGCAGCCAAAACAACAACTTTTAGATGTAGCAGGACTTGATTTTCAGTCGGATGCAAGCGATAACCTGTAAAATACGTTATTATTCATTACAGCTAGATTGTATAAGACGGCAAAACAAGCTTTTAAGTTTCAAGAACGATACATTAATTTGAGGATAATATGTTCATTTAAAGAAACCCTGCAACAGTTTTTCAAGAAATGAATTCACTGAGGAAGCTTATTGCGTTATGAATTAACAGCCGCAAAAATTTTTGAAGCTGTCCAGTATGAGCAGAGTCACAAAGATTTGCCACATGATGCAATTGCATTCTCTCTCCTCGTCTCGACGAAAGCACTTGAAGCAGAGTCGGGAGAGATGGCATAGAGAAAGAAAGTATGTCACGTGTGTGTCATGACCTTGAGCACTCTTTCTCTCTCTCTCATTTTTTTCATTGAATATGCGACATTTTAGAGTGCGATCGCGCATGTACGCGTGGACATGTCGAGGCCACCCACGGCGGTCCCGAGCGCCCTGCTAATAACGACCGAGCGCCCCACGCTAATATCAGCCAATGGCTAGTACAATGGCTGTGACGAGCGATTTTCGACGTTGTGGCGTCATATGCCGAGAGAAGAGAGCAATTTTTATCTGACTTTGAAATTTATTGTGAATTCCAGGTCACATGCTGCACTATAATATTTAGCTTGCAGGTTCTCGGTAGCCTCGACTACCAATCGGCAGCGTTTGCTGCCCATGCTCAAAAAGTGTTGCAGGGCCCCTTCAAATTTGAAGTGGGACTTCGAAGCCGAGCAAATTTCCCCTGAACAAGTGCTTTCACGGCTTAGCACCACCATACTGCAGTGAAACCATCTTTACAAGCGGTTACATGCGGTTTAGTATACACCCACTCGTTTATGTAGAATACTTCAAAACATTCGATATTTTAAATTTGAATTGCAGTGAATTCGAATACTCTACTATTTCTGCGAATATTGGAAACATTAGAATATTCGCACAAGCCTAGTCAACGCGTAATGGGGTAAAAAAAAATCAGCAAGCACTCTGAAATACACAAGCAAGCAGTTTAATGTTTGTGTGCAATGTGTAGCACTTGTAAATGAGCATGAAAAACTGTTTCCCCTGTCAGCAAAAAGACGTGCAGCAGCAGCTGCTCCAAAATTTTACGTTTCACAGACAAAGAGAAGGTTGACATTGTGGTTTTCTTGCATGCAGCTCTAAAGAAACAGATAAACACTAAACACCACGTGCGAAGGTAAGGCAGTCCGCTGGCACGAGTGAGAGAGCTTGGGGCTTTTCAGAAAAAAAGAAAAAACGGCCCCAACATGCTTTCATTCAAACTTCCTCACTTTCCTGTGACGAGTGGTTCTCACCTGATGCAACCGGGTGGTCGCATTTCGTGTATACCGGGTGCGATCACTTTCGATATAACCACTAAAATTGGATGAATGTGATAACAATAATACTATCTGGGGTTTAATGTCCCAAAACCACGATATGATTATGAGAGACGCTGTGGTGGAGGGCTCTAGAAATTCCAACCATCTGCTGTTCTTCAATCGCACAGTACACGGCCCTCTACCATTTCACCACCACCGAAATGTGACCCCTGCAGCCTAGACAAAATCCGTGGCCTTCTGGCCAGCAGCCGAGCGCCCCAGCCACTGTTCCACCGAGGCGGACGAATTTCGATGACGAATATCTAAAACCACGTGCAACTTCTCTAATAGCCAAGAAATGGGTGTGCCATAATTTATCATGCACTAAGACTTTCTCACATAAACAACTTCCCCCAGGTCAATAACCAACATGCTGATAAACAAGTTCTCGCTAATTAGTCACAACGGTGCCTTTTTAGCTGCGGCAATGTATTTCCGCCTCGACGCAGAGTTTGTGTACGAAAACCACAGGAGCCTTACTGTGATAGCATTTTCATCTCTACAGTGGCCTCTCAGTAAAACAGAAATCTCTTAAACGAAACTACTGCTTAAACGGAACTATTGCCTCTGCAATGCTTGGTTTCAGGCTTGCATTCTGCACCCATGTTCACCTCTCAGCAAACGGAACTCCTGTTAAACGGAACATATTTTCCCGGTTCAATCAGGTTCCGTTTACTGAGAGTCTACTGTATTGTCTAAAAAATACACCCTGTGTCTAATTATGCATGGTGGAAGAGCGAAATGAAATAATATCCAGGCATCACAGTTTGAATTGCACAACATTGCTCAACAAGCAAGACGGTCAAAGCTTCCAAACCATTACAAAAAGCTCAGCCACATTTCTTTATCGTCATCATCCACAACACCAGCAATGAGCGCATGATGTCGCTCGGATGTGTGGCAGTTACCGCGCTTCTCCGCAGAGCGGCAAATAATGGCATAGTGGGTGCTCTCCAACTCAACGAAAATCATGATCACTTATGGCGCAGTGATTACCCAGCAGCTGTGCTTGTATTAGTAGCCTTAAGAGAGTTTCCAAAGAGCTCCAGAAAAGCTGCTCTTCTAGCTTCTAGACCTGGCATCTTTTTTTTTCCCCCAAGCTCAAAGGGTGGTTCCCGGCCGACCCCTTTAACAGCCAGATGGCAGTTCAGCCATGCAGCTCGTTTAATGAGAAAGAAAACTGACACAAGACTTACGAAACGGTTCTGAAACCCTCGTTGAAGTCCCGCATATTGCTTTGTGTTAAGAGGACGAAAGACGCGTTCCGACGAGTGTCGATCGGACTCACTTCGTAGCAATGGAGGCAGGTCCAGACCTCTCCTTGCACCCCGCACGTCATGCAAGGGCTGCGAGGATCGCTGAGGCCCTCCTCTGGCAGGGGCGGCAGGCCTTCCAGGTGCGGGCACCACGTCTCTGGCTGGATGCAGAAAGGTGCCCCCTGCGCACGCCCCCACACACATTAATCGGTGAGCTAGAAGTGACACCGTGACGTAACATTTTTAATACACATATGCTGACAACATTCTTTTTACATTAAAGTCTCGGTACAAGAAACATGGTTAAGAGCGACACAAGGCTATAAGAGACATTTTAAGATGGTTTGTGCAGAGTCATCACCCTTTCTTTTCTCTCCAGTGATTCATGACGCCTCTGTGTGAAAGCAAGGTGCATAGCGACAAATAAACTGTTGCTGATGTATCACTCTCTTTCGTGGAATACTTGTGATATTTATTCTAGATTAGGTTATGGCATGAAGTTGTGCTATTGTGATGCTTTTTACTTTTGAATAATTCTGTTGACTGATGATTGATATGTGGGGTTTAACGTCCCAAAACCACCATGTGATTATGAGAGTCGCCGTAGTGGAGGGCTCCGAAAATTACGACCATCTGGGGTTCTTTAACGTGCACTCTAAAGCCGCCGCAGCCGGGATTCGATTCTGCGACCTGCGGATCAGCAGCAGAGTACCCTAACCACTAGACCACCGCGGCGGGGCTCTCTTGCTCGGTGCAATTTGGTTGGTTTTTGCTATGTTCATCATGTTAACAACATTGCACAAAAGAGACATAGTTACAAGAGACAATCTGTTACTAAGAGGAACTTGTATGGGTGCCCACAGTGACTTCTCCTCCATTTAGACGAGCCGAAATTCAGGCATGCTCGACAATACGGCCGATGCCATACAACCAACAGGTATGCGCAGCATTTTTTGTTCCCTCGGTTCGATTCTGTTTTATTGAGCAATCGGATGTCATTCCACCAGTGTTGCAGCTGCAATCTACAATGAACTTTCTGTCATTAACATTTATAGTTGCTCTGAGCTCCCACACTCACTCAGCGACCGAGCGCTATTCTGTTATATTTCTGCAGCAGCGCCGTGACTGTTCTTAAAGGTTGTGGTCAGAAAAGACCTTGGTTATAAGAGACAAATTTGCCAGGTCCCTTGAGTGCCTCTTGCAATGACGTCTTACCGTATAATCTGCTGTAATGCATGCCACAGAGACGACGCCTTCAAGAGGCTGGTTTAGCCTGGACTACTTATGGGCGAGAAAAATTTGCCAATCGTGATTATGCACTCTCACTAAAGTGCCTTAATTTTTCACTTTTCCTTCAGCAGCAACAACTGCCTCCTCGCCTTATCTTCTCTCACTTGCAGTCTATGTCTGCCGCCATGTTCTTCCTAACTTACAAGATTTACAAAGCCACGTATCTTTACGTATATAAGCCGGGCACAATTTGGTGGATAATATGTGAACACGACACGCATTTTTCCCCGTGTTTGTCCCCCATCACGACTGAGCGAGGGTACCGTCCCCCACTGCTTCGTCAGGCGGTGGAAAAGCGCTGCGAAGAATTTGGCTACTGAAAATGATTGTACCCAATGATATTAGAAGACGGTGCTTCAATAATTTTCGCTACATTTAACAATGAAGTGAAAAAAATGTAGGGAACACTCTCACCTCTTCTTCATCCTCGAGCCTCAGGGCAGCCAGGTCCAATGAGAGTGTGCCGTCAGGTACAAGGCTGGAGGAGACGCAAAAAGAGGCGTTACTCCTGACGTCACTGGCGTCGAGAATTGTGCGACGCGTTCGACAACAGGCAAAGAAGAAACAGAATGGAAAAGAAAGAGAGGAGAGAGCTACAAAAAGAAGAACAAACTCTTCCAGAATTTTAGAAAGGTGCAGTGGAAAATGAGTGGCCGACAAACACAAAAATGAGGCAAAGCGATGCATCTTTGAAGGGACACTCGAGTCAAACAACAATTTACGTCACAGTAAAAGCTCAATGTATGACAACATCTAAAACGTCAATATTAACAGCAGTGCCTTACTTACCGAGAAATTAGGGTAAACGCACAAAAACACATGCCCCGCAGTAGCACATTCTCAAAATGATTCCGATGACATCAGACGGAATGCCTATAATTAATCACTAGTAATCGATCTAGCTGCACCAAATAAAGAACCTTCCGTGCATCAAGAGACTGAGGTCATCACTTCCTGAGCATCCAACGTTTTTTTTTAAATACCTTTGTGCCCCCACCACCGTGACGGCCAGTGGGTCAGCACATATCAAGAGAGAGGATGAAAAGGCGGTTCACTCACCCATTGGATGCCAGCCACTCCTCTGATGGAAGGTCGTAACCTGCGTCACATCACACAATGACCGAGTCAATGACTCGACAACAGGCCTCTACTGACGACTGTACTGTACATGCAAACAAACAGGCTTGCTTAATATGTACCGATTGGCCCGTTGGTGACCCATGATTTTCGAAGAAGCAGCACACAAAACACACAAACACAAATAGACGTAAACACAAGAGCTTTGTTTGCATCTCTTTACGTGTGCATTGTTTTGTGTCCTCCTGTGCACTCCTTCTTCCGAAAAACAAGCTTAGCCCTGCTTCGCTAGTCCAGTAAATGGCACTCCTCATTCCCACCAAGAGCATACATAATCATTCCTTTTTTACTACCTTGCATTATTACGGGCATCAAACGTGTTGACCAGGGGTACGATCTTGTATGTGTTCCGTAATTTAAAAAATTATCCTCACGGCACGCGATTGGTCACACACGGCACCCGGCATAAAGCCTTACGAACGGGGGGGGGGGGAGGGGGGTACATACGCACGGCCCTTGACCAACCACACGCAACGGAGACAGACACTTTTTTTTTTTTTTACAAAACACCTGCGAGATCGCACCACATATGTGCAATATTGCATCTAAACACACGCACATACACACAAAAAGGCAGTTTTAGGAACGACAAAAAGGCAGTTTTACGAATGGCAAATCGTTACTGGCTAGAGTGGTGTTGAGACACAGAGGGCCGCAAGCCCAAGAGCAACTAACTAGGATAGAATAGCGTCATCATGGTCTTCTGACGACTGACTTTCTTGGTTACGCTGTGCACTTGCATAAAATACATCAGAGCAAAATATCAGGGCACAATCTCAGACGGCGCCACTGAACCGATACCTACATACAACAGCTATGTGATCAAATCACAAAAAGCTGTCAGCAGATCGCCTTTTGGAAGTACCTCTTTGATGCGGTAGCAGAAATTATAAACGTAATGCTTTGAATGCACCTGTCTCACCTAGCAATATAATTCAAGTTCGTGTAGTTTCTTTTGCACTTTTGCAAGCAAGTGAGCTAAAGGCACTGACTCACCAGAGAAGCGCAGACAGGGCCAGTAGCTCCGGTGAACACCCAGAGTCCGCCTAATGGACTGCACTGCACTGGAAACAAAATTGCACACATTTGTGAATGTACATTTTCATTTTTCTACTATAATACAATAATTGTTTGGGCTTTAGATTTAAAAAAAAACACAATACGGCTATGAGGAACACCATAGCAGAGGGCTCCAAAAATTTCGACGGTCTGTTGTTCTTCAGTGTGTACCTATAGTTGGTTACAGCCCAAGAACAAATGTAAGCTCTGCCCACAGTGGTCACCGTCCCACCCAGGCAGAATTGGCATAAATGTCGTACTGAATAGCAGCTGGTTATTTACGTGACGTCAGGCAGGCTTCACGAATTTCAGGCAATTCACTTGCTCGCACAGGCTCATGTTCATTTCGCTTGTTCTCGGTGGAAAAGTTTTACTTTGTGGCAAATTTCATCAAAAATTCCGACTTCACTGTTCTGCAAAACGTGACGTTTCAACAAGGAACGACAAACTTTTACTCTAGAATATGCGTAGTAGTTGCATTACCAGCCAAAATGTGCTTATGATTAGAACGGAAATCGCGAATCATTTCTCTGTTTCACAGATGAATGACAGGCATGCTGCAGTACTGTGGGGCGGAACCTGTGTTTATTCTTAGGTTGTAACCGACTATAAATATAAGTGCATGGGCCTCAAGCGTTTTGCCTCCATAAAAATTCGGCCAACATGACTGGTATTGAATCCCACGACCTTTCGAGTCAGCATCAAAGCCCCACAACCACTGGATCACCATGGCGGGCTCACCTTCTCGCTGTGGTGCCTCAACACCAAGGTGAACTGATTAGGGATGGATGAAAAGTAAATTTAATGTTCAAAGTGAGTTCAAAGTGCAGAGTTATTCGATCAAATAATTTCACACTGAAAAGTTTGAACGGTGTACATCACATATTGCTTTTAAAAAATGAGCATTTTCGTCATGAGTCATATAGGAGTAATTTTTTTTTTTTACAGAATTGGAACTACATAAGTACGAATGTCACTTTTTTTTTTTTAAGTGAAATGGAAGCAACCATGAATGAACAGTGAATGATAAGAAGGTATGAGTAGCAGTAGCATGCGAGTTATATCGATAAAACAAGTCAATTGTAGGTCAAATTTTAAAGTTTGCTATAGTAGTTGGCCTGTATAAGCCCGTGTAAAACTCTTTTAAAAAAATTATACACCAGCGCCACTCCAGTGTTGCACCAGAGAGCAGCCTACCTTGGACAAGGGGCAGCAGGTCGCAGCTGAGGTAGCCGCAGCCCCAGGAGAGCGCTGACGCAGTGGCAGACTGCCGAAGGGAGCTTGGAGAGGTTGTAGCCGCCCTGAGCCGAAGAGACACGTTTAGAACACGCCACAGTCAAGCCAAAGCCAGCTCAGGCAGACAACGTGCGCTCCCCCACTTACCTCGAGAGAGAGGATGACACGACCGCGAGCCAAGGGCAGCAGCTGGTGCGTCAGATGGCCGTACGCTTCGGCGGTCACCCGGCAGTACCCCTGCATCCCGCCGTCGTTGCAAATCTGTCTGAACAACTGTCTTTCGCCAAGGCTCCCCCGTTACTTTGGTTTTGACAACAATGCTTGGGACGCCAAACATGCCGCGACTTTCATAACCTCACGAATACTATACTCAGGGATGGCTTATCTTGACAGAGGAGCAAAGTGTACAGAGGTGAGGCTTTCGCATATTGCTGTTACTTCGTTGGTAATGTGGCAGGTTGCAGCTGATTTCAATTCCAGTTCGGGATTTGTTCGCTTGCAGCGTTAACGCACATACTAAAAACAAATGCGAATGGAAGCGAATCATAAACAAAATATACAGAGTGAAGTAGGTGCCTTTTAAATCTTCCTGGCAAAGAACGGTTGAACCAAAGGGCCATGCCGTTTCAACCTTAATAACTTATCAATAAATTGTGCGGTCTACAGCGATATTCAACCTGTTTCTAGCTACATGTGATCTTCCAGTATGCAAGCTGAGAAAAAGCATGCTTGCAAGCATATGTCGCAGAAAACAGCAACAAAGAGTTTTACAGCCATCTTTTGAAAAAGAAAAACGCAATCTCTGCCACAATGCGTAGGTGTTATGCGGTAAAACATACCAAAAAAAATCAAAAGGGGCTGTTGTGGACATAATGTGCCTAAAAAAAAAAAAACTTTTTTTTTTAAGAATGGCTTTTGCGGACCCACAAAAATGGCTCTGCGGACCCCCTGGGGTACATGGTCCCTTACTTGAGAATCACTGCTTCAAAGAATCGAGAAGCCGCATGATTTGCGACGGACGAAATCCACTCACCAGCGGATCCCCGACGCAACTGTCGAAGCCGCAGGACACCAGGACTAGTTCGGGATCATACTGCAGGAGAAGATGCGGTGCAACGTAAAGCAATGCCACACTACCGCGCATTCTCAACTGACTCACCGCATAAGCGACTGGCAGCACGAGTTGGAAAAAGGTGGTCAGATAGTCACCATCCGACATCCCCTCCTGCAATTCAGCAAGGCTTCGTTCAGTGAAGAAGTCAAAGTTATTCCAATTTCAGGTTTCTCCATCATGGGTCGCGTGCGCTATCCTATAATTGGTTATAACTTAGAAAAGTGTCAGCTCCTCCCACAGCCATTGTTGTCTTTCCTGGAGATAACTCGCAGCCGTTCAATGATTTTCGTGGCTTCAAGCACTGCTCGAGCATTTTAGACAGTTAACTTACCTGTACAGACGCGCATTTATGTAGCTAGTTTGATGCTGTAAACTTGAACATCTTGGTAAATTTTGTCAGTGATTCTGATGTCGCTTCTGTGCCAAACATGAAGTTTTTATGTAGTGGTGCTGAGCCCCTAACATTTTACACACATAGAACTTACGTAAGACGAAAAAAAGTACTTATATTTTGAGCAAGTCAGCTAGCGTGACTGCCTTTCACAAGTGAAACACAGGAACGTCACAGTTACGTGGGGTGGTATTGCCATTCTTTGCTTAGATTGTAACTGGGCATAGCTTTAGCTATGAATGCAGGTGTCCCGTCAAACATATCATGGGTCTGACAAAAAGACAACAGCAAGTTTTCAAATGCCATTGTTAGCCAAGAGGCACAATGTGCTGCACTAGAGTTGGGAGTGCTGAGGCGCAAATGTGACGCACCGAATTCCAGGCAACATTGATGTTGAATCCCCGGCCCGCACCATTGCCAACCGCTTCAAAGTTGGCTTCCGGGAGGCATGGGAAGAACGAGCCGTTGTCGTACCGGTGGATTGACACGTACAACACCCTGCACGAACCGCAAATCGCTGTTATTAGTACCGGCGAATGTCTGTCAATGCCATTCTATTGAATCTCAGGAATTAGCTAACTTTACAACGTTGCCCCCAATTTTACGGTACCCTGCTAGAATTGAATAGGGGCCGAAGAGCAACGAACATGCTCTGAACTGAAGAAATGAAAAAAGTAACAAACAAATATCCTCTTCGCTCAATGTTGAGACTGAAGAGGCTTACAACAGTTCAGGACACAGTGTCACACAAAAGGCATTGATAAGAACGTGCTCTTTGCTTATCGCTCGCTACTTCATGTTAATGTCAATAGGAATAAATTCCGTGGTTCTATCGGTCAGAAATTACGTTACAATTATAAGCCAAGTGCAAGAGAATCGGTCAATCTTTCGTACTTTGGGTACTTTATAGTCTACTAAGATCTTGCGACACTAGACGTGCGACACGCCAGGTGCTTCAAAAGGCAAACCAGTGCAGACCTCAATAACAATTATAGAATTATTATTAATAATAAATGACATACTAGTAAATAAAAGTAGACCTGCCAAACCTAAACAAGGGTTTGAGGTGCAGTTTGTCCTGCAGATGGAGGCGTGAAAAGGCAGTGAAAGAAAATTGACAAATAACAAGTTTAAAAGAAATTAACATCAAAGCACTATTTTCTTCACAGTCTAACTGCAATTATAGAATATCTATGTAGATGAATCATTTATAAGTGCATCGCTCAGTGCAAAATGCCACTTCAATCAAAATTTTGCACAGTGTCATCATGATGACATTATCCCATGGTGATGATTCTTTGCACCAGTTGTGATGATGCTGACGGTATTTTTGTTTGTTTGTTTGATGAGGAATCTAGACCTTAATAAATATCAGGACAGCTGAAGTCGCCAGACCTAAAGATTCCCCAACTTGGTCCTTGAAGAAAGAAAAACAAATTTGTCAATGTATCTATTAATTTTATTTCAGTATGATAACCGGTACCATTGACGATCGAAACAATGTTAAATCAAGCTATTATATCCCAAAATAATGACACAATAAAAGTCAAAACAGTTTAACAACCTTGCTAAACAGTTGCGAGCAGCACGAACTTGGCCGACGTTGATCGAAATTTAAAAGTCACGCCTTTTTGTGGCAGAGCACCATCTGTCGAATGCAGGAGTGCTTATAGCCCAACGCAATCACAGTTGCAAGAAAACAAAGCAAAAAGCAAAACGCATTGGCCTCCGACTCCCCCCCCCTTTCAAGTTTGCGTCAACTTGTCTGAAAAAAAAAAAAGGGTTTATTACGCGAGTAAATAGGAGTAAAGTCGAACATTTGCATTCAACAGATTGTAGTCGCAGCTGGGCAGTGACCTACCGGGGATCATCGTAGAAGGCGTGCTGGGTTCCGTTGCCATGGTGGACGTCCCAGTCCAGTATTAGTATTCTGAAATACATTTAGCCGTGAGGCACCTGTACAAACCTTCCAGCGCCACAAGTAAAACACAATTAGGCAAATCAATAGCTTAAAATGCTCTTGCTACAATTGCAGTACTGTACTTGCGCCACCTCGGTCCCTGTCACGGTTTGGCGCACTAAAGCTTTGCCCACATTTCCCTTTCCCTCAATTAAGATGTTGAGCCTCGCTTAGTCAAAGCTCAGTGCTATAGAGTGCAAAAGTATATACTATATATAAAAATAACAAAACACATGCATCGAAAACCTGCCTTCGAAGTGTTGCAAAAATAAGTTCTGTAGCATGAAAATGGCCACTCAATCTTATTACCATTAACATACAGTCGACTCTCGTTAATTCAAACTCGGAGGGACCTCCGAATTTCGTTTGAATTATCGAGAACCTTGAGTAATCAGATGTTTTGACATATATGACTCTGGGCAAGGTGACAGCACAAATTATGATTAAGAATCGATTTTAATCACATTTCTAAGCATTTTTGAAATCTAACTGAACAAAACGAACAGAAAGCAGAGGCATAAGGTCCACAAGTTTATTGGCCATTTTATTTACTGCTAATCAGTCCTTCAAAAAAAAAAAACGCCAATTGTGAGCTGCTTCTTTGCTATATGTGCCTTCAACACTAAGATCGCTACGCCATTTGAGAAACATCACTGTCTACCATGCTTTCACTTCATTTTGAAAGTTTGTTTACCAGCAAAGCCTTTTTTCTTAAAGGCCGAGGCGCTTATTTTTCATTTTTTTACTGTTATGATTACAAAGGCACACGAACTTTCAAATAGTAATGAAAAATCAGTAGATATTTTACGGTATGAACTCGCAAAAAGTATGAATTAACTGAATGACAGAGCTTGAATTAAGCAGCTTTTAAAAACATCGAGAGAATAGCAGGCCAGCCAAAATATAAATTTTGTTTGAAGTAACTGAAAGCACCAATCATCAGAGCTTGAATATAATTTATAATGAGTCTACCGTACTACCTATTTAAAATTTCACACAAACTATTGCACTGACATGTGCCAGTTTATATCGGTCTGAACGTTATGATGTTATATTGGTCTGAAATGCAAATCAGTAAGAACTCTTGGCTTGAATGTAACAATTTGAATCTGAAACGTCAGCCAATAAACAGAAAGGCACAAATAGGCAGCTCTAAAAACCTTACAGTGGTCAAGCACAGCCTACCTCTGACAGGCTTGCCTGGACAGCATTCAGGCTTCAGGCTTACCTGGACAGCCCTATATTTTCACCAGCTGACATTCTCTAATGTGCACCAAAATATCAGTAAACGGGTCTCAATAATTTTTGCCTCCATTGAAAATGTGGCCGCTGTGGCCGAGATTCAATCCTGCGACCATAGGTTCATCAGTTGAGCGGCTTAACCAGTAGACCACCGTGGCGGGCGCTCACCGCTGCAGTCCGTGCGTCTCCATTGCATACCGCGCCGCAATCGCCACATTTCCGAAGATGCAGAAGCCACCAGCTTCGTCACGCTCGGCATGGTGGCCGGGAGGCCGTATGAGGGCCATGCCGTTTTGGCACTGCATCCAATCCAGGATAGCTCAATCAATCAATCAATCAATCGTGTTATTTTATCAACTATCTGCTGTCAATAGACAGAATCAATCGATCAGTACATCAATTAAATCATCAATTGTGGTATTTTTATCACCTATTGTCATAATATGACATGATAGAGTCCTCACTGTCATCAATGGGCAGATCTAGCTTATCTGCCCACTTCTTCACAGATGTAAAAAAACATTATGCTTCACAGTAAATACAATTTGGTACACTTTGGCGCAGCAGTGGAACCGCTGCTTATTGCAAGTTGTTGATAAATCCATGTTACAATGCAGTAATCCTCTACGTACAGCCACCCATTTTTTTAAACCTGAGAATGTGAGCCTCGACCACCCAGTATGTAAGTGCCCGCTCCTTGTGTCCGATTTCCGGCACAGCCTAGCAGAAGACTACTGCACAAAACTGTTTATTGCGAACAAGCACATATTCTCATTCATTTAGCCACTGTGCTCCATTGTACGCCGCTAATTGGCCGAACGGTCGACGCTTGCACGTTCAGGCTTAAAAAATATTGCCAGCTGTACGTGCATAAACAGCAGAGAAGACACGTACCTTATTTGTACAGACAGCATCAACAAGCTGGAGCAACGAGCCAGCCGCAAGAAGGGCACTGGAGAAGGTATCCTGCAAGAACCACAATGACATTTGTTCTGCACAAGATACGAACAGAGGTTAAGAATGCAGCGATTCCAAAGGATAAGCTAAGCGAAATCAGGGAAGAAAAGAGTCAACAGGGCAGTACAGAACCAAATGAACAACAAAAAAATACCAGTCATAAGGGCAAGACATTCAAGGAGGCTCGAGTTACCTCAGAGAACACACATGTTTACTTTGATGACTACGCAAAAAGACGTGAACCGCCGAATGCACACTGGACTCGCAAGCTGTGCTCATTGCAAACAGGTGGTGATTGCACCAGCTAATTTCATTGGTTTCAGGTTTAGTTGAGTGGAATGCTAATGATGTTCCCAAAGTCGAAGACTGCAGTGTAACCCTGACGGCTTTCACTCAGATGTGGTTACTTTCTGTACTAGTAACGACAATTTTAAGAGAGCCACAGAAAAAACGTGGAAAGTTTCAAAAAATATCATTGCCCTTCCCATTAGTGTTTTTGATACGACATTCAACTAAAGCCATCTTGGGAAAGACGACGGAATCGAAAAGGTAGTTTTCTTGTTCAAAGCCTTTCATTATTACTAAACCGAAAAATGTGCGACCCTTGCATTTGTCACCGGGATGCAGGTCAGAGTACTCTGCCTCCGAGAAATTTTTAGACACAACCACTCATCTCGGAGACCATGCCAAGGAGCTGCACTTTCTAGGTCATGCCCAGGTCACTTTAAATGTAGAATTTCGCGTAGAGGCTCCTTTATGCTTACACTATCTAAAACTACACTCAAACATCGATATAACAAACACAAATATAGTGGGGTGTCGATTATAACAAAGTAAATGAAGAATAGTTTTGCATCAGACAAAGAGTTTAGAGTGTACCTTCATAACGAATTTCTGGATAAAACGAACTTATTTTTGTGTAGATGCAACTTTGTTGCAATGTAGTGTGAGTGCATACTTTTTATGCCTTCTGATATTAACTTAAAGCTACAGGGCAAAAAAAGAAAAAAAAGAGGACATACACAACAGAAAAAGACGCACATGGTGCCATCTGCAGCATATGCGTATTTTTCTGTGACATCCTGACGTTTTTTTGTGCTGTATAAACATGTATGACCAACAAGCCAAACCAGCTGCACTTTTCCAAAACAGGCTACATTTAGCCCGCAATGCACCAACGCGTTGACGCAACACTCACGCGGCAGAGGTAGACGGAGGGGTACTTCTCCTGCAACTTGATCAGGTCAGCGTTCTTCATCTCCTGGCAGCCGCGCATCTTCTGCACATACTTCTTACTGCACACAAAAAATCGGCAGAGGGAGATTGTGAAATGCCTCCCGTTGGAAAATGGTCTATGACCCACAGATGGGACGGCATATACATACATATTTATTTCAGTGAGTCATCTTTCTTACATTCACAGATTAAACCAGCTCATCGCATTTTTCCACGTGTGGATCATGCTTACAAAATACAACTCATGTTTGCCCGTACTGACTTCCCTCATGGCTCACCATTGTTTCTTGCTATTCATCATTGAAATAAACTACCAAGCGATGTTGTAACTGCGCGTGATCACGACACGTATGTTAGCAGATTAATGGAGGTGTGGAATGTAGAACCGTAACACTTTGTGGCTTTCTTTTGTTTAGTTCAGTGCCAATATTACATCACTTGTCGCACACCTCGTTTCATGCCATACTGAGTGCTACATTGCATTACTATGTCTTTTTTGGTGCGAAATTTGTTTCTGCATTTACCTTTTTGTTATTTTCTTTAGTGTTCTGTGTAAATAGTTCTGTTTTGCACATAACGCTGCTGTATTGTAACTACCCCCCCCCCCCCCCCCCTTGTAATGCCCAAATGGGCCTTTAGGGTATATGAATAAATAAATAAATAAAATAAATATTCATAGCACTACAGATGCAAACACACAACACAGCAAAGAACCGACACACGAGCGCTGACTAACAACCAGTTGCTTACACTGAGCAGAATTTTTTTTTTTTTGAGCCTGAAAAAAATTATTAATCTGAATCTATAATTAGTCATCTAAAATGTTTAGCTTTTCTGGCTGGCCTGCTGTGGCAAGTACCACGGTTCAATTCAGGTGCAACAAATCAACAAGATTTCAACAAAAACCAAAACACACAGATTATGTGAGCAAGTTCGATTAATTAGGTTGGCGTGTGAAATAACTCGAACCGACAAACGGTTCATTTACTTACTCGTGAACCATGAGCAACTCGTCTACAGTGGCTGACCGAGACTGTAAAGAGAGAAGTGCTGGCATGTCATTGTCATTCATTTTTGAGCACTTGTCACACCCCGCTACTATACTAACATGCCAAACCAGGTTTCTGAAGTAATCAATTTGGCATTAATTACAGCATCAGCAAGAGAACGAGCACACAGACAAGATAAAAAAAGCTGGGGCGTAGCAGCTTCATACGGTTCTTGCCCTTATCCTTGGCAGCCAAAAGAAAACACATAGCGCGAGTACGCATCCCCAGTTCGCACATGTACCCCTTTGGCATTGCTAAAGTAAGGCAGCACTAAAAAAGCAAGAAATAAAAGTAATACAACACATGCCAGAACCAATGCATTTAGGAGGTCTTTCCTTGATAGAACAATAGCAGAATGAAAGACACTAGCAAAAGTCACACCTTTGCCGCAAAGGCGAAGCAATGAACACGATAGCAACAAATTGGAAGGTCACACACAGAATGGCAAAGAGGTCGAAATGTGCCCCGCGTTTCTCACGCACGAATGATGCACGAAACGTACTCGCAGGTACAGATGAACAAGAATAAGCGTCTCAGTTGTTACTTCACTGTGCGAAGTAACAACTTCGACTTCGGAAATTTCGACCACCTAGTTTTCTTTAACGTGCACCCAAACCTGAGCACACGGGCCTACAGCATGTCTACCTCCATCGGAAGTGCAGCCGCCGCAGCCGGGATTCGATCCCCCGACCTGCGGGCCAGTAGCCGAGTACCTTAGCCACTAGACCATCGCGACGGGGGCGAATTCAAGTATGGAATAATGTAATCGCTTGCTATAGCTTACTTGTTTTTCCGAACAATGTATTTAAAAATAAGTCTGCTGAATTGCGAAATCAGCACTGCATTTCGACAAGCTGTTCGTCCAAGACTATACCGTATTTACTCGATTCTACCGCGCCCTCGATTGTAACGCGCACCCGATTTCCACCGCGAAAAAAAAAAAAAAAAACGTAAGACATCGATTGCAACGCGCACCCATTTTTTCTCGCTGGCCCGCATGATCACACCACTGGAAAAAACGACTCCTTTCGGGAGCGTCTTCCATTTAAATATGAGGTACGGGCGAAGCTTGTGCCCATCTGACGTGTAACAGAGCATTGCCGTCACTGTAGCTTTACCGTGGACCGATGTCAGCACGCGAACTTGCTTCGCCCCCTTCTTCTCGACGGTTGTGGTGCCAGGCATGTCGAAGTAAAGAGGCGTCTGATCGGCATTCCCAATTTGCCCAAGCAGGTAGTCGTTGTTGCGCCGCAAGTTTAGGACGAACCTCTGAAAACTGTGAAGCTTTTCATCGTACTCCTCCGCAAAACTTTTCGCATATGCATGTTCCCCTTCGGAGGGAAAAGCCTTTCCTCTTCATAAAGTTAGTTAGCCAGCACATACTCGCCGAGCAGCTCTTTAATTTGCGGAAACCGACCCTGCTGTGGTCCACTGAAGTCTTTGCGTAAAGCTTTGCTGTCGAAAATCTTCTGCTTTTGTTTCCGCCGGTCCCGCACGCACGTTTCGGGAACTCCGAACGACCGCGATGCGGCCCGATTTCCGTCCGTTTCTGCACACGCGATGACTTTTCTTTTAAAAGCGGCATCGTGGTGCACTCAAGTTTTTGGAGTCGGCCATTCCACGCCATCGATGCTAATGCACTACTAGATGACGAACTCCTCAGCACACGTACGAAGTGCCGCACATGAGAAAAACATAGGCAGAAATGGACGACGCGCCATGCCGACGCACGTAGGGGGCGGCCATTTTAGATTTGCCGATGGCAATAGATTAGCCGTAATTTTTTTGTTCGTACTCGATACTAACGCGCATGCGATTTATGAACTCGCTTAACCGGAAAAAAGGTGCGCGCTAGATTCGAGTAAAGGCTGGTGCACACCGGCGACTAGCAGCGGTCGCGCGACCATTCGCGACTGGCGACCAAAAAGCGACTGATGTTCACACCGACAGAGGCTGCATGCGAGCGACCGGAAGTCGCAAAACCGGAGAGTCACGTCCGGATCTCGTTATGAGCGAGAACTCCTGAGACCGGCGCGATCAGCTGATCGCCGCCAGCTGAGTCCGTTCTCGCACAGCGTTCCCAACAGCGTCAAGTTCGATTCAAGCGAAGAACAAGACAATTTCAAGGTGCTGATGCACTGTGCCATGGTGTCAGCGCTGGCATCACAGATGCCTCCAAAGAAAAAAAAAAGCCGGTAGTGGATGTGACCATCCTTTCGATCGCGGGAGTTGACCGGCCATGCAAGCCGCCTGCCTTCAGAGCTGCGCTGACACGACGAGGAGTATTTCCGAGAGTCGTACGTATTCAGAAACCATCCTTGAATTTCCCTTGACTTGCCACAGCCTACAATGCTGCACAAATGCGTCTCGAACGTGGAGTCTTAAGTCGTTGCCAAGGCATGAAGTACAAACGCGTTCCAAACACGCTGCGTTGAATGCGCTGACAAGTCAAGTTCAAGACAAAAAAAAGTTTCCGAATACGGGGAAAAGACAGTGCACAATTTATTTTCTCTTTACTTTGACGGTGTTTAGCTTCTTGCGAATGCCACCACGTAAATTCGACACTTTGCTCGAGTTGCTACGGCCCGCCATCTCCAAGCCAAGTATTCCGTGGTGGCCATGGTGCCACAGACCCAGAGGAATGCACTCGTTTGTATCTGGCGGCAGGAAGCCAGCGCAATGAAAAAAAAAATTGAGCATCGCTGATTGGTTAAGCAGCTTTGCGACTGCAGTCGCGCGACTGAAAAATCGGTCAAGAAGCGACTGGCCAACGCAGTCGCTTTGCGACCGTTTGCGACCGTTCGCGACTGGTTGCGACCAGTCGCAAATGGTCGCGCGACCGCTGCTAGTCGCCGGTGTGCACCAGCCTTAAATACGGTAAATTAGTAAGCTTATATGCATGACACCAAAAATTTTACGACTGTGGTACTCTTTGTGCCTACTTTTTAAACCTTGCTGTGCCGCAACAACTTACAAAGTGCTTAAGTTGAGTCACTTTGTCACCTTTCTTTAGAGAAAAGGGGACCGTTCAGCCCTTCTTTTTGAAACTTTCGGTTGCATTTCATGACAAAAGTATATTATGATGAAAAGTGACCTCTCATTCACCTCCTGTGAAAATAAGAAATCCTTTAGTTACTTTCATAGCCTTCAGTCCTCTTTTGTCACTTTCAGTCACCTTCAGGCATGCCAAAAAGGTGAATAACTCAAACCCCGACATAACAATCTTGCATATAACAAATTATTGGTTATAACGAGGTGAAGAATAGTTTTATTATACAGTGTTAAGAATATACGTCTATAACAAATTTTCGAATATAACGAAGTATTTTCATGGCAGATCTGACTTGCTTATGATGAGGTTTGAGTAGTTCAAACAGCACATGCAAGACAAGACTGGCAGAAGCTGATCTTCAGTCGGCCTCAAGCCGTGAAGCAGGCTTACATCGAGCAAGACGCAAAGGTTGAGCAGTCCCCGCTTCTCCATCACGTGCCAGGGCTTCAGTATGCGCTCTGGTCGTTCTGGGTGTACCCTACGCAAGAGACGATGGCTTTTTGAGGACCGTGTTACAGAAACAATGACGCTAAGCAATCCAGAGCAACCTCTTCACCACTGCATAAATAACTGGGTTTGCTTATTTCTAAGGCACAAACAATCTTTATTCCTCGGCCAAAAACGAAAAAATCTAATCAAATTACAGGTAGCAGGCGCGTAGCCAGAAATTTTTTTTCAGGGGATGGGTCACCACCTTGATTTCGGGAGGGGCACCCCCTTAATATGGCCATTTTTCGCTTTCTATGCCATGGCAAAAAAAGTTTTGAGGGGGGGGGGGGGGGCACGTGCTCGGTGTGCCACCCCCTGACAGGTGATAAAGTTATTTTTAAATATTTTTGGGAACAAATGCATCCTCCACTGCATTGCACCTGATATATGAAACAGAGTAACTCAAACCTCAATATAACAAACATGGATATAACGAATTATCGGTTATAGTGAAGTAAGTGAACAATAGCATTGTCATAGACACAGTGTCACAGATACCAGTTTATAACGGTTTCTTGGATATAACGAAGCATTTTCATGGCATGTGTGACTGTTATAATAAGGTTTGGTTGTACATGTTTCAGAGTGCACAGGCACGTGGGGCTTGTGAAGAGCGGTTTTGCAGAAGTAGCCAACGGCAACAGCTCCGCATCAAAATACAAAGCACACACACCTTTCGTTGAGACAGTGGTGTTTAGCCATACGCTCGTCGTAAACCAGCGCTGTTCGGTTTGGCGGCACGTCCAGGTTGGTCTTGGATCGCAGCGCCGCCACCTCTCCTTCAAGCCGTTCCTTGTCCTCGGGCGGATGTTCGTAGTAGCCGCTGCGTGTGGGGAACTTCTCGGGTCGCTGCACACCCAGTTGGCCCCTGTACTCGGAACGCGGCAGGTGCTCGGTGGCCCCCGGGACGGCTTTATTTGTGCCACTTGTACCCTGGATGTGAAGGCTCTTCCAGTGGGACCGTAGCACTGACACGCAGTTTAGCAGCGTCTCCGTTACGCTGCATTCAGATCGACATGAGCCATGTTAGCATCTTTAGCAACAGACAATACACTCAAACCTCAACATAACGAACACAAATATAACAAAATATTGGCCATAATGAAGTGAATTAAAAATAGTCTTGCAACAAATACAGTGCCAGGAATATATGGGAATATATATTTATAACAAATTTTTGGATACTACAAACTTGTATCTTTGTAAGATGCAACTTTGTTATAGTAAAGTTGGAGTGTAATACTAAGGAAATAATAGCCCACATTGGCTGCAGTCTTTAACTGTGGCGCACGAATTACCCTGTAAAATTGAAAAATGAGTTAATTAAGATAAACGAAAAAAAAAAAACTATTTCTGTTCGAAGGGTCCAAACCCACAACTTGTGAATTACGCATCCGATGCTTTACCACTTGCGCTATGATTGAAGGCACTTCCACATCCATTTCGCCGGGCATTTCCGTAAGTGTAATACCCAGGAGTTCTGGCCAGCCCTACTTGGAGCGAGGGCGGCAGGTGTAGAACACTCTTTTCACCAAACCGCGTCACATGGCACGTCATCTTTCCACAAGGTGGCAGCAGACCAATAGAACCTTGAATGCTAACCTGCCGAGATGAGGCATTCGCTATGAATGAACACAGGACGGAGAGTTTCTTTGTCAGTGACAACCAAACGAATATGACCAAAAAACAAGCCAAAGAAGCACAGTCATCTGAAGCTCACATGACCGCCAGCATAAACGTAATATAAGGACAACTCGTAGGTTGAAACGAGACAATTTAGGGCTAAGTAATGCACATACTTTTACTTCCAATGTCTTCAATTCATACTATATTCGCGTAATTTCGACTTGAACAAGTAGATAAGAGGCAGCATTATTTTTGAAGATCAGATTTGTCATCTCATGACATGACATGATTGAGCGATTGCACATAACAATCGTTAAAATTTAAGAAATTAATGTCACAACTGAATTTGTAAAGACTGTACATCATAACCTCGTTAAATGGAGCCTGAAGAGATCGTCAAAAGCTAGAAAACAAATCTGCATGTCCAATGCACTATGGTAATCGGCGTAAACAAAGCTAATGCAACCATTCCGTCATTGTGGCTCGACATGAAAACTTTAATTGTAGCCTTAAGTAAAACGACACTGATGCTGCTAATGTTCCCTGAGCCAAACGACTCACTCCTTGCCGGGCTCATTGCTACGATCCTCCGGTCATCCTCCGGTCTACGCGGAGGTGGAGACCGAGGGTTGATGATTTGACGACTGAAAAGCTAAGTCAAGGTACCCATAAATAATGCGGAACTGGGGCTCTTTTGTACACGCCACAGAGCTGTATTCATATATCAACTTTTCCCCCCCTCTTTGAATTATTTAAAGAAAGCAATTTTTCACCTGTCGCTGACATGGCCCAGCGGTTGTGGCAGGCTTGGGCAGGGGTCCCCCAACAGTGTGCGCAGGGTCAGTGCTACTCCTTCGGCCAGAGACGATACGCAGTAGCCGCCCTGTACAGATAATGGCGCACCACTCTGTTTAGCCCCTTCTCAGCAGAAGTGAGCACGGCATTGTCAAATTTCATTACACCCAACTCTCATCTCATCTCAAACCACCTTTGTCACATCCTAAACTCCCAAAGCGTATCTGTCACAGTGTAATAGCAATGAGACAATTTTTCAATCATTTCGTTACATGTATGGCCTTTATACCGAGGTTTTGACAGTTGTTGGCGCATTGTAGTGCAGAAGGACAAGCAGAACCCAAACTGTACTTGTCAAGAAGACTTCAAACCAGGTTTGAGCAGTACAAACAAACAAAACGGCACATATATCAAGAGTCAGGCAATCACATATGAAGGGAGAAAAATGCCTCCGGCGTGCAAAATCGGAGGAAATACATGAAGATCAGAGCATATCCACGAAGTGAATTATGACGAGTGGGCGTAGGTCTTGGAGATCATTAACCCCCATACATTGCCCAATCGATCATGCCAAGACGTGACAACATGTGTGGACAGTATATACAAAGTTGTTTATTAATCACAATGCGCATACGGTGTTGAGAGCAAAATCATTGGAAAATGTCACACAGCAGTAATCATGTGGATGACGCACCTATGGGGGGGGCCACATTAATACACATGCAACTTTTTGTGTATGACAGCGAAGACTACAAGTAGGAAGAGCTCCGCAAAGAGCAGAGGCAGCGCACATAGTGAAGTGCGACGCAGTCCCCCCAGACTCCGACACACAGTATAAGCAGGAAGCATATGTTGCTTTCGGACTAATATTAATAACAACTGGGACTCAATGTCCAAAACCACATTGCGATTATGAGGGGCATTGTAGTCGAGGGCTCTGTAAATTTCAACCATCTGGTGTTCTTTAGTGTGCACCAACATTGCACTGCACATGGGCCTCCATCGAAATGCAATCGCGGCAACCGGGATCAAACCCCTGACCTTTGGGTTGGGCGAGCAGCCACTCCTTGCAAACGTTAGTTGAGGTAAAGGAAGGGTTTATGTGATTTTTTCTGATAATAGCACCCCCCCCCCCTCCCCTGGCGATGTGGAAATAGATGAGCAATTATCCAGACTTGTCCTTCTATTAATGGAGTAATGAGAAAAAAAATTCAATAGAACGCCTCATAGGCGGTGCCTTATTTACAGCGTGTAACAAATATTTGCGATACAGACTTGTCAGTACTTCATTTAGACTCAAATGCCCGTTTCAGAAGTCCGAAATGGTCAAAACTAATCTGAGGTAGACTTTCAGAGCTCCCGTTCCATTTTAAGGCATTCAGATTAATTAATAAATATATGAATGAAAAGACAAGCACTTACCTCAAGCACGACGCAAACACGACCTCCGGCCAGGGCCATGAGTGGGTGGAGCAGGTGAGCGTAGGTGGCTGGTGACAATCGCATCAGGCCCTGCATGAGTGTTCGACAAATTATCGAGTGTAGAAGCATTCAACTGTAGATTCAAAAGCAACGTAACGAAACACTGTGCTCCATACCTGATCCTGATATACCGCACTATATTTACCGCTTTGAGGCCCACCACGCGATCTTGTACGCACTCTGTGATAAAACATTGTATCTTGCCACACAGGATTGGCAGTTTCACGGCTCACTATGATGCGATTTCATATTGTGCTCGCTAACTGCAGTCTCTGGTTTCTCTAAAGTGTATCGACAAATTTCATTGCACAAGAAAATCAGACATGGTGTTGCCTGTGCAAGCAGCAAAAACATACAGACTGCTTTAGTCAAGTTTTACGATTCGGCTGTCTCGCAACTATAATTAAATATGCATACTCTCAGGTTTGTGGCATTAAAAGTGTGTGAATTTAGTCTGTGTGCTAGACCACGATGGAACAGCAGGACTTAAATATGCTTTGCATATTACTCACCAACTAGGCAAGCCGAATATATCGAATATTTGAGTAGCCAAATACTTAAGATACGATTCACAAATCGAACTATTCGAGAAGTTATTATTCGATCCTTACTCGCATGTTTCAAGTATAGCTACACCCCTATTTAAAAGCTTGGTGATTTGATTTCAAGCAAATAAAAACCATTATATCTATTTTTTGGCTGAGAGTTCGAAACTTCAAATAGCCAAAATTATGGACAAGTGGAATTTAACAGCAAACATTACACTCCAACCTCGATATAATGAACCCGGATATAACAAAATGTTGGTTATAATGAAGTGAATTAAGAATAGGCTTGCAATAGATATATTGTTAGTATACCTCGTAGTGACACGTATCCCGAAGGAGTACGGCCATTAGTGTGGGTCCGGTCTTAGCGAGCCGCAGGGCACGCGTTAACTGTCGCCGTGGCGAGAACACGATACTGCTCAAAGTCGCAACACTTCATTGTCTGTGGCAACACCAAAACGCAGTACAGCCCATTGCAAAGGCGCGGCGGGAAAGCAAATGGGCTTACCCACGCCACACGCATAAAAGTACTACACAGGGTGCCACGAGCACGTCTCCGTGGTAAAGGTGATCCACGGAGACACCGGGACCAAGGCCCAGTTGCCCGAGGGAGGGCAAAGGCGCTCGCGTTGGCTTCGGAGGGAGACGGGTCGGCATAGCCAGGCCACGCACTAGGACACCGTACCACCCTTCGGCCTAGCGTCCGGAAGGGGGTGGGGGGGGAGCAACATAAGGTAAGCGTTCGCCGCGGGCGCAAGGCGCTGTTGGCGAAGTTTGAACGAGCCCCACAGGGAGGTGACGGACGGAAAAGAAAAGCGTGCTTACCTCCATGTCGTCCCCGGAGAGACCCCTCTATACTGCCGACGCGCGCGCACAAAGCCTCTCGGGAGACTCCGCATGCGGCGCGAAAGTCAACATCCGCTACCGGGTGAGGGGGTTAAACCTCACTCCGCTCTCCCAGCGCGGCAGACAGCGGAGGAGGGGAGACATGTCGGGACATGAGAACGACAGAAAAGGCGGCGGGCTAGCCTCAATTCCCACAACCTTTATAACAAATTTTCGGACATAACAACCTTATTTTCAAGCAAGACTCGTGTTTTGCTTTTGATCAGGCTGCTACTGATTCTTAGGCCGTTCAATTAGTGATAAACGATGAACAGATCAACTTGCCTCCGGACATCCAAGGGCTGCGTCATAGCCAGCCGAGACCAGCACCAGCTCTGGCTGGAACTGCAAAGAAAGAAAGATCCAGCACTGACTTTGGAGGCAGACTCTTTCAGCGGCGAATTTCGCCAGTTACCCCGGAACTGACCTCGTATGCCACTGGCAAGAGCAGCTGGTGCCAGATGGCCAGGTAGTCCGCGTCACCGAGGCCCACCTGTCGGCACACGAATCATGGTCAAGTGCAATCATTCACGGTCATACTAAGCGGGCTGCCACGGTTCTAGAAAAAGTTTTATCCTTCTAGAAGTAACTGCTGTTCAATCTGCTAATTACACATATGCACTTGCTTGCAACATTAAAGATCCGTATCACTTACGCTCTTAGGTCGTGCAAGTGTTGAAGAAACATTCATGAGCATTGAATGTGCAATTCAATGCGCATGAATTGTGATAGAATTGTGTATTGTGATAGATTTATCGTAACGTTGCATCACCTTTACCTGTTCCTTGTTCAAAAGCTCTTGCCAAGCCCTGCTTCACTTGTCGACCAACAATATTTCATTTTTAAAGGAAGTCCCACAGCAGTTCTGTATTTACACCTGCATAATAATTGATTTATTGATGTGTGGGTTTTAATGTCCCAAAACCACCATGTGATTATGAGAGACGTCATAGTGAAGGGCTCCAGAAATTTTGATCCCCTGGGGTTCTTTAACATGCACCCAAATCTGAACACGTGTGCCTAAAGCATTTTCGCCTCTATCAAAAATGCAGTCACCGCAGCCGGGATTCGATCCCGCAACCTGCGGGTCAGCAGCCGAGTACCTTAGCCACTAGACCACCACAGCAAGGCACACCTGAATAGTGTAAATATGCTATACATACGTTATTATTGTGATAGATAAAGCATTCCGATTCATACACCACACCTACTAACGACCAAGTGCCAATGTCCTCACTACCAGACAGCTAATAATAATCAAAAGCTCATTAGCCTAGCATTATTCGCCAAGGCCACTTCATGTACTTACACTTTTCACACACAACCAATTCAGCCAAAATAAAACTGCATTTCAATAGGCCTTCACCTGCACATGCGTTTACAGGTCTGAAAACTTTACCCAGGGACTTACGGACATAAACGACTGTCATACAAGGGGCTCACCTGGTTGAGAGGCACATTTATGTTGTAGCCCACACCGGCGCCCCGGCCCACGTAAGGGAAGTCAGACTCCCGCATCTCGGGCCAGAACTTACCATGTTCATAACGATGCACAGAGAAGTAGAGGACCCTGCGCAAAAGTTTTAGAGGATTGGCATTGTAAACCTTTCATGCTCAGATAAACAGTAGTTTTTGTATACCCGTTCAATCGTGTTCCTTACATATTATTTCGTATGGCTTTTTGTAGTACTGAGAAACTTATCTAGTACAGTCAAACCTCATTATAACAAACTTGCATCTTATGCAAAAATAATTTAGTTACATCCAAAAATTCGTTATATATGTATATTTCTAACACTGTATCTGTTGCAAGACTATTCTTTGTTGACTTTGTTACAATAGATATTTCATTATATCCGGGCTCGTTATATCGAGGTTTGAGTGTATAGTGCATTTGGTTTCTTTCGGTAGAGTGTAAAGTTGGGCGTTGGTTCTTTGCGAATGTGCCTTGTGAAATGGCCAAGACTGCTTCTCCAGAAGAAGCTGCCTGAAGCAAGCATCAGCGAGAGTTTACGTGGCAACAGGCATGTTGCGCTGAGGCAACCGTGATGTTCGTGAAAGAGGGACCTAAGCTAAACAGCAACCAAAGGACTTGTGCAACTTTTCTCAGCCACAGGACCTTGCGTTTCACCCACAGTTCTATTTTCTCCTTGTGAACAGACCAGAAACTCCCTCATATATTGCAATCGCAGCTGTGTTACAATAGACAATACCAACTACTGTCTTGTTTTCTGAGAACCTCATCTCCTCGCTGCTTCGACTAGTTAAAAAGTACAGTAAAACCTCGGTGATAGTAAATCTCGTGAGGTCACCAAAAATATTCATATTGATACATAACAGCCACTAAACACGGCTGCATGAAAGAGGAGGACGAAGTGAGTTTTCGTTAGATGCTCGACTGGCGCCATCTTGCTCATTGAGTTCTGTGCGTTGTAAATAGATTATTAAAGAAGTTACTCGTAACATTATTGGTGGAGGTGGATAACCCACGTGCTTCGATGGAGATGGAGACGCGCAGTGGTCGCACCATCAGCGACCTTTCGACTGCTTCGGCTGCTGGTACTTCCTATACGCCGCCCTCATCAGTCCAAGCCACAGACCTACGTCCCACTCACGCACCTCCGGGATCCTGGCACTTTCTCTGGTGATGGTACGATCGATCTTGACACTTGGCTGAACCGATACGAGCGCGTCAGTGCTACTCACCGCTGGGATCCCACGCTCATGCTTGCCAACGTGGTTTTCTACCTGAACGGCACTCCCCGAACATGGTTTGAAAGCCACGAAGCCAACATAACGAGCTGGGATCTCTTCAAAGAAAAGATACGCGACCTGTTTGGCAATTTATCTGGTCGTCAGCTCGCTGCGAAGAAGACTCTTTCCACACGGGCTCAGTCTTCTACCGAATCCTACGTCTCCTACATTCTTGACGTCTTGGCCCTTTGTTCCAAGGCCAACCAGTGCATGATGAAAGACGAAAAGATTAACCACGTCTTTAAAGGCATTGCTGACAATGCTTTCGACCTGCTTGTTTTTAACAATGTCTCGAGCATCGACACTATCCTTAAAGAATGCCGGCGTCTCGAACAAGCTAAAGCCCGCCGCATAGCCCAAAGCATCGTGCGCCTTCCGAACACAGCGGCCACTTCTTCATGTGACGACGCCTTCCAACAGGCCCCTCGATGTTACAACCTCACACGCATCATTCGTCGACAGGTCGAGGCAGCCCAACCGGTAGCCACACCATTACCGACGCCTGCGCCTTCCCCGATCTCTTTGATACAAGCCGTCATTCGTCAAGAGCTATCGAATGTCGGCCTACATACTGTTCCTGCCGTATATTCTGCTGAGCTTTCTTATCATCCCCCTTCTGCTCCTCGCATACTATGCAATCCGTCCGAATGGCGTACCCTTGATGACAGGCCCATATGTTTTAACTGTCGACGCACTGGTCATATCGCTCGTCGCTGCCGCACCGTCCCATTATGCACCTCAGTATCACGCCACATCTGTCCGCCAGTCGTCCCCACCACTTTCTCCATCAACACCGACCACATTTTCCGCTCCTGCAGCACATCTGAGCAGACCTCGCTACGACCGGTCACCATCTCCTGCTTGTCGTCAGTCCCAGTCACCCCCACAACACCGTGCTGCCTCTCCGACCTATTCGCAGCACCTCCGAACAGAAAACTAGGCCGTGCAGCTTCTGGAGATGGAGCTGCGTTGACGACCTTCGTAAGAAATCCTCGCTTAACGTTAACGACGAACCGGAACCTTTTGGACATTACTGTCGACAATGTTCGTGTCAGTGCATTGATAGATACTGGCACGCATGTGTCCATTATAAGTGCTAACTTTTGCCGCCGACATAAAAAAGTTGTCACGACCGCCCTCATCCGAGCTGTACGAGTCGCCGATAGAGGAACTGCCGCAATTCTTGACATGTGCTCTGCGCGAGTGTCCATTGGGGAGAGAAGCACTGTCGTTCTTTTCGCCGTTATCGAACATTGCCCTCATGAACTCATTCTCGGTATGAATTTTTTAGCCACGCACTCTGCTCTCATAGACTGTTCAGCTGGCTCTCTTTATCTCGATTTACCTCTCTTTTCCGACCCGACCAGCCCACCGCAAACCAGCCTCTGCTGCATTGATTTCATTCGCCTCCCGCCCAACTCTGTCCCACATGTCGACTTATCCTCCACGCCGCCAGTACCTGATGGTGATTACATGATGGCCCCGATTCCTGCCGTGATGCTTACGCATGGGGTTGCTGTGCCGCATATGATTCTGACGATTACGAGAAACCACACCTTCCTTGCACTGGTCAACTTCCCACTCACGACCTAAGTTCTACCACAGGGTATCTCCCTGGCCAAATTACCGCTCTCCAAGATGACCATGTCGAGCCCTTCAGAGTTGACGATTGCTGCAGCTCAGTCAGTCCACTCCATCACGTTCTTGGGGCGCCGACATCGAGCGAATGCTGTCATAGGACCTCACGTCTGAGCAAGCTGCAGAGCTTTGCTATGTTCTTGAGGGCTACCGTAGCATTTTCGACTTTGCCAGCAACTCTTTAAGCCAAACGAGCATTGTCACCCATCGCATAAATACTGGCCATGCAACTCCCATTCACTGAAGCCCCTACCATTCTCTGCGTCGGAGCGAGCAATATTACAACATGAAGTCGGCAAAATGCTTGAGAAAAACATTATCGAGCCTTTATGCAGCCGCTGGGCTTCTCCAGTCGTCCTTGTTAAAAAGAAGAATGGAACATGGCGCTTTTATGTCGATTACCGTCACCTCAACAAAATTACAAAAAAAAGACGTTTATCCTTTACCTCGCATCGACGACGCCCTCGACTGCCTGTACGGTGCTACTTATTTTTCAAGCACTGACCTTCGGTCAGGCTACTGGCAGATAGCCGTCGACGAGATGGACCGCGAGAAGACCGCATTCATCACTCCTGATGGCCTTTATCAGTTTAAGGTGATGCCCTTTAATCTCTGCAATGCGCCAGCCACATTTGAAAGAATGATGGACTCATTGCTCCAAGGGTTGAAATGGTCCACCTGCTTGTGTTACCTTGATGATGTTATTGTCTTTTCGCCCACATACGACTCGCATCTCGATCGTTTGTCAGCTATTCTGGACGTTTTTCGTCGAGCCGGACTCCAGCTTAACGCCTCCAAGTGCCACTTCGCTCGTCGTCAAATTTCCGTGCTCGGTCACCTTGTCGATGCCCAAGGCGTGCGTGCAGACCCAGAGAAAATTAGCGCAGTCACGAACTTTCCCGTTATGAGGACCACAAGGGATGTCCGCAGTTTTGTGGGGTTGTGCTCATATTTCAGATGCTCTGTTAAGGACTTTGCGACCATTGCACACCCTTTCACAGACCTCTTGAAGAAAGAGGCCTCGTTTATCTGGGGCCATGACCAAGCGTGATTATTTTCCCAACTTACGACACTGCTTACAATGCCACCAATCTTGGCTCACTTTGATCATTAGCCCCAACCGAGGTCCACACGCATGCCAGTGGATACGGCATAGGAGCTGTGCTATTGCAGCAACAACGGGGACACGACCGTGTTATAGCCTACGCAAGTCGACTGCTATCTCCAGCCAAGCGCAACTATTCCATCACGGAGCGCGAGTGGTGCCTCGCCCTTGTATGGGCAGTCACCAAGTTTCGTCCATACCTGTATGAGCGCTCACTCCGTGTTGTCACGGATCATCACGCGCTCTGCTGGCTAGCCTCCCTGAAGGACCCCACAGAACGTCTCGCTCCTTGGGCCCTACGCCTTCAAGAATACACATTCTCTGTAATGTATAAAACAGGGCGATTACATCAGGATGCCGATTGTTTATCCCGCTACCCTGTTGACGAAGCAACCGATACTGATGCTATCACGTACGTTTTTTCCGTGTCACAGCTGTTGAACATTGGCAAAGAGCAATGTCGGGATGCTTCTTTACGAGCCATCATTGACAAACTGGAGTCAACGCCTCGCGACCCGTCCCTACGAATGTTTTTGGTGAAAGACGGGACCCTATATCACCGTAACCTTGATTCCTTCGGATCAGACTTACTTCCTGTCATCCCAGCGCACCTGCGTTCCACTGTCCTGCATCAACTTCATGACGCTCCCATGACGGGCCATTTGGGCGTTTCTCGCACGTACGATCGGGTACGACGTTGGTTTTTTTGGCCTAGACCTGCCTGCTCTGTTCGACGCTATGTCGCCGCTTGTGAGCCCTGTCAGCCCTGTCAGGCCCTCCCGGCCGGCTACCTTCAGCCAATCGACGTTCCCACTGAACCTTTCTTTCAAGTTGGTCTCGACCTGTTGGGCCCTTTTCCACTCTTCACAGCCAGAAATAAATGGATTGCTGTTGCCACAGACTATGGGACGCGGTACGCAATCACACGAGCACTCCTGACCAGTTGCACTACCGACGTTGCGGACTTTCTGCTGTATGACATAATATTAGTGCACGGTGCTCCCTGCCAATTTCTCACCGACCGTGGCCGCACGTTCTTATCAGCTGTCGGACATGAAATCCTGAGGTCTTGCCATACCAAGCACAAATTCACTACTTCGTACCATCCCCATTCAAATGGCCTCACGGAGCGCCTCAACAGGACCCTAACTGATATGCTTGCCAAATACGTTGCGCCAGACCAGCAGGATAGGGACATTCATTTGCCGTATGTGATGTTCGCCTACAATTCATCCCGTCACAACACTGCCGGCTATTCTCCCTTCTATCTCCTATATAGCCGGGACCCAACTCTACCCTTAGACACTTTGCTACCTGCGACCACTGAATATGCCGGGGAAGCCATTGCCAGCGCCGACCATGCGCGCCAAGTCGCCCGTAACCATCTACAGGCTTCACAGGCGCACCAACAACAGCTCTACAATTCTCACCATGAGGACGTGCACTTTTCCCCGGGTTCTCTCGTACTCCTCTGGTCATCTACTCGGCGTGTGGGACTGTCTGAAAACTGTTGTCGCCCTACACAGGACTGTTCCGTATCGTTCGCCAAGTGACAGACGTCACGTACGAGATTGTTCCAACCGATCCAACAAAGTCATCGTCAGCTCCGAGCGACACCGTTCACGTGGCTCGACTAAAGCCCTATTACCCCCCTTCGACATCATCTGCGCAGATTGATACATAACAGCCGCTAAACACCGCTGCATAAAAGAGGAGGACGAAGTGAGTTTTCGTTTGATGCTGGACTGGCGCCATCTTGCTCATCGAGTTCTCTGCGTAATAAATAGATTATTAAAAAAGTTATTCGTAACATCATCATCAGAAATTCATATTACCAGAAAATGTGGAAAATTGGTACAAAACAAAAGAAAGCTGCCATACATTTTCACTTATTTCGTCTCAGGGCCGCAGCAATGTCATGAACAGCTTAGATCGATCGACAGTAACCTTTTTAGAATCGATGATCACTCATGTGCTCTTAAATATAGGCACGTGTGCGTGTGCATAATTAATGAACCAAGTGTATTGTGATTTGTGACAGCAAGTGGTCCCTTCCAAATCTTGGTATGCTTTTCTGCATGATGCCAGCGAACTTTGGTGAAAAGAATTACGGAGCACTTTGCATGCGATAGGGCACCGAATAGAAGATTTTATAAATGCTGTCCTCTTGCTTTTTTTATTTTCTCATCATGGTGGTGCTAAAGATGTTTTTTGGGAGATTTTTGGCCACGCTCAAACCACTGCGAAGTTCGCTCGAAATTCGGTACTCTTCCGTGCGAATCAGAGGGTTCGCAGTCGTGCACGTCCCAAGTGTGCCAAGGTTCAAAACCGTTTCTTTCTTTTTCCGATCCTCGTCCACCTTTCCTAGGATGTCGATTCCGAGTATGTGGAGTGCATGTATCAACGTGGAAGGTGTGCATGAACACAGTACAATGACGCACTCAAGAAAAAAATGCGAAGCCACCGCCATTTGTAATCTAAACGCAAATACACACGAAGGTGCATTAAGGCCTACGACATTTGTGTGCACAATCTCGCAAATTACAACGCGTAGCTGATGGTCAACTGGTGGCGCGACTCGCATACCTGCGCTTGGGTTCCCGTGCACACATGACTGCCACATCCCTTGCGACAGCGCAGGTAACGTACGTTCACATCAAACATCTGAAGGCAACAATCGTTTTGCAATTTGCAACAACTGTACTCCATTACACTGCAGGCTAGCAGGCCTTGCCCGGGACCACAGAGAGATTCGTATCACCCTGAAATTTGCACGAACCGTGAGTGTATCACCTTGGTTTTTACTGTACTTTTTTTTTTTGGACAAGTCCCCAATGTGACGTAATGCGACACCGAAAGGGGCTTACCGAGGATCCTCGTAGAAGGCGTACTGAGTCGCCTGGCCATGGTGCACATCCCAGTCCACAATGAGAACCCTGCAAAGCACACGAACAAGAATGGGTCGTGCACTGCTTGTCGCAATAAACAGACACCAACGTCAGCTTGTCCACCATCAAAGGAAACAGCGTGCTACCAAAATGTTTCACACAGGACTCGATGAGTTGTACGATCCGAAAGCATGGTATAAAATAAAACGATGGCCATAAGCTCTTCCTTGCGACTGACAGCTTGTTAGAAGCAGACTGAGCGTGAAGTTCCAATATAAAGCTTCTATCTGCATGTTGTTGCTGTTTTGCACTGCAAGTTTAGCAACCCAATAGAAGTCGCCCAGTTAACTAGTCTCGTATGGGGTGTCTGCAGTTGACATTGCGTTTCATTATTCGCACATCACATTGAACCTGGTAATCGCAATTAGGATAAATGGCAATAAGGGATCCCAAGTGCTCACCCATTCGCTGTGCCATTCCACGCAGACAGTTTTCAGCGTCTATGGTATTCACATTAACAAGAGAAAGAAACTCGAGGCCGCACCTTTTCAGCCGGAGCTCGTCGAGCGCGTACTTCGCCGCCAGGGCCACATTGTTGAAGAAGCAGTAGCCGCAGTACTCGTTGTGCATGGCGTGGTGACCCGGGGGGCGAACTAGAGCCATGCCGTTTCGCACCTGCACGCCAAACACTGCCTCGAGTGACAGCTAGAGAAAGCTCCCCCGATCAGGGAATGTGCTATCCTTCACGCGTTTAATGCATAACGCTTTAATATTTACTATATTTAGAGCGTGTAAGCCAGTATAAGAAGCTTTTTAATGTCAAAAATGAGGAATCGATGTGAGGGTGATATTTTCATTTAACCTCGAAGTGGAGCTTCGCAACAGTGCAAATTTTCAATAAATAGTTGTTTTCATGGCTTAGCGCGCCTTGACTGCAGTGAAACCATCTTTAGAAAAAGATCAATGTGAACTGATATAGATTTGAATAAGTGCTTTCACAGTTTAGCACCACTCCACTGCAGTGAAATCTGCATGCAACTCTGGTTGCACGCACACTACTACACACCTATTTGTTCATTTCAAATGCTTCAAAATTTTCAATAATTTATAGTTGAATTCAAGGGAATTCAAATAATATCATATTCGTTCGAATTTTTGAATTCTTCGAATATTCACACAAGCCTAACTACAACATGTTTCTAAAAGCTTATTTCGGTTTGTAAAATACCCTAACATCATTATACGGGACAAAAAGGTATAGCAGATTGTAAAACACTTTCCCAGTTCCAGCTGTTTTTACATACAAATTTTCCATATGTCGCCTCTTTGTTGCATACACCGCTTTGTTAATAGCTCATTCTTTTATCTTTGTCTTTGTGTAAACATATGTGCTTTTACGTGATTAATCGTGTTACCACCCTGCAATAACACCCTCGTGGCGCTGCAGGTAATTCTATAAATAAATAAAATAGATAAATAAAAAATTCACACCACGTGCTTGCCCAGGATACCGCAACGTTTCTACGACAGCTCCGCTCTGTGTTGCTGTTGGTGATATGCAGGCAGCCCTTTTGCGCATTCTCATACCTAACGTCATCGCAAGCTATACGCACTGGTGTGAGAGGTCGCAAGATCGAATAAATGCAACCACGCAACCACAATGCCTAAACAACCTGAACTAGCATAAGCAGTACACTACACCTTTCAGCACATACTATAGAGCAATAGGAGGGCCTATCTATTTCTTAGGCAAAGGAGGAGCAGAAGCAAGAATAACAGCTTAACATCGAAGAGATACTTGCCTTTCCCTGGATGACAGCCGTCACAAGGTCCTTAGTACAGCCCGCGGCGAGCAATGCCAGCTCATACGTTTTCTGTAGGCAAATGTGAGAAATCACTCAAACCTCAATGTATACAACCCGGATATAACAAAATATCGCCTATAATGAAGTAAATGAAGAACAGTCTTGCAATAGATACAGCGTTAGGAGTACACTTTTACAACAAATTTTCGCATACCTTGAACTTAATTTTGTATAAGATGCAAGTTTGTTATAATGAGGCTTGACTGCACTGGTTATGTAAAACTCAGCAGCCTTACGCCTACTAAATGCTTCTTTCTGCACAAATACACACTTCAGTAGGCTGTCACACAGATTAGGCGAAACGCAAGAGAGACATTCAGATCATACAGTGGACAAAACGATGGGCCAATAATGAAGGCTGATGACTAAGCACCTTGCACAACAGCAGCTCTTGCCCGTCTATCCAGAGCCATATAACGAGACATTCACTTTTTCAGGTTTCACTTTTGACGTGCAACGGTAAGCAGTTTTGGAAAACAATACCTTAACTCTCGGGTTAACTTAATATCTGGGGTCTCACATGCCAGAACTATGACACGATTATAAGAAACATCGTAGTGGAGTGCTCCAAAAATTTTGACCAGCCGGTGTTCTTTAACATGCATTGACACCACACCGTGCACAGGCCTCTAGCAATTCGCCTCCATCGAAAAACTACTACCGCGGCCGCAATCAAACATGCAATCTTCAGGTCGGCAGCCAAGCACCGCAAGTGCTACGCCACCGCAGCGGACAGGTTTAGAAAATACGTAAACCAATGGATGTCAGCGTTTTACAGTGAAACCTCGTTAAACCGTACCCGCGTAAACAGTAATTTCGTTTTAAAAGTAGTGAAGTCGAATCCCCGACTCGGCGGCCATTGAACATTATGCATTTTGTATCCGCATAAGCCGTACCAGCTTATCGCGTATGTATCGGTTAATAAGTAGTTTTTGGAATTTTCGTTGCGCACTCGCCGCGGCATGTCGTCCCCCCCTGGGCGTCCCGACAGAACAGCAAGCCCCAGAGATCGAAACACGCCTCACTTGTTTGTGTGATGATGATGGCGGCTGTGTTGGTGAGCGCCATCTCTTGGATTTTTCTGCAACAAGAAGCACTCGGCTGGCGAGGCTTCTGGTGTTGTCCATGCGATGGCGCTTTGCACAAACACGCAAACACGATGTGTGCTTGCTTTGCTTTCTTTGTTCCTTTGGCGCCGTGCATAGCTGTTCTCTGGTTGATCCCTGCCGTACAGCTCTCGCGTCGTTTTTCATGTGTTGTGTATGTGTGCTTGTGCTGCTTCGTACTTGCGTCATGCCGAAGCTGGGACAAAAGCATCGAGTGCTGAAAATAGAGGAGAAATTGGACATAATTCGTGCTATTGAAAGTGGCACGAAAAAATCGACGCTGGCACGCGAAAAGGACCTGCCGTTAACATGCCGTTAACCACGGTGTGTGGAATTCGGAATTCCAGAGAGAAGTTGCTCGGCAGTGCTGCTGCAACTGCGAAAAGGTGCCGGCTGCGCGGTTCAGCGTTTTCGGATGTAGAGGAGGCGCTGGTGAAGTGGCTAAAAGCTGCACGGTCAAAAAATCTGCCTATCAGCGGACCCCTGCTCGTGGAGAAGGCCCTGGTTTTTGCCTCGCAGCTCAACCATGACAACTTCGTGTGCAGCAATGGCTGGCTGGCCAGATTTAAGGCGAAGCACGGCATTATCACGAGGACTGTTTCGGAAGAAGGTGCTGCTGCTGACGTGGATGGCACAGAGCAGTGGCAAAATGGTCAGCCGAAGAACATCTTGGAAGACTACGCACCTGATGACATCTTTAATATGGATGAATCGGCGCTATTCTTTAAGCTACTACCAGACAAAACGCTCGCGTTCAAAGGCGAGATGTGCATTGGCGGCAAGCATGCAAAAGACAGAATATCAGTGGCGTTTTGCGTAAACATGACTGGAACCGACAAAACTTTGCTCCTCGTGATTGGAAAGTCGGCGAAGCCTAGATGTTTCAAAGGCGCCCGGTTGCCATCAGGGGTCATCTATTGCAGCAACACCAAAGCACGGATGACGGCAAAACTCTTTGAGGAGTACGTGCGCCTCATCGATCGTCGTTTTGCGGCTAAGAACAGAAGAGTTGTTATTATTTTAGACAACGCTTCGGCGCACGTCGCCCTGGACAACCTGACGGCTGTGAAGTTGGCGTTTCTGCCACCAAACGCAACAGCGATTGCCCAGCCTTAGACCAAGGCATCATTTGAGCCGTAAAACAGCTCTACAAGAAGAATCTGCGGCGCAGATTTCCTGTCGCCATTGAATGTGGCAAATTATTCTCCATCGACCTGATTGACGCGATTCACCTGCTTGAATACTCGTGGCGGCAGGTTGAAGCAACGACAGTTCAAAATTGCTTCAAGCGTGCTGGCTTCAGTGTGTGTGCGGGCGACGCAGATGACGCCAGTGACACCATCGACCAGACTTCGAACATCGTAGACGAAGCTTGCAAAACTCTGCTAGCTGAAGTGCTGGAGCGGCAGGGCGTTATGGAAGGCATTTCCTTCTCCGACTTCAGAGACGCAGACAGTGATGTGCAGACATCTCCGGCCATGTCCGACGAAGCCATTGTTGCCTCGGTTGTCGAAGTGTCGCCAAATGATAGTGATGAGGACGACATAGAAAGCGACAACACAGGTGATCCAGGTCTGACAGTGGCCGAAGCTGCGCATTGCATCAGCGTCATGCGGGTATTTGCCGAGAAGAGGGGGCTGGCGGAAAAGCTGGCACACAGCATAAGTGAGTTTGAGGCCGCTGTGGTTGCTGCTAGGCCGCCGCGTCGTCAAATGAAGATTACAGACTTTGTCACGCAAAGTTAATAAATTACTGCACGTTTTTTGTTCTTTCATCGCACTCCCTGAAGGTTTCTTTATTTGACAGGTAAGTGAGCGACCTGACGCTATTTCGGTTAAGCAGTACTACTTTTTTCGAGCTCCGGCCGACTACGGTTTAACGAGGTTTCACTGTATACGTGCGTTGTGAGCAGCATCACTTATGCAAATGAGAGACTGCTATTATGTGTGTTCAGGAATTTTATGAAAGCACTACTCTCAGAGTCGGAGCGTGTGTATTACCGAGATGGGAACAGATCCCTGTAATATATGTGGCTATGTCGTTGTGTGTATCATATCAGGTTATTACACAGAATCATCACCACCCGATTACCAGGCACACCGTAATACCGTATTTGCTCGTGTAATCCTCGCACCCCCCACATCGCCCAACAAAAATAAGATTTTTTTTGCCCGAGTAATTATCGCCCCCCCCCCCCCTCCCAAAATTGCCGCAATAACGTTGTCTGCTCGTTCCAGCCATTGATGATGATAGCGCACGCCATCTGGCACCATCTCTTAAGCATCAAGCGTACTATTATTGCACGGAGATTCAGTTTAATCCAAGCCAAGCCAAAGCGGCAAGTGCGCATTGCGGCGTGTTTTGTATGTTGTGTCGGTAACCTTGTCACGTTATGGGGCGATACTGAAGCTACACAGCTGCTTTAAGGGGAGATGCGGGTCGAAAAATCGCGTTTTTTGCGAAAATTTCCACTTTTGAGATATTGCTGCTAAAATCACTTTTGATCATTCAACTATCATTTCCCCAAAGGTCATAGCTGAATTCAAACGAGAAAGTGGTAAAAAGTCGATCTGCGCTAGTGAAGGTAGCTGCCGAAGTCGCGAATTCACGCATCCGACGGCTATTTTTGAAAATCCGCCACTCGGCAACACGATGACGTCCGCCATCGGGGTTTGTTCGGTGGTGTAGATCAAGGCTCCTTCTAGTGTACAGGCGTCCCCCTAGTTTCGTATTTTAGTGAGGAATTTCACAAAACAGTCGTTTCCAAGTCGGTTTGCAGCCAAGCTGCAGCCGCTTCGCGCATCTCTACCGGTCACATGGTACGCTACCGAGGCCGCCATTGGCTACATCTGATCGGCCTCGCTCGCTGAGCGCTTGCGACGATCGGCACTTGCCGTGCGTTTCTATGTTTTTCCGAGTTCACCATGGATAACTCGAAGAAGCGAGACTTCCGAGCACGAAAGTTTGCAAGCAAGAACAAGTACCAAGGGCGTCGACGTAAACCGAAGCGCAAAGCAGCGGTAGAAGAATGCGAGCCGCGGGCCACTAGGCCTAATCAAGGCAGCGGGGATACGGCGGCTTGCGGGAACTTTGACGAAATCGACGCCGCGATCAAGTTCATCAGCGCATCAGAAAAAAAGATTGAACAGTTCGAAAGCGAAAGAACGAAGAGTGTTTGTGGCTCTGTGAGCGGAGTATTTTGTGACATCGGCGCACTGACATCGATGGTAAGCCGTGCTGTTTGTCCAACATGCCACACCGCTGGACTCGTCGTTCGCGACACCGCAAGTAAACGTAAGGGCCTCTCTTCGTTCCTCGAGCTGCACTGTGATAACAGTGAGTGTCCTGAGTCAGTGGTTTCTGCCGCGCATAGTTCGCGGCGTGTTCTGCCGGAAAGACAGCCCACCGATGCCGGTGATGACTGGAGCTACCGAAGCGGCAGCTCGCGCGACAGCTTCGCTGTCAATGTGAAGGTAGTTGTGGCTGCGCGTGCAATAGGCATTGGGCATGAACAGCTGTCGCGTTTTTGCGCTATTCTTGGACTGCCAATACCTATGCATCATAAGACTTTTATTGCAATCGGCAAAAAAGTTCATGCTGCAGCTACCAAAGCTGTGCAAGAAAACCTGGCGAAAGCGCGGATGATAACTAAAGAGAAAGTGGATGGGGCTGATGTTGCTGTCATGTATGATGGCACATGGCAAAAAAGAGGGCACAAGAGCCACAATGGCATCGGCACTGCTGTGTCTGTGGACACTGGTTTGTGCCTAGATTTTGAAGTGCTATCGAATTACTGCCTTGCCTGTAGCCGGCACCAGGACTTGGGTGATGAGGAAGAAATATGGCAAGCATTCCACACACCTGTCTGCGAAAAAAATACAGAGTGCTCCTCTCATGCCATGGAGACTGAGGCAGCTTTGCGCATATGGGGCAGGACATCCTCATACACAACACCATTGCGCTTCACCAAGTTCCTCAGTGATGGGGACAGCAAAGCTTATACCGCTGTCGCTGAGGCCAAGGTATATGGTGAAGCTGTTGTGGACAAGGAGGAGTGCACAAACCATGTGGCCAAGCGTCTAGGCACTGCACTTCGGAAACTGCCAACAAGACTTCCACGAGGGGAAAAGCTGACAGATGGCACAATTCAGAAGCTGCAGAACTATTACCGTATTGCAATCACAAACAACAGAGGTGATATTCTGAAAATGCATCGTGCCATCTGGGCCTCATATTTCCATTCATCATCGAGCAACACAGCAGGCAGCCACCGATACTGTCCAGAAGGAGCGACTTCCTGGTGCAAGCATAGGCGAGCTGAAGCGCTTGGGGAGGCCCCACCCGACCACACACCAATCTTGACCAAGGCTCAAGGATTGGCTGTGCTTCCCATTTACAAGCGGCTCACAGATGAAAAGTTGCTGGTGCGTTGTATCCAAGGGAAGACCCAAAACGCTGCAGAATCTTTGAACAGCAAAATCTGGTTGTTGTGTCCGAAGACTAAGTTTGCCTCCCGGACAACAGTGGAAACTGCAGCTGCTATGGCCGTGTTGTGGTTCAATAAAGGACATTCAAGCTTTGAACACGTGCTAGAGGAGCTTGGTGTAGTCCCACCAGATCAACTGATCACCCTGGGCCGATCCCGCGACCAGAGGAGAATCGAAAGAATGTCTGCGTGTGAAACAGCCGAGGCAAGGGCCCATCGGCGGAACGTGGCAAAGAAAGCGCGCCTTGATGACTCCCTTCTCAAGCGGCGAGAAGGATCCACATATGGAGCAGGACAATTTTAGGTGCTCTAGCTGTGTCCCTTCTATGATATCACCAAGTTTTGTGCAAATCGCACTGTGTAATCATGAGTAAACATATTTACAACTTTCAAATGCATTTTTCTCGATTTCCATTTTGAGGTAATTCTCTCATCTTGTGCACAATCTTTTTTAGGCATAAAATAGTCCTATCTTGATGAAATTTTGCACAGAGCTTAATCAGCCACTCTAGAATACAAGTATCTACTTTAGGTTGCATTATACATCACAGATTTTTTGTTACACAACTTGATACACTGATAGAGAGATGTAAAATATGCATTTAGTACTTTTAATTTTTTTTTTTTAATGCAGCAAATAAATTTTCTGTTTGAGGTACTTTTCTGTATTGTACTGCTCAAGTGCAGCAGAATGAGCCATTTTGCAATTCTGTGTGAAAATTTTTAGTAAGCTTTATTATGTGCACAAAAAACACTATATTTTGATATCAAAGTTGTAGTAACTCCGGAACTACTATAGCTATCAAACAAATAATTGCAGTTATGAAATCAGCACTGCAAGCTTTACTAACACCTAAAATTTCAAGGAGCTGGGTTATGAAATAAAAAAAAACCTTTTTCGAGTAGCATCTCCCCTTAAAGTTGAAAGTGATTGATCATGCACTAAACAACGGCAACAGGGCCACCGGTAGGTCCTTTGGAGTCGACGAGTTTTGTGTTCGCTACTGGTGACAGCAGCTGAAAACCACCAAGACGCATTGGGCCTGCCGCGTTCCTAAGACTGGGATTGATGGTAAACTATTTCTACAGAAGAAAACTTAAATTCTGTTAAATAGCCATCAGCCCAATACCGACATCCTACGCTTACCTTTTGAGAGCTCCGGTTGAGTGACGAACGCTACCGCAACGATCACAAGCTTTGCGTATGGTATTCTAATTCTCGACTATTTGCTTGCACTTTTTGTGTCTCAAATAAATCTTGCCTTGAGTTGAACCTCTGCTTTTATTGTTGAGGTAAATCTTAATTAGTACCTCTCATAGCTTGCTGTTAGTTGCTGGTGTGAGAATCCCGATTTGTGGCCACTTCGTTTTCTTTTTCACTCTGTACGTTTTTGTAGAAAGTCCCCCCCCCCCCCCCCCGTAATTCTCGCACCCCCCAACTTTGCATCGGTTTTCCAGCGAAAAATGTGCGAGGATTATGTGAGTAAATACGGTAAACTTCAGAACTCTTGATCACCAAGAATTCCTTTAAGAGGGTTCATGAACAAACTTTCAGGCTTGGTGAGAAAAACACATCCTGAAAAACGCAGACACTGCCATAAAGGGCTCAGCCAATCTTGCAGTTGTGGGCAGCAAAGGAGAGTTTAGAATCGGAGGGTAACGTTGCCACTTCCTCAGGAGCCCTCTTTTCATAAAGAGGCCTCTGCTCACTCTCTTCAAAGCTGCTCGCACCTGCCGTCTGGCATCACAAAACAGATTACCTTCTATGGACCAATGGCAAGACATAAATTTAGAGTGGCATTTCCATGAGATGTGCTTCTTGCGACTGGGTGACGCCACATGCCAATGCTACCTTTTGTAGTCTGCTAACATTATATAGTAGCCACACTATCATCCATAAAAATCATAACGGAAGAGATGGATCATGTTTTATCATGCATGCTGGAACTCTTCATATGCAGTGACTAAACTTCTTTCCCCCAATCCATCCCCCCTCCTCGCTCCCATACAGCTATCAGCATGCTCGTCAGCATGATAGAAAAAAGAAAGTGTTTAGAGCGCATGTGAAACCTTGTCTTTTCGCTGATTCTTGACAGATTTGAGAAATATTTGAAGCAATCAATTCGTGAGGCAATGAACTCCGATACTGGTGTCATTTGATGGTTACTTGGAAAAGCGATTTAGGGCCACTTCAAAAGGATTTAGATCTCTTTGCGTGAACATACTCGCATTTCATCGTGGTTCTGATCCAAACAGCAATGACTGCATGCCGTCTTCAGAAGAATGCGACCATTACTGCTCGTATCAAAACTGTGATCAGTTGGCCAGCAGTGCAATGCCATAGCAACTGGGTTACAGCGGTACATGAATTGTTAAAAAGCAAGGGAGTACGATACCGAATTGATGTAGATGGAGTCGAAGCGTGCGCAAAGAGCCTCCAGAGCATCGGCGTCTGTTTCCCCATGTGTCTTCTTCAGCTGTTCCAAGTGTTCCGGCCTACACCCAAAAAACATGGTGTTGGTTGCCAAAACCATTCCTTCACAACGTTATTAGCCTTGTGCCAACTACAACAACTACGACTTTGTTTGTCTGACACAACCTTATTGAAAACCAGCATGTAATGAAGACAAGGAAGGTATAGGGAACAATACTTGTACTGCTTAGGTGTACTGTGTAATTGTGATAGAGACGTGAAGAAAGTGAAGCGAATGAGAGACAACTTGCCACGGAACTGAACCTACGACCCACGGATTACGTGCCCGTTGCTCTTACCAACCGAGCTACGTCGGCAGCAATCCCCTTGTCCACTTATTGGGTATTTATGCGCATGGAAACCATGGGTGTGCTAGCCATGACAGCGAGTGTGGAACACTGTTTCTCTTCGCCAAATCGCACCACATAGGTGCGAACCTTTAACGAGCAGAAAGCTGATTAATAAAGCCTCACATAAATGAATGAGGAAAATTTTTGAGTGCTCGGTTCTTTGTTTGACACAACCTTGATGCAAGTAGATGTGCTTTCTGTCCCTTAAACCACGAGTAAATGACAAATAAATATTGGTGGAAACTTTACAGGGAAGTTGCCACATTGTGCGCGCAACAGCAAAAGTTTGACGTACGCAATGTGTTCGAGAAACCTATAATCGCAACTTGCCCGGGTACAATACATCACATCCCCATGAACAATACTGAGATTTTCATTGATATTGCAAAGTATAGTCACCAGTTATATTAGAAGTAGTATGCACAAATAGAAAAAAAAAATTGCGTTTGCTGGGCAGACGACGTCCCATAAACTCTTGCTGCAGGGTGCACATTAGCATCTTTTGAAAATAATATTCCCAAGACTTGCAAAACTGCAGAAGTTTACTTTCCTCCCGTGTTTCCTGTAGGGTATCTCGTTACTTGTTGTGGCAACCAATAGTGGCCTGCTCTTTTTCTGTGCCAACTGCTCCATATTGTTGCAGCAACTGCACTGTCTAGAATTTTATTTTGAGCTAAGTGATTGATGTTTTTACACGTGGCAGCAAACTGCAACAACCTGCTCGTTTTCTTGCAGTTACTTGCTGCAGCCGTTGTACCACACCTAAACATGCACACCTTAATTCACAGAAAAGTCTCCTCAAAAGTCACGACTTTTGGGGCCCAGTGAAATCTCGAACTGGTTCTCAAATCTCAATTCCTTGACCGACCACTGGGGAGCATCAGATGCAGCAAAAACATAGTTAACATGATGACATCTACAACTGAAATCATCTATCATTGGTGATCAGTGTGATGAGCGTGGCGGTGATGAAAGAGTTGACCACAGTGCATTTTTTGTTATTTTGTTTCCTCTAAGCAAGCAGCAAACAAACAAGCATGAACAGGTAGACACTTACTCATGCAAGGCCAAAATCTCGGCTTCCTCGGCCTTGCGAGCCTGCAAAAGGGACGATGAACAATTTGCATGAAACAGAGCATGCAGTGTGCAATGCGAGAATAGCATTTGTGCGGAAAAGCTTGAAAGAGAGCTGAAAGAGAAACAGATACACTCAAACCCCGATATAGCGAGTCCGAATATAACGAAATATCGGTTATAATGAAGTTAATAGAGAATATTCTTGCAATAGGTAGTGTTAGAAATATACCTTTATAATAAATTTTGGTTACAATGAACTTATTTTTGTGTAAGATGCAACTTTGTTATAATGAGGTTTGAGTGTAGATGATAGACAAACATAAGAAATGGAGAAAGATACGAATAATTTAACCATGAACACCAATACAATAGAACTACGGTGTTAAAATTTTGCCAGAAGGCCCGAAGAAACCAGAGCCGCGTGATTAAAGTCACATGTGTGGAGCTCTATCAGCCAATTCAACGACCACTTATACCAAATGGTTGCCTGGCCAATCCGGTACTGTGCCTATTACCTTCCCCTATGAGCCATAATGTGGGCATGTGAAAACATATTGTCTCATCACGGTCGTAATCATTGCGTGTGGTGCTGTTCTTATTTACTTATTTATGTAGCCTACATCACTCAAGTGAGCTTTTATTATATGAGGGTCAAAAAACTATCAAATAGTTGTGTGCAGTCGAAACAATAAAGTACGTTTGTGCAGCAGTGCCTGCGCACTCACCAAAAGCACATATCTTGTAGTTAAGAATAAAATGCATCTATAGGAACATTGACAACACACCAATTCTGCTTATTCCATTCACAATAACTAAAGATCACTTTTAGTTTTAAAATTGAATCAAGAGCGACTAAGCGTCCCTTTTAATTCAATAACGAAAACGCAAGAGCTAATAATTGCGAAACGAAACCACAAATGGCGTAACAGTCAGTTGGCGTCATGGCTACACAGGAAGTAGGGGTATGTAGAAAGAAGGTTACTTCCACAAGTTGTGCTAATTTACAGTGCTCACAGATTAAAATGCGACAATTTGGGGCTACATAATCACTGCATGAACATGCTACGCACATCCTCATATTTCACAATAGTAGTAATAAATTTTTTTTATATATCAATACCGACTTTCAACAAAAATCCTGAAACTGCAGCTCCGGTTGTTTTTGTACATGAACTCTACAGCAAGGTGGAAGTATCTTGCCTCAACTGAAATGACACTGTGGCAACTAATTAACAAAATTGGTAAATTAACTTTTTAATCATTCACTTGCAAGCAGTAGTGTATATTAGAAAGTTGGAGCGCGCGACAATTTACGGCATACGAATTTTTTTAGAAATATAAATTTCCCAGTTTTCAGAAATATCCAAACTTTTGATGCCAAATCTACATAAAAGCACGGCATGGCAGCATGGCTCAAGAGAGATGGGATGCACCATGAAATCGTCACAGAGACTCACAGGTATACGGAGGCAGCGTTCGACCAAGCCGTAGTCGACACACCGCTGGTAGCTGGCGGTCAGCCGTTCTGGACACTCCGGGTGCCGGCTGTCCCAGAGGCTGAGGTGCTCTGCCATGCGCTCATCGTAAACCAAGCCCGTACTGTCGCCCATCTGTAAAGTAAAAACAATATCAGGGGCCTTACATGCCGATACCACAGTACAACTATATGGTTCACAACAATAAATGGCTCTGAAAATTTTGACCCGCTGGTGTTCTTTAACATGTGCCGTCATGGCACAGTACACAAGCCTCTAACACTTTAGCTCCATCAAAACCTGTAAACAATCAAAGTCTGCAAAGCAACGGTGTGCACTAACCTGCAAGTTACGCAGCATTCACACACAGGAGTTGTAACGAAGTGGCACTCGACAAGGGTGCAGTGTTGATCTAGACCACATGCACGGCTGGACAGATTCAATGGTAACTACAGAGAGGCATTTTCAATACAAAACTAACAGTGTCCTTTATCGAAGACAACAGAAAGACGAATGCCATCTTTTTTTTTTTTTCTTACCAGTACGTGTATTGTTAATGCCTCACCGCCCTCTGAGAGCTTTCTGCACCCAACAAGGTTCCGTACTGCCTCCAGGACTGACCCAATGGCCAAGCTACAATGTCATGTGACATCGTTACGTGAAGTCACATATTTTGGCGATCTGTGATGTCACGATCATGTCACCACATGACAACTTTTTGCATCGCTCCTGTTGACACCACCACATTTAACGAGGCATCCAAATCTTAAATTATACATATTGGGGGGTTTACATGTCAAAACCAACGATGTGATCAAGAGGCCTGCCGTAGTGAAGAACTCTGTAAATTTTGACCGTCTGCTGTTTTTCACTGTTCACCGACACTGTACAGAGCACGTGCCTCCACCGTTCCGCCGCCCCTGAAATGTGACCGCCACAGCGGCTATCGTACCTGCACTCCTTGGGTCAGTGGCCAAGCACTGTAAACACTGTACCACCGAGGTGGACAGGCATATGTGAAGCAAGTGTTTCGTGGTAACATGGGGAATATAGAACAGGCGGGCACAGGAATCCGGAAACCGCCTGTGATGCAGTAGCACTTGAAAAAAATTCAGTATTTAGCTAAACTACTTGATCAACCGGACAGATGTTGACGGCAACCACAGAGGGGAATAATTCTGGACAAAGGAGGCTCTGGGTATCTTGTCAATTTTTCTTGTAAGTTAACAAGTGAAATTTATTAGTTGCACATCAATATATGGTACAAATTATAGGGGATTTAATGAAATTGTATGAGTGTGCAACATTCAGCAATTGATGTTAGGGAGTATGTAATTAAACATCTAATTATACTCCAAGTCAGCTTAAGTCCTTACATTAATATATTCAAACATTAAGCTTGAAACGCATGCCCAGTGTCTTTTCTGGATGTACTTATATTGAGCAAAAAAATTTGATATCAATTAATTCACTAAATTGAAGTACACTCTCTTCTTTATGTGGCCAGCGTGAAAATGATTAAGATGAAGGAGGGCACGACAAGGTATGAATTTGAACAAACACATGCTGTGAATTTGAAGGTGCAGTCAAAGTAGGTGTTGTGATTGCCCAAGAGTAGTGCAAGGAACAGATAAATTTGGTCTTACTACGACTGAAGAACTATGCTGTCCCTATGTAACAAAAACATGCAGATAATGACAGCAAGAAAGATATAAGGGGCATTAATTGTGTTGTTTCAAGTGTATTGCAGTAATTGTGACACTGTTGTGCCTAAAGTAAAATGGATGAAATGCCAGCAGCACGTACAAATGCAGGTACGGTCCCTGATGGCAAAAGTTTTTTTATTCAATTTACTGTCTTCACATTTATATCATAATTACTAAAGTACACTTGGAATAACCAACGTCAACTAACGTCCTCTATACTTTCCTTGATAAGCAGCTAGTTTTCATTAAAGTTTCGTCAAACAGCGAATTCAGGAGCCCTCAAAATCTTATTCCTTCATGCAATCATCACGTGATTGATTTAATGTAATTTATCAGGGTTGTTCGGAACTGGCAGTTCATTGGCTTCTGAATTCATGCGGTGTGAACGCACATATCGGCCTCCGCTTGTTCAGTCGTCGCTAAACAATTTTCTGAAAGCTCTATTTACACATTTTTACCGCATTCAGACCCGGTCAATCTGTCCTCGCCGTGTTGCACACCACACAGGAGAGATGTTACCACGCAGATCAGCGACTGAAAACGTAGAAGCAACAGTACGAGAAATTCACAGCGATTCGCGAGTAATCTCTCAAATATGTCTTACGCAAGCTTTGCCAAATGACTTAATAAGGTAATAACGTTCGTGGATAGACACACAGTGGGACAACCAGCCGCCGGCAGTGCCGCGTTGTAATCACTAGAGCCCGCAATAAAAAAAAAAAAAAGCTTATCGAAAGCAACCGCATTCACATCGCAACTGGCTCACCGTTCTGTCAAATATGCCCGGGTTCAAGCGGTTTACTTCATTTCTTAAATGTCATTCTCTACTGAGACCATATATCAGATATGAACACTCACCGCGTTAAACATCAAGCCATACAGTAAAAAAAGGAAGTGTATACATCAACATTGCACACTACGCATGGTTCCTCCACTACGAAGGTAAATGATCCGCCAACTCACCCCAAACTTTGCGGAGTGATTATCACCGCTTCCTCCTTCGTCATTCACTGCAGCCATCCTTCACTTAAAAGCAACGTGGTTAGCAGAGAAAAGAACGAACACAGCGTGCCTCAACCGTCGTTAGTTTCCGATTCGAAGGCGCGGCTTCAACGATGACGCTCTACAGGGCAACTAGAGAAGCGTGCGCGCCGGCGCATTTTACGCGAGAACAGCTACAAGCGCACAGATGTTTCAGCATGATGGGACTTTGCAGGGCTCGCAGCGAAGGCTCGCCAGGTTGACGCACTTTCCTGCGCGTTCTGTCAGTCCGCTCGCACGTGACAACGGCGCTACACGTGACCCCAACAAGAAACCATGCAGTCACATGCGGTCAACAGGTATTTTTCACGGGCGAGTGTAGAAAAAAATTTAGTACCTCGACGAGCGTTATCGTCGAAACTGTGCGTGATGTTTCTCCTACGAAATGCGGTCGTATGGCGCTGGCGTCGTATTCCCTACGGCGGCGGGATGACCAAGGCGGGCCAAGGGTGCTGTTCTGAACTGAGCTTAATCACTGCCGAATTCCGCTATATTGTCAAATTTTCAAATGGCTGCATTTTACGCCAATCAGAGAAGTCGTAGCAGCTCACTTGGCCACAGAACACCTACTGACTTGGCCAATTAGCATCGACCAATGGCGGAATTTGACAACATGGCGCAATTCGACAATGTCCAGAATAGCACCCCAAGTTAATTAACATAACGGTATTCGAAGGTGTAGTACACGGTGGCTGTTACAGTGTGCTAGTACACTCTAGTTCAGTAGTAGCTAAAGGTTGTTTGCTGCTTTGACATTTTCTTAATCCAGCCCAATACCATTTCCGTGCTAATTTATTTACTACATACTTGCGTTTTATTTCGGTTCTAGCGCGCGCAGCAGTCACTGGTTTACCTCCTACTGACGATTTGCCGACGCATGCGGTTTATGATTAGCAGGCTCATTGAAGAATTAGTACATTCTCACACGTACACGTAACAATTAATGCGTCGGAGCGTGGCCTGCCCTCTCCTTATATGCGCACCATCTCCCACAATGGCAACGTGACGTCGCCGTCTGGCGAGTTCTTTCTTTGTGTGCGGGTCGTAAAGGAGCCTGCATACTAACACGTGATGTCCTTGTCTATACAGCTGTGTGGTCAACGGAAAATTTGGTGGAGACATTGCGTTAGCGATTACAAGGGTAAACTGACCCCAATTGTTAATTAGGCTTGATTCTGCAGTGCAACAGCAAACAGGCGCCCCTCAGTCCTGGGTGGAAGCTTAGTTTGTGCTTGAATAAGCTATGTTATAACTTTTCTGCAAGTTCTGTTATTGTACAACTATCATAACAAAGCCAGGACCGTACCCAGGAATGTATTTTTGTTTGGGGGTGTTCATGTCTATAGAATGGCTAACTTGGCCAAATGGCGGTCGATGTGAAGCTGTGTAAATATTCAGGGTCACCAAAAAGTTGAAACATAAAAGATAGCAGTGGGTTTTTTAACGTTCACCTGCTGAAATTCACCTGCTCTGATTCACCTGCTGAAATTGATTTGATTGATTGATTGATATGTGGGGTTTAACGTCCCAAAACCACCGTATGATTGAGAGACACCGTAGTGGAACACTAAAAAATTTCCACCACCTGGGGTTCTTTAATGTGAACCCAAATCTGAAGCTCATGGGCCTAAGGCATTTTCGCCCCCGTCGATTTACTGAAATAGAAATGCCTCAAAGAACGCACTGAACAGAACAGCCACGTGAAGCAGACGTTGTACCACACAATCAGTATAGACATCTACTGAAGGCACCAGAATGTGCAAGCATTTCAACCTTTCGACGACGAAGTGACCGAGATGCGTTGAGGGATTACAGAAGGAGAGCGGTAGTTGGTGTGTATTAACATCTAGACAAACAAGTAACGATGAGGTTGCCGAAGTCACGCTACCGGTGACAATTCGAGCGTGTGATCGAGCAGTCTGTGTGGTAAGTGTTCTGTAACACAATATAGGGCAATATACGACGCACTAGAACACAATTTGTACTTGAATTGGAGTTTTTTTCCTCAGCATTCCTCTCGCACTTTTCCCATCATTAAACATGATCCAATACTTTCCCACAGTACTAAATAATACCTAATGTGTCAAATTTGATTCTTTATAATGGCAATCAAGTCCCAATCAAGATTCGATTTCTTGAATGAGGTTACCTCACTTCTGCAGCCTGTGCTAAAGAGGCAATAGTGATGGGCCTGCAACAGAAAGTGACCTCGGTCTAACTTTGACCAGGATGGACGTTAGAGAGATCGCTTACGTGAAAATAAAAAATCAGTTCAGAACTGGTCACTTCAGACTAGCACTCAATTTTAGTTTTTCTGATCCTAGGTTTATTATTTGACGTAGCTGTTATTATTGCAGCAGTTACCGAAAGAGTGTTTAGAAGACACTCTGAAAGGCCGCTCTTCCACCTTTCGCTGAGACTGTGCTGCTCCTTCCGCACAGGCCTGGCGTTTTTCTGGTTTACTGCGCATGGTGTACCAGTAGTTCACACACAAAAAAAAAAAAATCTTTAAGAGCTTTTTTTAAACACTCTTTGGGTAAATGACTATCTGGGTATTCACTACGGCATATATAATCATAATTTCTGCGTAGTAGGCCGGCATGCACTATGCTATCCGTCCACATTCTTCGAAGAACTGTGGTGTCCCCTACACTTGCAACCAATTTCGTGCAAATTTTGAGTAGCATTCATTGGCTCAGAATGAAGAATGACGCCTGAAGTGAGTATGTGCCACAGTTAACAGGTGATGAAGAACAAGCTTTTGTTAAGTGTTGGAGCATCAGACGACCCACTCGTTCGCATTGTGTGGTGCCTGGTTGTTCCTTTGCCATTCTAAAATGCTTTATTACTAATGTTAACGTGATTCCTTTCCCGACATCAAGCCTGCCTAAGGCCCCAAGCACCGGCGTGGCTCAGCGGTAGAATACTGGGCTGGCATGCAGTGGACTCGTGTTCGAATCCCGCTGTGTCACCACATGTCCTTGGTGTTTATTCGAGTGTTCTTTTCTCATTTCGTGCGATAGTGGATAAGGACACGTGCGGTGGTGGACAATTACGGTGCTGCGCGTGACTCGTGTTGTGATCTCACAACAACTTTCGCTGTAAAAAAATTGCACTCTGCTACCAAAAAATACACCATGATACACAATCAAGTACTGCTTTTATTAACTACTATACCAACACACTGCAAAAATATCTTTTTTTTTTTCATTATTACATATAGCAAGTGTATAAAACATTCATTTCACTGAAGGAGTAAATGATCACTATGCTTGGCACACCCTCCTATAAGGCACTCCTCAAATAATTTGATTGACGCCTATAGCTACCACCATCCTAGTTTTCAATATATCACCGAGTTGTCGACACTCCACCCATGCAGTTAGCACTTCCATCACGTATCATTGGGCTTCCGCAAATTGCGTAAGCTACGCATTTTGTTACGTACTAGTTGAAGAGGAATAAATGCTGGTCTCCTTATCTCCCAGGAACTTCATTACAGTTGAGACAAGATTGCGTCGAATCCCATCATCACAAAATACAATAATCATGTACGTGTTCCCATAGAAACATCACAATCTGGCTGCAATGATTGCGTCTGCTACATACTGCTCGCAGAACAACAGCCTCCAAGATCTGTACCTCAAAATAAGGATCTAGAATGCTGTCATTTGAGACATCGACATGGATGCCACCTATGGGTGACAAAAAGAAGAGAAAAGATACTGACCTAAATTTTGTTCCCTTTCAGATGACAAAGTACAGTATGATCCAATGCCAAAGAGAACACCTTACAGTTAATATATACACCTAGAACCTCTCCACTCGTATATATGAAAAGAGGGGCCTATCTAATCGCTGGACAGATGAGGAGCAGGCCTGTGGGCTTTTATGTCACATCTTAGAGGTCATCAACCAAGGAATGCACACTACGTGCTCCCTTTAGAAAAGGATCACATCACACACGCGCTGCGTCGATCCCAGAGAAACCAGCGAATGCTCACACAAAAGTAACCTAATGCCGTGCAACATAGTCGCAACGAATGTGCCAAAAAGTCACTGCGGTGAGCTCAACATACAATGCACTTGGGTGCAGCACATCATCTACTTGCTCAAAGTATACATACATTTGCTTAACACATGCATGAGATTGCTGCCCCCAATATGGGCACGTTCAAACATATTTCCATGAGCCAGTATAGATTCTGTCGAAACGCTACCACCAGCGGTAGTGTTGCGAAACGCCAAAACAACCTCGAAGAAGACTAGTGTTCCGAGTAACCTGTACTCCTCACACAAATAGAGCTGCACAGGACTTCCAACAAACGTTGCTCACACGAACTTTAGAAAAAGTTAGGAAGATGCATTTCTCCGCTGCCATGTTAAACCCATTCAACTACAGCTGTATCATGCAAGACACGCAGATTGCAAGGAAAGAGCAAAAAGTGAATGGGGTCACGAAGGCACTGACACGACAATACAACCTAATGCAAGAAGTGGGAAACAGCCGACCGTAGGAAGGTCAAACTCGGAGCCACAACACTGCCGCATTAACTTCGAGCCTTTGAATTTGCACATCAAGATTGACAAGCCTTATAAGTTCCGCCAAAAACTTGACTTCTAACATGACATGTAAAACGCACGTCACTCGGGAGCCCACGCACGACATCAGCTTCGGCTCCAACATGCCTACAAGCAAGCTGCAAACGGTTGGCCTAAAGGTAGACCAATCTCTCTCTCTCTTTTAGGGGTCGGGTGCCATTCGCAGAAAGCTTCACACCCGTCGTAGAATAAAAACACACAAAAAAACACTCTGCTTCACAATACATCATTCCAAAGTTGGTACAAACTGGCTGTAGTAAACCGCAACAATGTTTCAACTTTTGTTAAACTGGTAGTGCATAGCTAGTAAAGATTGAAGAAAGAACAGACAATGACAAGCTTTGCGTTTGTTTCGAATTACCAATTCAACACGACATGCAACCACATAAGCATAAACGAATGTCTACGCTGCTAAATCTTCCTTTGCATGCATCAAGGCACGTCCTGCCCAGCAAATTTTCAACGCCCGCTGGTGCAGTCGTGGCAATCGCGCGAGTTCGTGGAACCAAGACGCCAGGAATACTGGACATGTCTGCCCCCACTACACATCGTAGAATCGAGTTATTGAAAGCACACTTGGTCCCGGATTGCAAGCGCTGTCTCCAACATGCTCTTGGTGGTCGACAAAATGTCGAACACTACCGCAGGTGGGTCCCCACCGACTCACTGACGTCGCGCATCAGTGACGTTGAGGGCGAAGAACTCTGTCACCGTGGAAATCAGTTCCGGGTCGCGGTGCATGTGCTTGTGGCCGTAACCCAACCGGCCGTCGTAGGCGTGCAGCCGCAGAGGTCCTGCGCCGGGCTGGTTTCGGCGAGCTTCGTGCAGTGCATTGTGCAATGCCTCACCCAACCGAAACGGGACCGTCGCGTCGTCGCGCGCGTGCAGCACTAGCACAGGCAGCTTGGACGGAACGCGGCGGGCACGAGCGGCGCTGTCAAACTGGACGACGGGGTCGTTCTTCAGGCTGTCGACGAAGGCACACTCAAAGTAGGGCAGCCAACGGTAGGGAAGCGACAGCGGATGCGTGGCTGCTACATGGTGCAGGGCGTCGAACGGGGCTTCGAGGATGAGACCCGTCGGTAGCGGTTCTCCGCGGCGGTGCAACTCTTCCATGAGGCGTACGGCCACGCCGGTTCCCAGTGAGTGGCTCCACACTATTAATGGCCGGCCCGCTGTGCGTGCCTGGAGCCAGCGCAGCGCAGTGCGGGCGTCCTGTGGAAGTGCTTCTGCAGAGGGTCCGCCTGGACCAGAGCCAGAGTCAGCGTAGCCCCTGTAGTCGACTGCCAGCACGTGTGCATCCATATGTCCAGTCAGCACCTGCATATATATGGCCGCATCGGTCAATGTTTTCCAACACTTGCTACAATCATGAAGTGACCTGTGCTTTGAAGACTTAGGCCAAAAAGGTCATTCGTGTACAGTACCATCCACTGTTAAATGGAACACTACAATGAGCACCGTTCAAATTGCAGGACCTCTAGTAGCAAATGGATAAGGAAACAATGCTTATGCGGGACACTAGTCTGTCAAAAGGAGCCAGAAAACCAGTCACTACACGTTTCGTGTAAATCTAAGCCACTGCGCTTTTGCAAGAGAGTGAAATACAAATGTGCGGCACACGCAACTGTTCCCTTTACCAGTGGACCCAACTGTATGTAAGCTGTGTTGGACAAGCTGTTTCTAAAACGTGGCCTGGCCTAGATGAGGAAGCTTGCACGTCACTTTTTCATAAAGTATGTTATAATGATGCCACTCTCCGGTCGTTCTTGATGCACCCACCAGTACTCGCATCTCCTCGTAGAGGTCATTGCCATAAAGTCAATGTCTCCTCCTGTAATGCTGTCATGTCAAAGTTATTCCTTCCTAAAACCTTTGCTGAACAAAGTGACCTACTGGCATCAATAGTAAACATACAATACACAATGCTTTTTATAAGTGCCTCAGTTAAACTGATGCAGTGCTATAAGGTTCCTACATATTGCACTGGCACGTAGCAATATTTTGTTGGAATTTTCAACTAGTGATATTTTACTTTATAATATTAAACATTCCAACTGGATTCACTATACTGACCTTTAAGCTTTGTACTTACGGTGTTTGAATCAGTGCCATCTTTCACTTTTTCTTATTACTGGACATTGCTACTATACTTACCTCATTTGAGTTTCACACGGATTTCTATTATGCTTTTTTTTCTACTTTGCTCTGTTATTTGTGTCTTCCTTCCCTACCCTCTATAACATACTGTGTGTTTCGAGGATATTACACGTGGATAAACAAACACATAGGAATTCAGAAGGCAGAACTTCAGCCAGAGAATGTTGCAGAAAAAGAAAAAATATTACATGGAACGGCATTTTACTAATCACAGTTAAGTAGGCAAGCAAAGAAACATTTACATAAAATCATCTGCCAGTGGTTAGAAACCCTTCGCACAAGGATTTGTGAGAGACTTGAATACAGTTGAACCCCTTTATAAGAGAGATACACAAGGATTTGCAGTATCCCTTATAAGCAGGGTACCACTCATGCAATTTTTTATCAACATCTATTTCAATGTAGCCACAATGGTGTCTTCTATACCCATTTGTCACTTACATACAAGACACAATTGATTGATCATTGTCTCTTATAAAGGGGTTCAACTGTAATGCCTATGAGATAGTACCACAATATTTAACCAAATTGTTTGCGCAAGACTGTGCGATGGGTCTCATACAAAAAGAAAAAAAGAGAAAGAGAAAAGAAGGAAATACATCGTATAGGCATAGGTGAGAATAGTGTGCACGAGAACAGTCATAAGCAAAGAGCTTAATTCTACTAGATCTACTAATAGAGGAGAGAAACATTTTTAATGCGCAACGTGAAGCACTGAGACAGGCGATCTGTCCGAGATTATAGACCTTGACAATCTTGAGCTGGACGTTTTGCAAGAGGGATGTGCGCCTATTTCCGCCAGCACAAGCACACGAGATGGGTACATTTGTAACTATTGTAATCAGCGCTTATTATTTTATCATCTGGCTTTCATGCTTTACCTATGCATCATGTTTGGTGAGAGTTCCTCGGTCATTCTACGACAAAATGTTTCAATTCTCCCACTATAATTAAACATTGGAGTTGCTCCTAAGGTTACTGTTGGTTAATCTGACCACGGTCTGCTTTCATGAAAACCTACATATTTCTAGCGACCAGATAAAATAACTTTTGGTTGGCAAGGTTGGCTTAACTTTTGCTAGATTTAGAAATTCCGATGCACTTCCAGTGATCAAACTTTAACCGCTGATTGCATGGACCCAAGGAGGTTCTATACCATGTTTTCTGGAGTGGAGGTGCGCCCCGATAAGTAGCTGGTCGCCGCCATATTAAAAAAGGAAAGACTCTGAAGCAGACGACAAAGTGCGCTTTGTAGCTCCGCTCTCGCTGTGGCGTTTGGAGACTGTGACATGCTTTTGTAAAGCAGTTAAAAATTTTACAAGGCCATGGTGACTTTGTGCGTATCTTATGGCTGCACAAATCGCATCAAGAATACGCCTGGGATCACTTTTCACGTGCAAGTATTCTCACTTTTTTTGCTGACGATCGCCTGTTTTTTCGCATATTTTGTTAAATTAGAAACAATATCAAAAGTGCGCATGCATGTAATACATGTGTATGGCTGTATGGAAGGTAACTTGATGCTTTAAATTGTCCCTGAGTTTGAAGTTTATGCATGAAGGACTTGCGCGGTCTGTGGCTGCACGTATCAAACATTGAAACGAGTAGGACGTCTGAATGCCCTTTGAATTCCAAGTTTTCTGGTGTTGTTTTACAAGGCAAGACTGACGGCGTGCATGCACATTCTTTTTGGCGAGCGAATATCGAATTTGGTGCATGTTTATCGAGGAATTCGCAAACGTAGAGAACAATTCCATGCCGTGATTATCCATGTTACAGGTTTTCAAAAGACAGTGCGCTGCGTTCTGCCTGGGAACGTGCTGTTCGAAGAAATAGTTGGAGGGCTAGGGACGGTGACCACCTCTGTTCTATTCACTTAGAAGAATGCTGCTTCGACAGAACGGGGCAGACAACCAGACTGCGGCCTGGCAGTGCGCCTTCGATTTTTCCTGCTTTCCAAGTGCATCTGCAAAAACCTGTTAGTTTCTACCTCCTTGACGTAGCTTCTATAGAATGTAGACGCAAAAATAAGCAATAGCGTCCAAAACAATATGAGACACGAGCCTTTGAAATCCGTTCTATCTTGCCGACGAAACCGAACCCGAAACGCCGATAGACGAAGTTACCAGAGTGAGTGGCGTACTATCAACCATCAAGCTACTTCGTTTCTAGGCTCTGAAGACTGCGCTTGCCATGACAACACACGTCGCCAACGGAAGTTGATAAATATTATGCATAACTAATGCCACTGCAATCGTTCTTACAAACAATTTGTTTGGGGTACGTCTCCTGGAGTTTGTCGGTTGCGTGCGACATCGGTGCTTTGGTTTTGGTTCCGCCTGTAAATTGGTTAGAATTCAATAACTCTAGAAAAATTACTGGCAACTCCCAGTTTACTTAATTACCTCTCTTTTCTAACTTTAGCTTTAATTATTTCAACTTCCTTATATATATTGTCTGGTAATCTGCCGACACACACACAAGCACATATATGAAAGAGGCGAGCAAATGTCGTGTTCCCCTTGATCTTGAGTATCTGCAGGCACATTTCTTAAAACTCCAATATATACTACAACCCTTTTATACCGCAATAGTGCACCAGCAAGCTCGATATGCGAAGCATCCCTCGATAACAGATTGATCTGAAAGCATGCTGCTGACAATGGGTGCGTGAAATAATTTGTTTAATAAACAAGAAGAGGCATTTATTCGTTGGTGTAACCTAAGAGTCGTTTCCATCTCATTTTTTTTATCGTAGAACTGTAAACCGACGCGCGCAACGCGCATATTCCATTGCGGTCTATGGCCGTTCCGCCCTGTTTTTCCTCTAGCAATATGGCCGCCGGCGGCTTCACTTGCTCCTGTTGGCGGCGGCCGGGATTGCAAGTCCAGAGGTTCTATAGAACCTCCTTGATCGGACCAAGACTGCAGAACGACAGGAATCATTGGCAAGGATGGAAAAAACAGTTTTCCAACACCACCACTTTGAGTTGCCTGCTTTAGATTATGGGGCAGATAGGTGGCAATGACATCGGAGCATAATCCAGTGCTAAACATCATTTGATCGTGAGGCAGATACAATATGAGAATTAAATTGTAGCACCACCTAGTGCTATGTCATTAACGGCCTACCACTGAGACGCCCTTTTTCTAGTACCCGTACATACCTTGTAGAGACTGACACGGTGACCGCCAGCTCGAGAGCCACCATTTCCGTGCAAGTACAGCACTATAGGTCTCTTGTCGTGCGCAAACCAGTCCTGGTCTAGCTTATCACAGCCTAGCCGATCCACAGAGGAAGCCGGAGGAATGTGCCATGCTCCGAGCTGCAGACCTGCCTCCTCAGAGTCCAGGTAGAAATTGTGTGCGCACCTGCAAGTTCAGGCGCTCCTGAGGGCCGGCATTTGGGAATATTGGTTTATGTAGGCATATAGCAATGAAAAGAAGCACTGAAGCTTCTCCCAGGCAAAGAAAGCCTAGACCGTGTTTAATAAGTGGCATCTATGACATGTTCTACAGCGAAGGCTGTTATGAAAGAAGCTGTAATGACCAGCTGTCATAACAACAGCAGATTTTGGCACCGTAGTCGTCCGTCACTTTACCTCTGTCCTATCCGCTATCGTGTGAAATGAGAATAAAAAAGGAAACGAGAGAAATAGATCGAGGGTCAAGTGAGATTTGAACCCGGGTCTTTTGCACGTCAGTCAAGTATTCTACTACCAAGCCTAACATATGATTATGGAACCACTATACGATTATGAGAGATGCCGTAGCAAAGGGCTCCAAAAATTTTGACCTCCTGAGGTATGAACATGTATTAGTTGGCTATATTTACGAATAAATCTCGATCTCTGACAAAACAAAGCACTCATTCAAAGTAGCAGAGGTGCTCACAATATGAACAGTACAGATGTTGAAAGCAAAGCACCCCACACAGTGAAAATAACTGAACAGGTAGCTCAACACAGACCACAATGAAGTTCAAAAGAAAAAAAAATGAATATGGCAACCATTATACATAAAATTCCCTTGAAATATCAGTCATGTAAGTAGTAGAGACCCGTAGAGGGACACCAACGAAAAACGTTACTTCGATGCAGATTGCTGAAATAGCCTTCCAGAAACCTTTTGCTGATGTTTCGTGCCAAGAAATCACTCAGTTTGAAAGAAAATCCTATTTTGTTTGTCCGCACGCCGTTCACACCATCCAAACCATCTGCCTCAGGGAACCACCTAGTGACATAGCATTCGCCATGTCTGCATTGCCCAACAGCAGTGCAAGGGGCTTCAGGAGAACATATCACGGAAAAAGCCAAGCTTGCATTGTTCCAAATGGCAAAGTCAGTTTCTTTTTTTGGTTTCGCCGGTGCCAGACTGAAATGCAGAAATTTTCATTTTATTCTGTTTTGTAATGAAAAGAAGGGTTACTTTTTATCATAGGTATTTAGGGTACTTGCGATTAATTGTGCCAAGGCCTATGTCATCAATGTCTACTATGACATCAGGCTTGTGTACCTGAGTGCACCACTGGTGGTGCCAATCGTGTCCTGCATTGATCTTAATTTCTTGATTACTGAAGTGTTGTAGCACGTAATTTAGCAGACTCTCCTGAAATATAAATCTCTAAAATGGCATCGTTGCTCATATGCAACAACTACTTTTATTATGATCGGTCTTGTACTTGAATTCTGTACCACTGTAGTTGATAATCTTGTGGTTTAGCGTCCGAAGACCATGATGTGATTGTGAGAGAAGCTGTAGTGGAGGGCTCCAGAAGTTTCGAACAACTGGGGTTCTTTAACATGCACCTCACTTTAAGCACACAGGTCTCAAGCATTTTCGCCTAAATTGGAAATCTATTCGCTAAAGCCGGGATTCGATCCCGCGACCTGTGGGTCAGCAGCCGAGTACCTTAGCCACTAGACCACTGTGACGAGTATTCTGTATCCCCGTTTCCTGTTCAATAAATCAAACTCTTAACGGAACATTTTCCTGATCCCTTCAGGCTCCATTAAACGAGAATATACTATACTAACGTCTTAAACATTCTCAAGCATTAATCCTTCATTCTGACATAAAATGCTATTTGCCTCTAGCGTACCTTTAAAGGGGCCCTTAAACGCTCTTCCAAGTAACCACGGAATGAATTCACTGGAAAAGCTTATTGCCTCACGAATCAGCGCTACAAAAATTTTTGAAATCCGTCCAATGCGAGTGGAGTTACAGAGGTTTGTCGCATTCTGCTTAAGCATTTTCTCTTCTTTCGTCCGGACGACAGCGCTGTAAGCTAAGCAGGGAGGGATGGCAGGGCCACAGAAAAACGTCACGTGCGCCTCGCGGCCTTGAGCACTCTTTTTTTTTTTTCTTCTAATGCTCCGCTTTTTCGGTGTGATCGAGCGCGCATGCGTGGACAAGTTGAGGCCTGCCGCGGCGATCTCTGTAACGAGCGAGCGCGCCATGTTCAAATGAGCCAATGGTTGATAGATGGGTGATTCGCTTGTGATTTTTGGGTATATTCCGCCTATCGTTGAGAGAAGAGAAAGCAATATTAAGCTGACTTTCATAATTTATTGTGAATTCCAGGCGACGTGTTGTGCTATAATATTTGGCTCGCGTGCTGTCGGGAGCCTCTACTGCCGATCGGCAGCGTTTTCTGACCATGCTCAATAAGTGTTTCAGGGCCCCTTTAAGGAAACAGTGCACTGATTCAGGGAATCCAACTGACACCCTGTTCGTAATAAAATTAAAAAATTGTAAAAAAACAACATTTTTTTAGGCAGTAGTAGTCGGACCTGAGGTCGTACGATCTGGGGTCGTTCAGGCGAGGGAAAGGTGGAAGGTTGACGAATGTCAGGAAGACAGTCTTGTGTCGGATCCAGGGTGACACGTAGAACACGGCCGGCGCGATCACCAGGATCCCAATGGCTATCGACGCCAGAAGTAATAGAAGCACAGATAGCGCGCTGCGCTGCTTCCGTTTTGGGGGAACACGCGCCTGCCTCTCATCCTTCTGCGGCAACGTTTCGGCCGCAGTCGGAGCAGTGGAGCCTCGCCAGCGCAGCATCTGTGGGAAAATAAATTCCTGATGTTGCACATTATGTATCCCAGTGTATCCACACTGTCAGTGAGAGATCATCGTATGCCGCATTTTAATTAATGCACTCATCTGAGCATCCCTTGACTCTATGCAAGTCGCATTGCTCGGTAAAAATGGCGGCATATGCACATAGTTCCGACACACTATGTACCGCACAATGTGCATAATACAACAGCTTAACACACAAGATTTACACATAAAAACACAATCTTGGAATTCTCTGTCGCTATGTTACACACGGCAACATCCAAAGGCATTCCATATGTACTGCTCGTTATTCAGGGAGAATTGCAGCGTCTGCACATTGCTGGGACCTCCCCATGCGCTGCACATTAAACAAACTTACGTACGTCAACATTACTTGCACATAATACAGAGTGAAATTTGCAACGTTTGCTTGCACATAATACAGAGTGAAATTTGCAACGTTTGCATAACGTTGAGATTCCCTGTGTAGGACACATTACCGAGATTCTTCCTGTGCTGTACATAACACAATTAACATAACATGTGTACACAATCAAGAAATAGGCCATGCTGAAGAATGTACAGTCCAATGATAAAGATAAAGTTAAATTCGATGTTTTGAACACAGATTAGCATTACCGAGAATGTGCTTTTCTACACAGATACAATCATATATATGGGTGTACGAACAAATACACCACTAATGTGCAATACTTTTATGAAGGCAGGACCACCTCACGGTTCAATGTCAATGAAGCTACGTTTTGGGGTTCTGTCATCCTCCTTAGCCGCATATTCTATTGGGTCCATAACAAAAGGAACATTTCCAAGAAAGGCAGATTCCCAGTCAGAACATTAACACACACATATGCATGCAGCTACACACCTGTGCACATACATGCAAGGTGCCCCAGCTAGGTCCAGCCAGAGCTTAGAAATATGCAGATGCAGTTTATGACAATGCAACCAAACGCATGCTGTTGTCCAGAGTATATGTCACAATCTTTTTTGTGGTCTTTACCGCTCAACTAGGGAAGTTAAATAAAATAAATTAAATTTGAAGCAACAAAGCTGGGAAAAAAGTTGCACCGTGGAAGTTCAGTTTATAGCAATTTATATATTAAGTATTAGTTTTTCTGCTTACTAAAGATGCCTGCTAATAACAACAAAAATTATTCCCACGTGACGTGTCCCCATAGATGCTGTAATTTCAGTGCTCCCTAACATTCCACACAGAGGCGATAGGCTCGCTTGCAGATCTGCAATTACGACACGCAAGCAGACTCATCACCAGGTATTCTTTAAACAATTTCGTGGGCGTCTGCACCAAACAGAAAAACCAGATACTTAATAAATAGAAAGCTAGAAACCGTCTAACTGGACGTTTTGCAAACTTATCGACAACTTTGTCAGTGTAATTTCTTCCCACCTTCCTTGCCTTGAAAGTTAATTAAACATGCCTAATTAGGCAATTCAAAAAGAGACAAAAAATAGCCTCACAACATACTCCAGGCGATGGCCAGGCATGCATTTGGTCAAGCCGTTATAGAGTGCATCATCGTATATTGAAAACTCTGGCTACAGATAGTGGGGGCATGCAGTACATACATATTTTTTTGAGACAGATGGAGAACATAATGTGGAAAATAAGGAGCCCATTTATCTTATAGCTTTAACCATACGAGAAAAAATGATAGTGATAGCATGGAGGGAGAATCATTTGCTCTTTTATCTCAAATGCACAAATGACCCATAGAAGTGATAAGAAAGAAAGCCTCCCAATAAGAACTAAAAGAACAGCGTTCTGCGTGTAGCAGACACTTCACCCAACTCTTGGCAAGTTACTTTTCACTGAGCCGATAAACTGCATGTGAGCAATGCAGTAGATAGTCCATATTGCAAGAGTGCCTGACAAGGGCTGATATCTCGGACATGATGAAAGGTAAGATAAGAGGCATACTGTCTGTCGAGCACCTAAATCTCCCTGAAAGGAAGCTGGTGTCCAGCATTCCACCAGCCAGTAGCAATGTGACGCAAGCTCAGCAATGATGATTAAAGAACGCCCTCAATGCTACATCTGAAGCAAATACTGCAATATAACTTTACCAATATACATTTAGTGCAAGATGCACCTAAAAAAACACAAAAATAAATATGAAAGTAAGAAGCAGAAGAATAAATTTTTAAGAAGTACTTTAAATAAAACTATAAGCTCAGGATATTCACAAGATCTGGGTAAAGAAGTCTAATTACATGTATTTTGCGTATAGCAGTCGTATAGGAACGCTCGAGCTATATCTTATGCGCATCAAAGTCCAAGCATAGGACAATTTAGAGGAGACAGAAAAGTACTACAAGGTGTATCATCAGCTTTTTTGTATTTAGTTATTTCATTCACCACGTGTTTCAGAACAAGCAGGCACATAGATCATGCATACCTCACAGACTGCATATCGAATACGTTGCCTAATAGCAAGTTTTAGTACTGCAAGTGCTGTATATGCAAGAATGCCACAATTTACACAGAGTACATGAATTTACACAGAGTTCGAATGAGTTCTATGTGAAATGTGGCATTCTCAAATTTTCGACACAGTAACACATGCATAACTAAAGCTTGCTGATAACGAAACTGCACGTTATAGTACGTTATAGTAACCAAAGAGTAAGTTTTTATGGGTTCATGTAAAATGTTTAGCACTAGGAACAACAGAAAGATGAAGGGAATAGCATCATGCACGCTCGCATTGTGTATTCATTTTTGTCTGTCTCATTTCTAGCAATAAAGATTTTACATATTACTCTCATCCTCAAAGTTTTCAGCTCCGAAGCTTCAGAGATAGATTTGAGCTAAACTTTAATGATGTAGGGCTCTTTAAGGCATGTTGTGTTTTTGCACCTTCTTGTTTTCATTAGGACCCTATTTAAATGATTTGGAGTGAAAGCTGTTATAAGATCACAACGACTGTTTTTGGCACCGTAGTTGTCTACCACCGCTGGTGTTCGTAACTGCTATCAAGTAAAACAAGAAAAAAAAAAGATATGAAGAAACATCAAGGATAGAATGGGGATCGAACTTGGGCCCTCTCCGTGACAGTCCACTATTCTACCACAGAGCCGTTCCAGTGCTTGAAACTCCTTCACAAAAAGACGCTATGCAATTTGCTTGTCAGGAAGGAATGATGTTAACATGTGTAATAGAGCGTCGTCAAGGAGTAAATAATAACCAGGTGCGGTCCAGCCATAATTTTTTTATCGTGATCAGCCCCAGCATCGACGAAGTGAACTAATGCCTTACGTGTGTTGGAGGTACCACACTTTTCCCAGAATGAGGAATAATGACACAGCTTTGCTACAGCATAAAAATTATGAGGAGTACCTCGCAAGTGTGCTTACATTAGTTTTCAAAGAAACTCATTCTTTTTGAAAGAGGTTATAAAAAATCAAAATTCATGTTTTATTCGTTATTTTCTTTTCCATAATCCACTGGTGGCTCCCGCCATGCCTAGAAGATGGGTCAATCACCTGTAAAACGAGACCTCAAGAATGCTTGCTGCATTGAACCTGTTAAGCCAGAAGGATGTAAAGAACGAAGACTAGACAAAGCCATGTCATACCTATAATTCCCATGCTTGCTGAAGCGCTACACATAGCAGCTCCCATAGACACTAGCACTAGAGTTCTCTTTAGTGTATATAGAAAGCTCTATGGTGCAAGCCATTCACTAGCTTGTTCCCTTTCATAAAAAAGGACAGTGTACGTCTGTGGTGGCTTATCTGGGCAATTGGCTAAAACAAAAGGCCACACTATATATTGTTCAACCTAAAATACAATGACGATTAGGTATCCTAACAGGCACTGCAATTCGTTTGCCAATGCAATGAGTACTCTTGATGCAAGCAGCCTTTCCACACAATAGTTTCGAAATTTGTGAGCAGCTGCACACTATGCTACCTGTAGAAAGGTTCGAAAACACAATTTCATGGCCGACAGTTCAATGACTTCATGCACTTCCTGCAGAAAGCGTACAGGCTACAGGAAGAACGCTTTATACTGCCACATTTGAGGCCTTTAAAAAAATCGTGTAAAAGAGCAGGGTTCAACGTTCCATATGCTTTTGATATTATTACAACAACTAGCATACTGTTCGGATCAGAAATAATTAGAGGTCAGAGCTTATGCGACATATGAGTCATACCCATAAATCAAAGCCGGAGAGTTTTGTCTTGCCTGTCATATTTTGTCTCGTAAAGGGCAAGTCAAGAAACAAAAAAAAAAAATGAAACGGAGATACTAGTTGCGTGAAATCTGCTCATAAGCCCAACAGGCGTTTCGCACAAATCATTCGAAGCGGCGCTATAGTTACGCTGTATTTCGGCAGTTCTTTCGATTCTTTTTCTCCCGACTAGGCTGCTCGCTATATCAAAGCTTAAAACCAATGCCACAATCGCACTGTCCCTCCATATCGGCGAGATTGGTTAGATATCACGCGAGTCCGAACAGCACCTTCAACGGGTACGTGCGGCGCAAACTCGGCGGCGAAGTTCTGTACCAAAGGGAAGCTTCGCGTCGTATTGCACCAGTTCACACGCTGTCCCATTGTTATGCACAAACAAACGGCGCGCCTGGTTGCTATATATTTTTTTTCTTTCGTATTATGCGCTGCAGCCTTGCTCTCACCCGAAAGCGCTCCCCAGACCTTGAGAATCGGCGCTACCCAGGGCGCGCATCGAATAACACTCGCACGAAACGCAGTCGCCGAGAACAATCGAATCTCGCATCTCACCAGGAAGCTTTGCTGTACGGTAGCACACCTCCCCACCTTCTCCGTTGGGAATGACGCAAGCTTCAGCTGACTGCCGAAGGGAGGGGAGCAACTAGTGGTTAGCGATGCCGCACACAACGTTAGCAGAGCGGCGCAACGCGAAAGATCGCGACCCTTTGAACTCACCTTCTCGCGCAAATGTCGTGTCGCGGGTCAGGCCAGTCGGTCGTGCACGCTCCGAAGACGAGGAAAAAGTAGCGCGCCGCACCAACATGCACTACTTGCCGCACAGTGACAACGCCTCCGCCACCAGCAGCAGACAACTCTCTCGATTGCTACTCTCGACGACAGCAGCAGCGACGATGGCGAGATTCATGATGATGATGATAGCAGATTCGTATTGGGGGGTGTTTTTTACCTCCGCAATTTGTATCATTTGTGATCGGCGCCGAGTGGGGCTTGTACGCTAAATTTCTTAGCAGGGATTTGCTACGGCACAGCTGTACGGGACATGGAATAACACACACAGCACATGGCAAGCGCTATGTCATATGTTGCGTGTCATCTTATACGCTCTGCCTCCTTGAATAGCACCTCTGGTGGGGTGTTTGAACCACGACCTCGTTTGAACTGTTTCGTGTTAAAACAGAAGGGTGAGCATGTTGTTACTTGGCCGTTCAGAACGAAGACGGAACGAAACACCGAGCAAGCCTGCCTGAAGCACAGTTAATAAACAAGAGTGAACGCTCATAGCCTAATTGACTATTCATGCCTTAACACCACTTTCAAAAAGCATTTCTAGCAAGAGCTATTATGAAAGTTCGCTGAGGAACGACCAGTGCCTCCTCTAAGAACAATATATTTTTTTTTTGTTGACTGTTGAGATAATGCTTAATAAGAACGCAGCATTGTGACGCATTAACCAATTGCCGTGTTGGGTCGGTTGATATTCTGTCCGAAGCATCGAAGCAAAGTGAAAGATGAGAACAAACATACCGTGCTGGCGTCTTCTAGGAGGCGCGCAACATATTTGCAGCTGGTGCCAGCTGACGCTTCTATGAAACCGGCATAATTTACGACAATAAAAAATATAAAAAACGCACCAAACTGCGCTCTGTAGGGGCGCTGAGTGCCACCCCACAACAAGGCAGCCGGGCAGGTCTGTAACGCCAATGTATATAAACAAAACCTGTCCGGCAATGGCGTCTGCCAGGCAGCAGGTCTTGTTGACTTAACGTTCGTGGAATAGGTGCAACACTGCATTCTCTGGTCATTTTTTTCTCCCTTCGCGAGCCAAGCATGGCGGACCTAGAATCTTCTAGCCGCGAGATGCGCAAGTCGGCAGACCTGAGGAGGATACTGTTCAAAGAAGAGGAGCAGGCCAAAACGAGACACGTATGTGACTTTTTTTTAATGACTCCGATGCGCCCGGGGTGTTAAAGCAGCAACTTTGGAGGGCTTGCATCATACTCGACGCTTGGGCGTTCTATTTCGTGCAGATCCGCAAGCTGATGAACAAACCGGCCTGGGAACGAAGTCCCGACGAGGAGTGCATCTTGGAAAACTCGCGAGACCTGGTGCAACTCCTTCAGGAGAGATCGCGTAAACGCCGGTGCAACGAACAACGTCTACAGGAGGTCCGTAACAAGACGTTTTACCGCTTATCATCCGCGGCTTTCGACCAGCATTTGTTATGCGTGGCGAAACTGCGGCAGAACAGTTACCCTACGCAAGTACTGCACGGCGTTTTCGTACCTGTAATAAAACAAAAAAGGAGTTGTACGTTGCTCGAACAACTCCGCATTTAGTAGTCTTCGTCCCAACCGACGCTTCGGGAGGGTCTCTTGCAGTGCTAAAATTCCTGTGACAAAACGTGTAAGACGTTGTGCAATACCAGCCCGAGATTTGTCAGTCGACCTCGCCCCACCGTCTTGCTCTGACATCGAATGTTCTCTAAGCTAGGTAATTATAGTATTTTGTACCTCTTGCGACGGGATCCGTACTAGCGGAGAGATTTTCTGCTTGTTTCAAAAGAAAATAGCTGATTAGCCGGCAGCTTTCGTTTCAGCTGTGTTCTCGCCGACCAGCTGTTGAGCTGGCCAACTCGAGTTCTGGGTCGATGTGGTTGAAGTGGCCAGCTGCTGTGATTCAGCCCGATTATTATTTGCTGCGATCGCGCACGCGCAAATTCTCCAGAGCGTTCCAGCTATACTCTAGCAAACCCCCCCCCCCCCCCCTTTTTTTTTTCTTTTTCATACGTTCATGCATCTCTTTCGGTCAGATTATCTATTTACATTTTTGTGATGTGTATACATGCAGTGTATGGTGATCCAAAAATTCAGTGCAAGCACCAGCTGTTGAAATCGCCATATGCTGTGTTTCATTTCGCAGCAGGCAACACATACAAAGCAAATATTTGGGACCAATAAAACTTTGATACAGCTTTGTTTCATGTGCTAATAATATATCTTATATTTTGGAAAACACAGCATGCTTGTTATGCAGAAGGTATTGCAGTTACGAATCTATGTAGCACAGTTTGAGCACTGTGCATATGACACAGTTCTGCTAACAATGGCTGCCATACATTATTCACCAAAAGATAGCACACTTTATGCTATTAGGATGAGGACATAGCCGTATGAATAATACATGGTCTGATTTAGCCTTAAATTCACGGCTTCTAGCATGAGTGTACGAGCGCCACATTTAATGCATATTGAATAGCTAGTGTGTTGTTGCATGTTGTGCCTCTCTGTTCATCATGTATATAGGTACGCAAGTGAATGTGTGCTAAGCTGCGAGTGACCGATACCCAGTGATAGGATAGCAGGATATTGTGCTAGCCCATGACCAATCGAGAAAAGATGGGTGAATAAATGAAGTCAACACATGCAGTGGATCCTGTCCTTTTGAAGACCTTGTCAGTTGTTCTTGAAGACCATGTCATGCAGGGCCTCTTCTTGCATTCTGTATTCAAATTGTGCACAATGATTACGATGATATCACTGATGATTCCCGACTGAATCATATGCTAAATTTATCAGCATAGTATCAGCATTGACTACTTTTGATGGAATTACAATTCATTTTGACTGTAAGTGATGACCAGATGTTGGCTCTTTGCTGGTATAATACCCAGATCACCTACATTCAATTTCAATTCAATGGTTAACTCGCCTATAAAATGTCTCAGGCTATTCTCATGTTCGAATGCTTTTTGTCGATCATGTTTTTCAGCAACACACATTCATTGTTTGCCATCGTACGTTGGGATACTCGACAGATGCTGACAGATGGGCATTGGCACGTTAATGCGGTACCTTGTACTCTCACAGGTACAAGACCCGCCAGCAGTGCTTGCCGAAAAGTGCGAGGCATTGGCGACGGCCATTGCCGAGGCTCGCCACTTGGTGGTGTACACGGGCGCCGGCATCAGCACGGCAGCGCGCATTCCCGACTACAGAGGACCGGCAGGTGTATGGACACTGTTGCACAAGGGCTTGACGCTTCCCGAGTACGTGCCAACCTGGCTTTGCTTGTCTCGTGCTCTGAGTTATGCTGGATCTTGTGTTGTCTGTCTGCATTCGTGGTACATGAAAGTCGCAACTGATGCTGTCACATCTTGATGGAGGCAAAATGGCTAAGGCCCGTGTACTGTGCGATATCAGTGCACGTTGAACGCCACATCGTCACATTTCCAGAGACATCCATGATGGCATGCTTCATAATCGTGTCATGGTTTTGGCATGTAAAACCCCCATTTAGTATCATTATCGATATGTTACATTGTCGCAATGTGTTGCGACAATGTCAGGATCTCAAATTAATGTGAGAGCTCTTGTACAGGGAGCCTTTTATGTTCAACTTCCCTTCTGTTTGCACCTGAAGTTCATGCAGAGTGCAGCACTGTTCAAGCTTGGGCTTGTTGGAATAAAATCGCATATTTGTATAGAATGGCACTGAGAAAATAGGGACACAAGAACACACGTTGACACAAGCGTTATGTGTTCCTGTTGCGTCCTTGTTTACCGAAATTGATTTTTCTGATGAGTTCTGTTTAACTCCGTGGTTTGATCCAGGGGCTGTATTATGTAACAATATGGTTTCCGAAGAGCAAGCTTTGCCAGCACGCGATTCTGTGACCGCATTGTTAAGTTTCCGAGGCGGTGGCATCACCCAGTTGCCTATTGGCAAAGCCAACCCTTCGAAAACTCGGCCATTAGATAACAAAACCCTGGTATGCTTATTGCTTAGTGGTTAAAATGCAATGATTTTTGCCTACGACGGCTTTGGGGACTTCTATTTCATGCATTGCTGAACTCGTGCAACGAGCGAGAGCCCTTGTCACACGTTGCAACTGTATTTTGCCCGAGAAGTGTCATGCAGCACTTGGCATTGGCACAGAAAGTTCCTGCTGCCAAGTGCTGGACACTGTGGATGCTTATTTTTTGCATCGGCCTGTACATGTGTCACACAAGTGTTTGGAAGGCCTTTCAATCGGTTCACTCATTGACTCAAAGGTGACGTTCAAGCTGCTACAGGGGCGCATTCAAAGGCAGCCTAATCAATAGCCTTAACATTAAGTCAACCGAACAAGCAAAAACTCTATCGAAACCCCAAGAGCCATTGGGCAACACTAGCAGAAAGAGCGCGAACATGTACTCTTGTTCACAGTGTGCTCTTGCTCATGATTAGAAAAACGAAAATCAAACCCAGATGCTAGGAAGAATATTCTATATGAGTGTTAGCAATAATTTAATGAAGTATCATTGCCACTTGATGTGTGTGCACTGCAGGTACTCGCAATATGTCTGTTTATCGAGAGTATGTAGCAGCCGGATCAAGCTGCACGAACGTTACCGCAGTTTTGCTGCTCAACAACTATATATGTATAGCAATATACAAACGCTTCGTTGAAATGTTCAAACAGAAATACCAAACTAATTTTTGCTTTTGAGTGGATTCATATTATATTTCTGTGGCACAAAAATGAAAATAAATTCACTGCGACACACAACTTTTGTGTGAAACTTCAGAACGTCTCTGTGTCTGTTGAAAGCTACCACCTATGTAGCAGTGCTGCTACTCTGTCGAGTTGATCCTATGTTTTCCGATCTGTGCCGACGTCATTAAGTGCATTTTCACGCCATGAAAATGTTTTTCCTCATGCGAAAAAGAAAAGGAAAAAAAAAAACAGAGCTTTCTTTCACCGCAGGGTGCAAGACCTGAGCCAGGCTTGCCCGACCTTCACACACATGGCACTGGCGCAGCTGCAGCGTACAGGCCACGTCAAGCACGTCGTCTCGCAGAACTGCGACGGCCTGCACGTGCGCAGCGGCCTCTCTCGCAAGCGCCTGTCCGAGGTGCACGGCAACATGTTCCTAGAAGTGTGCCCGCGTTGCAAGCCCCTGCGGCAGTACTTCCGCCTCTTTGACGTCACCGAGCGGACAGCGTTGAGGCGGCACCGCACGGGTCGCCAGTGCCATGTTTGTTCCGCGGACCTGGTTGACACCATCGTGCACTTTGGCGAAACAGGCCGGTTGCGCTGGCCGCTCAACTGGCAGGGGGCGGGACGCGCAGCCGATCGGTGCGACACCATTCTCTGCCTCGGCACCAGCCTCAAGGTACTGGCCTCCCAACACAGTGCTTAGATGTGAGAAAAATCAGTGAAAACTCAACAGTGAATAAGATTCAATAATTGTAAAGTGGGCTAATGATTACACTTTATTCCAATAAATATATTCTATGCTGCGCAAGCATGCAAAAAAGTGTAATTATCGTATGAATCGGGATAATGTGAATGTCATAGAATCTTGATGATGCAAATTTTAAGCAGGAGTGTCACCCGACATTTCGTATTGCTAAATAACTACCAGAATCCATTTTCAGAAGCATAATATACGCACAGAACACTTATTGCCGTTAAAAGAACTCGCATATGTCTTTCTAGTACACGCGGAAGCAAACCAGGAGAGCTCATACAGCTGGTAGTCGTAAACACAGACATCAAAGATTCGCTTCAGGTCTACTGAAAACTAAGGGCCAAAGTCTGCTCTGCTATAGTCATCAGTGAATGACAGAGATGCCAATGTGCTTCACGCCTTTTTATGACAATTGCCTTCAATCTACAACTGTTTTAGCTGCGTACCTTCGGAGCTGCATAGTTGTTATCGATGATCAAGACAAGCGCGAGTGTGTGTCTACTGAGTGCACCTATGGCTTAGTGACTTACATTTCTATCACTTCACAGGTGCTTCGGAGATACAGGTGCTTGTGGGGTCTTGACCGGCCCGTTCGAGACCGACCAAAGCTGTACATCGTAAATCTACAGTGGACACCCAAAGATGAATCAGCTGTCCTGAAGATCAACGGCCGCTGTGATGACGTCATGCGGGCTGTTATGGAGCACCTAAAGATCTGCGTTCCCGAATACGAACGGTGAGTCTGCTGGCCGCCCGTTTCTTTCCACAGGAGCCAGCTTGAGCAGCCGAGCTGCACTTGACTTCGTGGATGCTGAGATTGACATGTGGTGTTTAACGTCCCAAAACCACCATATGATTATGAGAGACGCCGTAGTGGAGGGCTCCAGAAATTTCGACCACCTGGGGTTCTTTAAAGTGCACCCAAATCTGAGCACACGGGCCTCCAAAATTTCCGCCTCCATTAGAAATTCAGCCGCCGCTGCTGGGATTCGTTCCCGCGACCTGCGGGTCAGCAGCCTTAGCCACTAGACCACCGCGGCGGGGCACCGTGAATGCTTAGTTCTCTTTATCACCGGCAAGATGGCATGATGGGTGCGCTTTATAGCTTGCCGCTCGTTACGTTGCCTGTGCTCCTCCTACCTCTACCATCTGTAGGGCGTGAGCGACCCTGCCCTGCAGGGCAAGGTCACTTAATGCGCAAAAGCTTATCTCATGGTGGGGTGGTTTGTATGTTTTGTGCTTTCACTGCAAAGTTTGCATTGAAGTTACAGAGTACACGCAGGTCACTTCACTTGCTGCAGTGGCCGGGTTTGCGAAAGGAGTGCGCTGATCGATCACACAGAAGTAACCATTGTGACAGCTGTTAGCTTGTAGTTGTCCTATATATACCTGTGAATTGGTTCGGGCGTCTTTCTTTGTGTTTGAGCAGTACTCTTTAAGTGATGCGTTGTGAGAGTTGTTGGTTTGTGCTTCTCCTGTGTGTGTTCCTTGCTACCGTCCTGGTTATAAAATTGAGAGCCCCCTTCCTTTCCAATGAGGGAAGGGCTTGTAATTTTTCTTTACAACAGGGTTTTTCTAAACTTAACCCGTCTATCTGCACAGGCACAATGACCCGCTGTGGAAGCTGCATACGCCCGTGCGGCCCAAGGAAATGCAAACGTTCACCCGGTTGCCCCTGATGGTGGCAGAGCAACCCCCCCACCAAGACCATTGCTACGCCATATCAATCAAAAAGGAAGACAACGAGGATGGCAGTGAGAATGATAGTGAGGACGAGGACAAGCGGGTGATCGTCAAGCAGGAAACAGAAGAGGAAGCAACGCAGCTCGAGGAGGAGAACGAAGAGGATGTCGACAACAAGAAACGGCCGAGGCTCGTTGGCTGGTATGGGAAAGGGTGTGCCAAGTGGCGCCGGAAACGTTAGCGGACGAGCTGTGCCATTCTGATTCAAAATAAACGGTCTTCTGCGTTACTGGTTGCCGATTGATGTGCCACTGGCCTCGGATCGCGTGTATCCGTGCTAGACACCTGTGAAAGGAAACTTGGGAACAGCTTCCCCAACGCACTGTGTTGAATGACAACGGCCTCATGAAAGTTTGCGCTGTGCGCTACGATGTGACGTGTTTGTGCAATTGTTTTGTGAACAGGAGAACAAACGATGCCCTTGCCACATTGATGGAGAGAGTACAAGATGTGTTGGTCTCAAGGGTCTTCTTCACGCGTTGCGCCATCTACCTATCGTGTGTTGATAAACTGTGACGGGATGTGATTGAAGTCTGCATAGAAGCTGGTGTGTGCGTGTCATCTTTCATTGCACGGGTCATTTTTATATTGAAAAAAAGGCATGTGATTGTGCCCAACGAGAATGAAACTGTTGCAGTGTTTCGCATAGAAATGTTGAAAAGTGATTGTGGTGGTCGTGAAATTCTTTGAGTAGGCACGCACTTTTGATACCGAGCCTTGTGACTGCTGGTTGTTCTTTTTGCATTACTGACAGTTTCACGATTCAGACGTATTTTCGGTAAATCGAGCAACTTGTCACTGTCTCCTGTACTGTATGGTCTGCACACAAATTTTGACGAGTGTTGCTTGTGAGCAGCTTCAGTCTACGAGAAGGCGCGCAGATGAACTCTGCAAGACATTTAGAAATCGAGGTTTTTGAGAGGTCTTGAAAACTAGCTCCCCAAGATAAATCAAGTATGAACTGAGCTTCTTGGCGACTTTGTGAAGCGTTCCAAATCTCCTAGAATTGTTTAAACTGTCATTGAAGGATTGTGTTTTTAGCCTTTCGCTTTAGTGGTGTGGAACTATTGCTACTGCGTGCTTTTGAGAATTAATCATCGCACGGTAGATTATCACAAATGATACCACAAACACGAAGTGTCGTGGCATGTTTACAGGCAGGGTTCATTGTCCTCAAAGTGGTTTTACACGCGAGCTTCATGACTTCTATAAACCAGCTGAGCTGTTACGTAGTTAATCGGGCAAAGCTTGTCATTCGCTGTATTTGTACAATTTATTGTTAAGTAAAACTTGTCGTGCCGACAAGTTCTGCTAGAGGTATCCCAGAAGACCTCAACGAGATGTATAATAAGTCAACAAAATCTTTGGCATATTTTGTTATTACGTGACACTTCTCAGTACATAGCTGTGTTTGTACAATTTACCCTCAAATTTCTTTCATTTGTTTGGGAAGACTCCATTCACAGCCTTTAATTTGATAGGCTTGTCAGAGTGGAATATTTGACTTCTAAAGCCTAGCTTTTGGAAACTATCTTGAATAGTCTAATTGACTCGTAATAGTTAATTGTAAAATGAAACCTACAATGACTGCAGATATGAAGTGCTGTACAGCCGCGGCCACGTCTGTGTAGAGCGCGCAAGCAGCCAGTTCTTGCTCCGCAGCGCGAAACCTTGAGGGAGTTTCGGGCTCTGAAGTGGTGTATCAGGAGCAATCGTGTCCTAGTTGTGAGGCTGACCACATCAGAGCCCGATACTGCCTCAAGGTTTCGCCTCACAGAGCAAAAACTGGCTGCTTGTAGGCTCTACACAGACGTGGCAGCGGCTGTATACTCACACGATTTATTGGTTATGACGAAGTAAATGAAAAATAGCCCTGCTATCGATATAGTGTTGGGAATAAACCTGTATAACGAATTTTCGGATATAATGAACTCTATAATAAAACGCTTTGTAACCTGTTTTGTAAACAAGCTCTGGAAAATGTTTTACAGATGTGCTCTGCATGACATGTAGACTTGTTGATCTGTGAAGCCTGCCTTGGGAAATCAAACTTGTTGGTCTTGCATGCCATTGTAAAGTAATATGATTCGTGAATCAATGTAATTACAGATAGCATTGTCATTTCCAACCTCCTATTTACAGACGAGTCCTGTAGGTCTTGTGGATAGCGTCCACAAGTCTTATCGTAAACAAGCCAGCACTCGTGGGGAACTTTGCGAGGTGAAGTCTCTAGTTAGTCACATTTATATAACTCATTTTGACAAGCTTTAAGCAGTCATTGTTTTAGAAAGGCTGCGATCTCAGCCTCTTGTTTGAAATGGCCAATCGGAAACAGCCTGTATTACTTCTAAAGCCCTTTTTGAGCTCGAGTTTCTTTTACACCTGTCATAACTCGATTGAAAATTTGGTGTATAATAATTGCAGACACAAAATGCTGTAGTACGTTTACAGGCAGCAGTTTTGGTTTTTTTGTACTCGTTGGCTATGCAACATAAAAAAAAAACAGAAAAAATGTGTTTTTCATCGAATTAAGGGTCTGTGCGTTTATATATACATTTTTTAGGTGTGAAGCATTTAAATAGACCTTGATTATAGACTAACGACCAAGGCACTGCGTCATTACAGGGATACCTTTGTGAAAGTGCAAGGAACTGCAGCCGAGTAGTGAGACAGTGGCCGTGAACTGGATTTTTTTATTAAAAGCTTGAATCAAATCTGAATCACAGTTACTCAGGCAATTTGAGATTGTGCCAAAAAACTTAGTTACAAGCAAGAGCACGTTATTATTGCTATATCAGCAGTGTATTCAACACGTGGCAGCATTCGAGCCATTGCAGTGGCAATGTGCCTTGGTGTGGTCTACAAACTTACAGATTGATAGAACAAGATATGTGCAAGTGACGAGTTGTGCAACACAAATTTTGTGACTTGTGAAGTTTCAATTGTCTGTCTGTGCATTTTTTTTTTTGTACCGTATCTGAAATATGCAAGAACTCAAAGACCTTCATGGAATGCCAAGTGCAAAGTGACCCAGCTTCTGATTGCCGGTGATGCTTATAGTGACCGTCTTTTTCTAACCACATCGTCATTGCAGCAGTGTATTTCATTTTTTCACTATAGCTATTTCAACATTGCGTAGACTGAGGCAAATGAAAAACCTTTGTTGCTTGTACTGATGATGATGGTGTCTTGCAGTCTTCCGATTCCTGGTACAGCATTGTAACGAGGAGGGTTTGCCAAGAATTAAACGACCTATGTCACTTTGGCTCACAAATCTAGGGTCTGGAAGGCTGCATCTCGAAACAAAGCCTCTCTCTGCTTTCCGTATGACGTCTGCCACATTTACGATGCAGTCTGTCAATGCAATGTCTTTTCGAATGGTGCTCTGTCAAAAAGCCTTTGTACTGTGTGGCGTGAGTGATATCATACGTCAGTAAAAGGTCTGAAAGCTCTGGTACAATGTGCCTTTTTTTTTTCGTGGTGATGTGCACGAGTCATGGATCTTGAAGTACATCGCGACCTTTTGTCATATAAGGTCTTGACCCAAAATTAATTAGTCTTCTACAAATAGGGTAGTTTAAAATGACACAGTGTGTGGAGCGAAAAAAGAAATTGAAACTAATATTTATACAATTACAAAAATTGCGCCAATTATTCCTATCCAACTGCACGAAAAGAAAACAGCTTAGCAGCATTATAGCTATCTAATGAACTAAGAATTTCGCTCTTTCACCAGTAATGCCTAAAGGTACAGAGCCTCAAAACCAAAATATTGTAATTTCAGAAGGTTGCTTTACAGCTCGAAACCTCAAAACCTGTTAGTTTTCAGTAATCCTGGTTAATTGCACAGGCTATTGTCTAAGCAAGAAGCATGAAAATTTAAGAGGAAAAAAAAAGACACAGTTTCACCACAAGGGCGAAGCAATGAACGCTGAGAACGGCAAGCAGATTGAACGTGCAGTGCGCTGCTCACACACAAAAACAACACACACAAGATGAGAGCGAACTAACAACGTTTACCACTCGACACGTGACGCACTGTTTAAGCAAAAACGACGCACGAAACGTAATCGCAGGTACAGATGAGTGCAAACTAACAAGTGTCCCTGTTGTGATACCTCGCTGTGTATGAAAAGCACACTCTTTTCACAAACAAGACCTATGCATAGACCGAAGTGACGTTTGTGAGCCTGGAAACTAACACAATCGTTCCAGTGAAAGCCGAAGGCACACGATTCTCCCAACCGAAGGATAAGCGCGTGCGCACATGCATCCCCCTTCCCCCCCCCCCGTTTCTGCAGTGAAAAGTATGCGTGAGAGATAAGCGCGTGTCGGTGTATTGCAACGAGCTGGGTGCTGAGTGAGGGGCGACTTTTTTTTTTCTTGAGTGTTCATACATATATAAACGTATACATATACGGCACGAATGACGGCGGCGGCAAAGACAAAAAACCAGCCGAGACTATCCATATAATTTATATCGCAATAATATAGAATTCTTCAAAAGCTAAGAACTTCTGTGCATCGAAACACGCCTGAAAGTTGGGTTTTGAGAAAAACAAGTGTTAAGTATTCTGAACATCATTTTTGGTTTGATGGCAGTCATGTAAGAATTTTCAACAGAACCACACTGACAGAGATGTAACTTTTTCTGCACCACTATTCTGCTGCACTACAATGTGAAAATTATTCACTGCATGCCGTGAAAAAAAAAAATACAGTACACAGAAGCTAATACAAAAAATGTGCTTCTATTTCAACACTCTTCGGGATATTGCTCGCACTTGCAATCAGAGTTGGACAACCATCACCCAAATGATACTGGCGTACAGCTTGGGCTTGCTCCTGCATTTGAATATTCTTGACAGATGACCATATATCGAACAGTGAAGCGAGCAGCCACCTCTCCTCACTTCAGTTATCCGTTACAAGGGAGCAACGCTTCTGGGCAATGAAATGGTGCGACCAATTTCGAGGGATAAAGAAAATGCTATCAGGATTGCAAGAAAGATGCAAGCACAATGTGCAACAAGCAGTCCCTCAGTTTTGAGAACCTCTTGAATACCTCTCCGATTTACTGGCAAATGATTTAAACTCCAACCAAAAGTATGTGAAGGTCCCCGACGTTTCAGAATCGACTTGGTTCCTTCCTCAGAGACGACTGGGAATACGCAGCAGCGACGTCTTCTAAGCAATCGTGGGGCGGTTAATGACCCCCCGCTCTCTGTCTCTCCTGTTTTGCTGTGGAGCGCAGTCTGTGTGTATTGTATACACTGGGGGAAGGATTCCGAGAGAGCGGTTGTTGATTTGGGTCATTCGCCGTATAAGCCATGACTCGAGTGAATGTGCACTTTGAAACATCGTATGCAAGCAGCATGGTTATATGCGATCGAGGCATTGGCTTGGCGGCTGCAGCCAACATGCCAAGCCAAGTTGTTGGCCAAGATGCGCAGATGCAGTCATACTTGCCATGTAGAGATTCTCTCTGTGTCTGTTTCACACTTGAGGATACACTCTGATTGCACTGCGATGCCCTGAAGGTTTTACAAAAAACCAGCTGCCTGTACAGCTCTGTAGATGTACAGGCACTAGCCTGCACATTGACTAAGCTGAGGATGAACCAGTATTGTACGTAGTAATACACACTGTCTTAAATCTTACATTTTTGGTTTTATTACAAGTTGTAAAATACTAGTTAGAAAAAAGTGACCAAATACTTACGTCTATTTCATTATACACAACAATCGGAGACGTCCTCGCTCATTTATAACGACACAACTAGAGATGGTCAACACAAAGCCATCACCTACTACTGTAACAGAAAGTTGAGAATCCTAATAAGACTGTTAAATAATAATTACAGTGCCGAATGGTGTCAAGCAGGTTCACTGGCTAGCAGAGATTTAAAACCTGCAGGAAGACTCTCCTCTAGGGCACATGCTCGCACAAGAACGTTCCACCACTGCCGCCTGTCCGTGAGTGCGGCGAGCTTCACGATCTCCTTTGGTGACACCCCAATCACACGCACATCCCAATGCTTGGAGCTGGTACACCTTAACTGCCATAATGCCGCGGAGGTGACCCTCCTCACTGTCTCGCACTAACACGCTGCGGTCCAGGAGCTCTATGCTGACAAAACGAGCCTCGCGATTTCCGGCAGCCATCCTCTGCTGCTTCAGATCTTCCACGTCCAGCACGGGGCTTGCGCGCAACGAGCGTGGACACACGGCAAAAGTCACGCCAGCGATGCGGATGTGCGGCAGGACACAGCCGGCTCGCAGTCGACGTTCTCCGAACACGGCTACTAGTTCCCCAAAGCCGTCGCGCCTTGGGAGCTGCTCTCTGCTGCTGGTCAGCTTCACAGTCAGTGGAGCACCTCTCGCCAATTGTGCAGATGCGGCAACGAATACTAGACGCAGAACCGCCTTCTTCTTTCCATCGAGAAAAACCGCCCGCTCTGCACTCGGCGAAGTTGCCTTGTCAATGAGGTCCCATGGGTAGCAGTCGAGGCAAATGAGTGACTGCAAGGCATCTAGGATGTGGTAGAGATCTCTGTTTGACGTAAAGTTTTGCTCGATAAACTGGACTGCCACTTCCAGGCTCTCTTTCCCGGCACTGTGGTTTACAGCTGCAAATGCCCACAGCACCTTGGCCACATCTTTCAACCTTGGACGTAAAGAAGGGTGCAGCCTAGACGAACTGTGTTTGCTCGGGACGCATTCGCGAAGCAGGGAAACCACTCTGTCCTCGAGGTGCTCGAATGTGCCTCTGTCATACGCAGCAACGCTGGCGAAGGCAGCCAGCATGTGGGCACATTCCGTGACCACCAGTTCTCGGCTGTGAATGGCAACATAGCTCGCCAGGTTTTGAAGAACCTCGGGGCTGTAGTGCTCGCAGAGTCGCAAGAACTTCAACGCCGCCACAATGTCGAACCTGTCCTCGTGTGATGACAAGGCACAAGCTGTATGCTGAGCGACGAAGCGAAGAAAGGCATCGTTGGAAACCCTAGTTTTCAACTTGAACAGGCTGCTGCACAAAACAGCGAGTTCTTTGAAATCCTCTTCCAGTTGGAACTCTGACAGTCGCTCTTTAACGGCACTTGCAAAGTGAGGCGGGACGCTGCATTTCTTGAGTGCCAAGAGGTACAGCAAGTGAACCAGATGCGGCCAGGGCAGCTGCTTTACATCGACCGCGTGTGGCAGTTGCCGCACATAACTGCTTCCGCAATGAGGAGAACCAGCGGCCCATGCATCCATGACACGAATTGCAAGTTCAGGTGCTAGTCTGCCTACTCTACGGCAGCACTCCCTTTCTAAGGCATGAACATGCCCTCCTCTTGCCGGCGAAGAGCCGCAAGACAGCACAGCACCAACTAACTGGTCATCAGCGAGAGCAGAGAGGGCGGACATCTCTGGTGGCACAAACTCTAGCTTGGTACCAGATGCCACAGTTCGGTGATAGGCATTCGCTTTCCCTAAAGAACCCGAAGTAGTGGTCTCTCACATAGCCAGTGGCAGCAGCGGCGGGTAATGCCAACCACCAGGGGGCGCAGTTGTAGCACGCAGTGCAGCACTAGACTCGTCATGGTGCTGACACTATTTCATGTCGAAATGGCACATACTCTTGTACTTCACCAGCAGTTCGCGCTTCCGCACCAGCTGGCGCCGTAGCGCATCAACCCGACGCAACTGCTCCTCTCGCGTGAGCTCGATGCCTGGAAGCTTGTTGATCATGTCGCGACACAGCTGTAGCTTGCCCCGCAGCTCCTGGATCTTGGCAGCGCTGTCGTAACTGTCCCTCTTCTGGGTCGGGTCATGAGAGTCCTTCTCGATACTGCAATGGCAAGGGACACAGGAACAGAACGCTTGCCACTGTTACTCACAATAATGCCGAAAAAGAAATTTGGGGCCACCGTCTATGCAAATTCTTAAGAAGCTCTGCGCCACCAAGTGAGTGATGATATATGTGAAGCTTGTGTTGGCTACCATTGAATGAGGCTTTGGGCTAAAAATTAGATACGGCTGTACATATAAAGGCTTCTTTAAAATGGAAACTCTCAGAGTTGGATCTCGTTCAAATTACAGGGTGTCTACCAATTACATTTTTCCAAATTCCCTGACTTTTCCAGGTTTTCCATGACCATTTCAAGCAAATTCCATGACCGGTACGTCTGCTTGGAAAAAACTGCGCACTGGAAAACAAACTCCTGAGCGGTAAAAAGAAATTATGAGGCGCTCATATAAAATGGAAACCATGCTACTTTATTGCATTCCCTTGTCTGAAAGCATTTTTTACAATAAATAAAATATTCAAAGACACAATAATTGTCCCTCGACAAACAGAAAAGCTTGTTTACTTGCATCGGCAATGCCTTCACTGTTTCAAGGATTCAATCTCTTGCTGCAGCATGGAGACCTGAAGCTGTGCGTCTTCCATCAGTTTTTGCTTCTTTGATTCAAGCTCTTTCACAAGAGCCGCAGTCCTCTTCTTTTTCCTTTCAGCATCCAATTCGTCCAACCGTTCCTTCTTTTTCCTCTCCCGGTCTTCCTTCCATTTGATGTTGGAACTTCGAACCATGTCTATCATCTTGTCTGTTACGTCAACTTCTGCAACACCACCTGCTGCAGACACCTCATCGTACACTAACCTTTGTGCTACAAGTGACTCCTCCTTCATATTTTCCACAAGACATTCCTTGTTCACTGAAAATCCCCGCTCCACGGAAGAATTTCCATGTGAAAGGCACAGCACAATCTTCACAAACAGCAGTAGCTCTTCATGAGAACTTGCACAGAGTTCCACCCACAGCTTCTCCAAGCGCTCTCTTGCACGATCAAATTTTCGCAAACGCACTTGTGCAGTGCTGTTCGAGCACACTTGTACATATGATCTACTTGCTCTCTCTCCTTGTAGGCCTGTAAGGCGCTCATGGTCTATAAGTACTTTAAGTGCAATGTTTAGCTGCTTCTGGCCAGCTTCCACAGAAGCGGCACAAACTGCTGGGTTTCAGCAACTGGCCCCCCTTGTCAGCTTGTATTTCAGAGGTGATCTTTCGATTATCTTTGCTGAACAGGCCTTAATAAATAAGATGCATTCTTTTTTGACACTTACCACCGCAGTGTGAGATGGTTTAGTGATCTTTCGCAACTCACTTTTGGCGGCAAGGCCTATGTCAAAGGCAGCTATACCAATGATGTTGTTTGGGTTCTCCAGATCAATTTTTATCAGTTTTGAAAATGTGCCTGCAGCATCCAGCTTTTCCTTTAGCACGATTCGTCCCAGCAGTGACCGCAACAGGCTGTCCAGTGCTGTTGCAAGAAAAGGTAGCATCGGCTTTTCTGTCTGAAACTCAGCCAAAAATGGCTCCAATTCTTCTGAAACTGAAAGCATAAAGGCCAGCTTTACTGGCAGCATCTCGTCTTTCACAGCCGTCTCGACATGAGCATAGCTGCCACACGCTGGAAGTTTCTTTTCTTTCTTGACATGCTCAACATATTTGACCACATTTGGGAGGACTTGCAGTGCCCTAGCAAGAGCCTTGCCATTTTCCAGCCAGCGCACTGACTTTAGCGGAAACAGTATGCTCCCTGTGAAATTGACATAGTCGGCTCGGCGTGCAGGGACGTTTTTGAACAAATTGTACAAGCTTCTAAGAAACACTACTGTGTTCCACTTTGTCACATTGTGGCCTGTTTTAAATGCACCACTCACAACGTGCAGTCCGCAGCTTCCAATGTCCACAATATTCTGATTTCCATCAGACGCAGAAAACTCTTGCTTCAACGACTTCAACAACTTCAAATTGACGTTTAGACCATCCATCGAAAGTTGAAGTATTTTTGCCGGCTCAATGTTCTCAGTGGCTTTTTTGAAAGCGGCAGCTAAATCTTCTGCGCGAGTGTGTCCTAAAAAACAGGACGTCAGGTAGCGGGTTTTGACAACGTCGTCAGCTGGGTCCCAAAACGTGATCAAAACGTCCATTTGCTCTTTCTGAGCAATTTTGTACAGGGACTCGTCAAAAGCCACGACCACGTGTGGGACACTATGCAGCTTTGATAGCAGCCTGTTTCGGAAGTACGGGGCTATACCGTAACAAATTGTATAGCCAACTTTGTCCTTACCAAGTTGCAACTTCTTCGCGACGTCGTACGTGGGGAACATGATGGGAAAAAGCGCCGCTGACGCTGCTGCTGAACGAAACGATCCATGCGTCGCTATAGTGTTCAGACACCAAACAACTTCTGCTTTCGTGACACATTTTTTGACCAGAAACCCATTTAAGGATGCCTTCCCGTCAGGCGCGACGGCCACCGGTTTAGCAGGCACGCTTTCAGCACTCGTGCTTGGCACAGTCGATACACATTCACTCGTAATCGTAGCAGTCATGGAACACGGCAAGTTGGGTCCAGCACCGAAAAACGCGCGGATGTTTGTCTGGGAAGCACTTTGCACAATGCTCACAGCAGTTAGGTGTTTCTTGCTCACAGCGTGACTGGAGACAGCAGCGATGCCCATATTGCTAAGCGAGAAAGTGTTCTGGCATGCTGCACAGTGAACCTTACTTGTATCGTTCGGCACTGCTCTAATCCATGAGGCGTGCTCGGATATTTCCGCGTTCACCCAATCAGGGTTAAACGAACACTTCTTCGCAAGAGGCATAGCAACTCACTGCATGCTCACGGCATCACAAGAAGAATGGCAATATGGCTGCAGCCCAGGCATCTTGATATGTGGATTGCATTGGATCCGATCTGGATTACCATATTTGCTCTACTACTGTTTTTGTATCCCAGTCCAATTTGCGCACCTGTAAACTACACATTTCAGTAAAAAAATAATTACGACTCGCATATTCTGTGCACCTTGCCCTCTGCTGATGGCACTTCCAGCCTAACCAGAAAACCCTCAAGCCGAGCCGAGATCGCGGCCAAGACAAACATGCACAATTTTATGCGCGTGAGTAACGTTGTACTCGGAAAGTAGAAGCGCCAGCTATGCACTGCTTTTTTTTTAACTATGCTTCTGCTTAGCTGTTCTGTGTGGTTTAAAGAGCGATTTTTAAAGCTTTGATTAATGCTAATGAATATTTTCGTGACGATCTGAAAGACTGCAGTTAGTTTCCATGACCTGGCCGGATTTTTCAGAAATTCCCTGACTTTTCCCTGACTTTTCCAGGCGTGTTCAAATTCCCTGACTTTTCCAGGTTTTCCAGGTTTTCCAGGTTGGTAGACACCCTGAATTATATTCAAAAAATAAAGTTCACTCACCTGCACTACATAGTAAAATCGCGAAAGAATGACAAATGACAAACTGCCACGGAGCGAACCCTGATCTTGTCGCCTGTCTTCCAAGTTAAATGGCTGCTTGATAATTTTCATGTTTCATGAAAGCGTACATCGAAGCAGAAGTTCTTAATGTAAAATAATGCCTGTTTCTGCATAATGCTAGGAAAGAACTATCTTACCATCTGCTACAAGAGTATAAAACTAACTTGCAAAGAATGCATTGAGGCCAGACATGTAGACTTTTTGAGGAATCCGAATCTGCAAACAGGAATCCAACAACTTAAGCATTCCCATGCGTAGAACCTTCGAGGAAAAAAAATAGGACGTAGCTCGCCTAGTGTCCACAAGCCAACGTCCTCTGAAGTCACTTGCTCCTTGCATTCATGCTCATTTCCCGTGATGCTCCTGTTTCATTTCCTTTTTTTGGGTGGACTCGTGAAGAAAAACGAAAACTGACTAGTATGTAAACATTCTACAGAAGTCTGTCTGGTTGGGTATTGAAACTGGGAGATGATTTAGACCCCAACCAAAAGTTTTGAAGAAACCCAAAGTTTCGAAACCGACTTGGTTCCTTCCTCAGGAGTGACTACACATGGACTGCGCTCCATGGCAAAACGAGAGAGAGAGAAGGGGGTCATTATCCGCCCCGCGAGAGCTTTGAAGACGCCACGGCTACGTAGCCCCTTAGTCACCCATGAGGTTAAGTTGGTTTCGAAATGTTGGGTTTCTTCAAAAATTTTTGGTTGGAGTCTAAATAATCTCTTAAAACTGACTAGTGCATGTGCCTAGTGTCTGTCCACAAGCCAACCTCCTCATTCGCCGCTCCTCTTCTTCTTGTTCTCCATGTGCTGGGCTCATTTCTCCATAGAGTTCCTTGATTGTAATTAGGGGGGACTCAGGCAATCCAGTCGTTTTCCCACGATGAAAATGATGGGTAGTACACGAATCTGCTTAGTCTGCATGCTTCTGGGCTTCGAATGCACCTGTGACTTTGTTATTCACTGAGTTTTGATTTTGTTTCAAACAAAGGAACGGATCATTGGAAACTTCACAAGCTGATTTGAATTGGTGAGCCTAGGAAGATTAAGGTGGTGAAGTTCAACTGCTGAACTTTTGCTTAACTGCCTCTTGCAGCAACGCGCATTCAGGCCACACGGAGCCGAAGGAACGATGATTAGACAAATGCGAGTACTACCCAACATTTTCATGCTGGCTGAAGCGCCGTGCATTGCAGCTCCCACAGACACTAGCGCCAGAGTTCCCTCTAGTGTACGTATACGAAACTCTACGCATTTCCCAGCATGCCCCTGTTTCTTTTTATGGCTGGGCTTCAAAGTTTTCACGTGACACGCCCTCCTGCTTTTTTATTCTCCCCTCTATGCATAGAACAGCGTCGCAGCACCAACTTTCCCTATAGGTGACCGTATGAAACTATGAAGCCATCAGCACTTTTCTGTGACGTCACTAAGAGGGCCTCTGGCGGCCGGTCCTGGCCCTTCGGTGGAGTAACATTTCTCGGGGTTGTTAAAAAAAACAAAAGTAAAGCAAGGTGTGTAGATGACCGGAGACGGCATATTGTGCGCACTAAACCTTTATAATGTATCTACGCTCTTACGAAAACCAGGAAATTGCGTTCCATTTGTATACTTTCAACACGAATGAGAAAAATTTTCTTCCACGCTACACAGAATGCTTTCACACCACACAGAGGAGGAACTGCCAGCGGATTAAATTTCCGATGGTAAACTGATAAGACTTTTTTACTTACGACAGGTCCTAGTTAGTAAACCAAGACGCGAACTTCGACGCGGCTCTTATGCATACTATCACGTTTTTGTGTGCATGGAGAAAGAAGCTGCAAAGAAAAGTCACATTCCAAAAAAAAAAAAAACGACACCCACGCGTCTGCTATCATGTGGAGAGCCGATTTCGGCGAACCGTCAATCTAGAGAAGGGACAATGTTCGATGTCCAGCGTTCCAGTGGTACTTCCAAAGTCTCGGAAGCACCGTCAATGTATTACGGAACAATGCAACGTCGCGTCAAATAAGAGAGGCAGCGAATAAATGAATAACAGAGTGCCGGCGCCACACTTTGTGACACCAAATGAAAGCAAGTTCGGCGGACTCCCATACACGTTGCATTGGTTGTGCGCGAATTTGCTGTAACTCAAGCCGCACAAGACATTGCTGCGGACATTGCTCTTATAAGCTTTGTTGCCGACAAAAAAGGAGTGCGCGGAAATCTCACCTTCTGATAACATCGTAAATAAGGTGCAAGATCTCGCTGCTCACTTCTTCAATCGTTGCCATTGTCGTTTACATTAGCACATTTTCAGCGTGATGTCGATGATGATCAGCAGGCGTATCACGTCAGTCTTCAACAACACAATCAGCTACTAAAACTGGTCACAGGGGCCACGTTTTTAGCCATTGAGCATGCATTGAGACGAGAAAATTGCACAAAAACAATGCGTTACGTAAAATTTGCGGTAACTGCGCTAAAACAACTATTGAGACAGTTTGCAGTCGTTACGTAGCCACCGGCAGCTACAAACAGTCAAATCCATAGTAGTTACAAATTTGCAAAATGGCAGCTTTGCGTCGGCTCGCGTGTTCCGCAGCAATGCGGCCGACGTTTCTGACATGGTGCAGGTCGTACAAGAGCGACATAAGCCTCGACAAACTCTACCCATCAAGCGGAGAAAACGCGACGCAGTCGCCGCCTCTCGAAGGAGGCGTGAACATGAAAGACGTTCAGATCTACGACCACGACCCGACGAACCCGTACCGGGTGGAGATTCGCGTGCACTTGGACTCGACGCAGGTGGATTTCGCAGGAGGCCAAGCAAAGACTGCGACAAGAGTGCAAGCCGTTCATCGACAGTCACGGCAACCTAGTGCTCCACTCGGACAAGACTCGCAAGAAGTCGGTCAACGTGGCCGACTGCTTGGACATGTTGCGATGCATGCTGCGCGAAGTGTCGCGACCTCCGCCCGAAAACATTCCGGAGACGAGGTTAACGTTGCGCGCCAAGCACGAAAGACTGGCGGCGGCTCGTTTGCGAATTCCCAGGGTCCCCGCGGCGGCGTCGAACAGCGGCGTATCTTCGTGAACTACTGTTTAATAAAAGTTGCCTTGTAGATAGAACATCTGCCTTTCCCACTGCCTTATTCTTTTGACTTGTAACACGAAACACGACCAATATGAGATACCCGAAACTACGTCTCTTTCGTCACTGTTTGAGTACCACGAAATACATTCTCTTTCTGTTTGCTTGCCATGTAGATGCTTATTATCAAACTACCAAAGTTTAAATAAATATCGGATCCTTTCTCTAGACAAGGCACCGCGACCATACGTAGACGTCAAAACAAAAACCGAACTTTTATTTTGAAGGTAGCGCGTTCGTCCTCGGCGTGCTTGTCTGCTTGCTACAAGCGCTCTGTGATCTGCGGTGTTGGCTTGTAAGCACTAATCAGTATTGAGAAACGGGTCATCATAAGCTCGCCGCAGTAGCAAAGGTAGCTCGAGCGAGGTACAGAACAGGCTCTGTCTGTCATTGTCATTCTCCGTTTGCCAGCGAGAGCCATCGCAATGTCCGACGACTCTGAAAAGTATGTCACTACCGCCTATGTTGCGGTTGCTCTGATTTAACAACGCCCGTTTCGTTGCGATCGCAGGCCTCCGGAGCCGACAGGCAAGGGCCGATCGGGAGCTCTCATCGTCAGTTCTCGACAGGCGAGTGTTCGCTTGTAACGTCGGCTGCTTCGACTTGTTGATGTTGTGTTGCCGTAGATGTTGACTTGTAGATGTTGTGTTGCCGTAGATGTTGACTTGTAGATGTTGTGTTTCAGCGTAACCTGATCACACTGCACTGCCGTTCGTGCTCTTGCAGAAGGGAAACCCGCTGCTCAAAAGCGTCCGCAGCGTACCGTGGGAGTTTGGAGACATCGAACCCGACTACGTTCTGGGCCAGACGACGTGCGCGTTGTACCTCAGGTTAGCGAGCTTGAAATTGCGGGCGAGTTTGGTGCGTGCTTCCCATGCCGTACTCTGTGCTGTTCGCCTCGGTATTCTCAAACCAAGTGGCCCGATTTCGCGTACTCCCGTCTTGTGTATTACGTATACCTCTTGCATACGTAGGTTCCCTAACCTCCCACCGACTTCAGTCTTTCAACTATTACCGAAAATGTGTGCAGCTTACGCTACCACCAGCTGTTCCCCGGTTACATCCACAGCCGGCTGCGCTCCTTGGGTCGTGCCTTCGAGCTGCGCCTGCTCCTGGTACAAGTGGACGTGGTCAGTATGCCAGCCATAAGAATCACATGCGTGGTTGCTAACATGGCAGCACTGGTTGACGTCCATCTCAAGATGATAGTTATAGCGCGAGAACTGGTTGATGTCCATCTCAAGATGATAGTGATAGCGCGAGAACAAAACGGCGACACAGAGATAAGAAGGACACGTGTCGTTTTGTTCTCGCGCTATAACTATCGTCATGCCATACCAACTAGGCCAAGCTGCCACACTTCTAAGTCCATCTCAAACTTTGAAAATCCAGGATTGAGAACCAGAGTGATTGCAACTGGTACCAACCGATTTAATGCTGTATTCAACTGGTGCTCATTGAAACCAAACTGCCTCATATCACAAGCCCACAGAGGATGTAATGGTCCTACTAGGAAGATAAAAAGGAAACCAACCAGTTCAATGGTTGGAAATGATCCAGGCTAAGGTATTACCAGGTGCAGATTATGGCTTTGCACGTGACCCGTCCCAGTTTTGTGCTCAAAGGTTTGCTGTGGCATTCTCCGAATACGTTTGAATGGTTTACAATAAAATGAGCTTGCTTTACTATGACGTAAATGAAAGCAGTCATGAAGTACTATCGACGATCAGTCTGTTCATAGTCGGGGCAACTTTAAAAGCTGGGACAGTTCCACCTCAAAGGTGGATGTGCACGTGCTTACACCATTGGGTGCGCGCTCTTGAACTTATGAGCCGGCCAGTGATCCTGCCGAGAACATAAATGAAACTGTTTCTTTAGTCATAGAGGTAATTGTATGCTGCACTTCGATGTCAGTGGTGGATCCTCTCACGCCTTCTTAAGCTGGTGTGAATCAAAAGCTTTATGCCAAAGATGTCAAAAGAAAACCTTATGCACCAGATTTGTTTGAATACTACAGCATTTCCTGTTATCTTACGCACTGCAGTACTTTTTGCGAAACTCGTGAGTGGTGGGTGATCACTGGAGTGCTAAATGGAATCACAACTTATCACAATGTTCCTTACTGTCATTGCATGCTATGCATCAGCTTGATGACTGCAGCACCCACTGGGAGTGACAAAAATGCCATTTTCCATGTACGCCGAGTACATGTACGGCACATCAGTCACTGAGAATTGTGCACATAGTCGAACTATGTTCCTAATGTTGTTTGATGCTGCTCACCACTTCCAGTGAGCCCTCTCAATGTTTTGATTACTGTGCAGGCCGATCCACATCCCAGTCTTCGTGAACTTTCTCAGGTGTCCCTGCTGGCCGACTGCACCATGTTGCTGGCATGGAGGTAGGCTGGGAGGAAACGGTTGTCTAGTACTCTAGTTTTGAAAAATCTGTCTTGGAGGTTCTATTTCCCTAGGGTCAGTCAAAGCCTATCGTCATCACTTTCCATTTTTCTCATGAGAACTCGAATCACCGATTCACAAAGCTTGCCAGCATGTGGGATGCCCTTCTTGTGTTCCTCTTGGCACAATTTCTTTGAGAAGCGTTTTCTATTTCAACTGTGAAATGCGTGAACAAATGAGCGAGGCTATAGTGCTTAATATATTGGTAAAAAGGAATGGTTGGACTTGTGCACTGGCGAAAAACTCGAACAACATTTAAATGGCTCCTAAACAATCTCGAATATTTTTCAACATTTCAAGTAAACGCGTGCATCATGTACATAGTGCTATCACGATCAAGAATGCCACACGTGACAGTGCTACAATTCGCGGGTGCGTCACACATTTAAAGAAACAATCCCTCCTCCCCTTTGGATCCCTCCTGCCTCCATAGTGACGTGAGTGACGTCACGAAGTTGAATCTGTGATGCAGGCCTCAAGTCATGCTGCGATTGGTCGAACAAGAACCTGACTTTTGGTTAGTCTGCAAGTAGCTGCCCGCACTTCTTGTTCGTTGTACTGCGGTGGCGGCGGCTGCTTCTCATCTTGCACAGAGGTGCTCTGGCACCGCGTGTTACCGTACGGATCCATCATGTTGGTGATCCTTTGAAGGCATGTGCGCAGGACAGGGTCCATACCGGCACGATTCGTAGCAGCGTGGGCCGGCACTGGCAACAGCGGTTGACAAGCACGGAGTTGACAGCAGTCGCGGCAACTGGAGGTGCGCGGTGTTTAGAACAGTGGGTCAGTGATGATGTATGCCATGCGATATTAGGAAGGCAAAGTGGCTCTGCGAAAGGAGACCAGCGCAGGGTAGCGAAGAAAAGAGTTACTGATCTCTACACTTCGATAATCAAACCCGCGAAACTCCACTATTACGGCGCCTTTTCAAAAAATTCTTATGACAGTGTGTTCGTCGTTTACTCATGCACACTTTCCGCACCACAACTACATTTTGGCCTCTGGGTGTCTTAGTGGCATTAACTGCCCTTTGTCAGGGTTGGAAAAGAAAAGTCTAGCCCCCACACAGGTGCCAAATAAAATAAATGAAACGACTTCAGCTATTTCATTTATCACATCACTGGTAAATGAAATGACTTCACCTATTTATTTGTCACATCAGTGATAAATTGAATGACTTCAGCCATTCATTTATCACATTAGTGGTAAGTGAAATGATTTTAGCTATTTAATTTATCACTGATGTGATAAATAGAACAGCTGACCAGGCATAATTGAACCGGCTAAATCGGTGTTCCTCTGTCTAGTGCTGAAGAAGCCGGACGCCATCTTGAGACGTACAAGGCTCTGGAGGCCAAGCCTGCCGACGCCCTTATGGAGAGGCAAGAAGGAGACACATTATCAAAAGTATGCATTCTGTTAACAGGTGGCTGCAGCTAAATGTTTTCTTAGTGTATGGGAGTTTATACTAGTGTGTGTTTTTGTATGTGTGCATGTATTACACATGCAAAATTGAAAAAATTAAGGAGTGGATGGGAGTGGGGGAGGGTTTAATCTCCCAACTGTTTAAAATGTAATGGACGCCGGCTGCCAGTTTAATTCTTTCGATAATCACATAACTGGAGGACCAACCATTGCAGAGCTTTTGGCATTAACCTTGTTTTCAATGCACTGCCAGCACCTGCCCCCACCAACACATCGTGGAAAAAAAAAAGGAAGAGTCCTTGTTGTGCATTCTCTGTGCTATCAAATTATTGAATTTAATGAAGAGTTTCATGACAGCTTATGCATCGAGGCCGTGTACGATGGGATATTCGGGTCACTGGGACATTGAAATTTTCGTTGTTGCAAAATTCAGATGTGCCATCATTTTAGTTAGATTACTGTGAACACCAAAGATGCATTTGTGTCTCATTGCCCTTCTCATTATAAGTTGCAGTAATTGCATCGTGCTCTCTATTCAATTGCTAAAGTCTAATACCTATTACATGTCTTCTAACAGTTCCTCAGCGACTTGTGGTGTTTACCTTGTATAAGAAATCTACGTAACGTTTCGTTTTCCCCCTCATGAAACGAATATTGCTCAATGACAGCAGGTAGTGCTTGGTTCGTCTTATGCACAGCCCACATATTCCGTGGCAAGGTGTTGCACCCAGTCTTAGAGAGGGTGCATAGGCGCAGGATTTGTTTGTCTTATTCGTGCATGCTTGCCCGAGATCCTCTACGCTTGCATTTACAGTGGTCATAGATCAAAATGCGATATCTTAGAGCGCAGTAATGCACACACTTTCATCCTCAGTTGATGTCGATGGGTGCATCAAAATGAACGTTACCCTCTTTAGTAAACATGGTGCAGTTTGGAGCAATCAAGCCTACTCTTCGTTATACTGAAGGTTTTTAAAAGTTTCCCAACCAACGAGCACTGTCCATGCCACTGATTAACGTGTTTGTTGCAGCTGACGGATGCGATCTCCTCGGTGCGGTCTTTAAATCGACCGGATGCAGTGGCCCTGCTCAGTTCTTTTGGGGTGAGTTGCTGTCTCAGCATGCCAGCCGTATGATCTCTCTGTTGTTTGTGTTCCCGAGTTTGCACCGTGCATGCGAATGTGTAGACTGTGTGGTTGGCCACGTCTTTTGTGATGTACAGCGGACTCTCATTAAATGAAACCTGAAGGGACGGGGAAAATGTGTTCCGTTTAACAGGACTTCCATTCACCGAGAGGTGAACTGGGCTGCAGTACGCAGAGATGAAACCAATCATATCAGAGGCAGTTGTTTCATTTAAGCAGGAGTTCCGTTTAACAGATTTCCGTTTACTGAAAGTCCACTGTAGTGTGCTCGTCCTGGAAAAGATATGAGTGAAAAATGAACAACACACAAAAAGAGAGAATGACTTTGTGTTGTCCATTTGCACTAAAATCTATTCCGGAATGAACCGACACCCCAAAAAGCATTTTGTTAAATGTGCTCGTTGATTAAAAGCACTAGCACACTTGTTTTTCTAGTTTTAATTCTTTGCCGAATTTTCATTCAAAACAGTACAGCCTTGTTAATTCTAACTCGTCTCCTTGTCTTGGTGAGCTTGCGTGTTATTTAGTGGCATGTAATGTTGTCCATCTGGACGTACCATACAATTCTGAGCAAGCGCCCCGCTCCTCTCTCTTCGGGAAATTTCAAATATGCGGCCCCTTCTCCCTTCCCACCATTTTCACTGTTTCATTCATAGTTTTTATTCGCTCGATGCGGGCAAATGAAAATAGTGAATGCATGCATGCTCAATAAACCATACCATTAGAAGCAAGGGTCTGTGTTCTTTATTCTTAGGGGGTCATTCTCCGCCATCTTGAATTTTTCTCCAGGGCCGTGCAAGCCCCCCCCCCCCCCCCATCTGATCTAGTAGAATTAGTCTTTGCCGTAGTGTGTGTGCGTGTGGGGGGGGGGGGGGAGGGGGCCTTGCTTGACATTCGACGGTACTCAAATGCACCATGACCGATTCAATTTGAAAGTATTGTTTTGGCTCAATGCCAGAATTTGCAGTGCCAAGACAGTACTTCTATATCTGTACTTCTAGACTGGTACCAACACACTGCTGCCTTTTCCATTCTCTCGCAGAGCCTTGAGCGCCTGGCCGCGGCCTCTGAGCAGGAGCTGATCTTGCAGCCAGGTTTGGGACCCCACAAGGTACTAACCAGTATATTGATTCGTTCACTACAGAAACATTGCGCGAGGTGGACTTTACAAGCACTGTGATTCACTGTGTGCACAGACTGTACGTGCACTACTATGCACTACTAGGGATAAAACAAGCACCTGTAGGGAAAAAACAATAGCTTCCATTATTTCTTGGTGATTGGAAGGATACTCTTATAAAAAAAGTTCGGTGATAACAATTGTCAAAAATGCCGCAGGCAGCGCCTCTGCTTGCTGAGCATTCCCCGGGTGGAAGTGATATAATGGCGTGCTAGCTTACTTTCAATTGCTCTTTTCATAGTGTCAGCATTGTGAAATTCAGTGATGATATTAATCGAGCGTCACACATGTGTTTACGTTAAGCTGCCCGTCTGAAAGCTAGCTTCTTTGTTTTTATTAATAAGTAAATACATTTAGCAGTGAATGCATCTTGACTTTCTATAGCTTTGCAATGCATTGCTAGAGCAGTTGTCACTTTGGTTTTTGGGCGAAACAGTGACTCCATTTGTTTCAGTAACAAACGGTATTTGTGAACAGTACATTTTATTGAAAAAATGACTTCGTGACCGTTGGCCGATGGCGCAATGTGACAAAAACTTTTGAGCCCTTATGCAAAACACTGGCAGTTTGTTTACGTGACGTATGGAAAGTGCAGGACTACGACTAGTTGCACATTGCAATGACACGCAAAGACCTTGCCTGTTGAAGCGACGACTTTGGTATACTCTCCTCTGGAATAATTATAATTAAGCAGTATTGCACGTCTCAGCTGCACCCAAGCAGTACCACAGCCTGCCTAGCCCGGCATGCACAATGTATAGAGAAAGTGAGTGTGCAGCGCAGTCCACTGTGAAAGGGAACAGGTCTGTGCAATGTGCCACTGATTGTGGCTGAGATACGACTTAATGCCTTCAAACAAACATCTTTGTCTTTATTTCCAGTTGACTAGACGAAACATAGCAAATTTCAATGAAACCTTAAAATAAGATTGGTGCACCTGACTAGAAATACCCTTGTCTTATTGGAAAAAAAATAAGAGCCAAAGGGAATTGTAAGCCTAAGAGGATGATCACTTACCCCTGTATTCACGAACGTTCCTCGACTCGACTTTCACCCTTCACTTGGCAGAGTTGAGCACTGCGCCGCTGCTCAGCCGAAAATGACGCTGCGCTACTCAAGAATAGCAGCAAATTATCACTGATATGCAGTGACTTGCCCTGCCTAGAGATGGCGCTCCCATCGGCTTTCTCGTGTGAAGGTGGAGCGTTGAGTGAAGGGGCGTTCTAGAATACGGGGGTTAGACAAGGAATGTTGCGAAAACCAATGTTTCAATTAGAGGAATAGCCTTAATCAGGGCTACTGTTATTCGTCATGTTTAGACGTCCTGCCACTTTACTACTGCTAAAAGTTCTCTTGTATCAAAGTTCAAGTGCACTACACTCATTACTTGTTGGGTGTTCCCTTTAACAACGGACTGTACTATACATTTGCAATAAAGTTTTAGCCAATTTCAGCCAATCCGCAAACAGCTAAGGCATGAGATCCTGTAGTAATTGCAGCAGCTGTAATGACCATCGGCTTTGTTCTCGCTGACTCATGGTCTCGTATCTTGTTTTCAGGCTCGCCGACTTCACGAAGTCCTGCACCAGCCCTTCATGCACTCCTAGGCCAGTTCCTCATAAGCCTGCAGTGAAAGGCCAGCTCAGCGCCGCAAACATTCGAGACCACCAAGAACAAACTCTAGAACTCACCTTGTGACACTGGGCGGCCAGGCTGGCAAAGGCGGGCCGCGCTGCCGGTGCAGGCGGTGCTTTGCCGAGGCCGGACTCCCACAGGATCTGCGCCAACTCGGCAGCGTGGCCCTGTGATGTGGCAGAGAGGACTCGTTGTCGTGGCTTTCACGGTCGCCAGCGAGTGTGGCCGCTAAGGCCTTTGATAGCAGCAGCAAAGACCATGCTTTCACATCTTTGGCAGTACCACTTGCCCCTTTCTACTAGAAGTAAATGTGGCCTTATGCTATGCAGGGCTGTGACATGACCGACCTGTGTTTTTCGTCTTGTTTTTTTTTTGTTCACATAAAAATTTCTTGCAAACTTGCTCTGCTGTGTCCCACAACATGACTGAAGGGTTGAAGGGACACTAAAGTCAAATAATTTACGTCAGAGGGAAAGCTCAATGTGTGAGAACATCTAAAACCATAATATATCAACAGCAGTGCTCTACTTGCTAAGAAATTAAGGTAAATGCACGAAAACGCATGTGCTACGTGTAGGACATTCGCAAGATGATCCCGATGACGTGAGAGGTACCGCCTACAATTGATCATTAATTATTGAAACAGCTGCACTAAATAAAGTACCTTCCATGCATCAAGAGACGCAATAAAATGCTGCTTGTTCGTTTGTGTTCATGGAAAAAAGAACCGTCGAACGTTACTATGGGGAATCGCGTGAGTGGTTCAAAAGTTCAAATTTCGCCTGGACTGGTCGTGCCATCTAGCCGGGCCCAGTTGAACCAAGTACGCCTGCCATCTCGGAGGCCATGGCAGGAAATTGTTCAATGGCCGTTGTTGCTGCTGTGGCTCCAGCTAATTTTGTTCTGCTGCTACTAGTGTGGACGGTTGCGCAGTAAAGCCGGGAACATTGTGCACGGCAACGTTGGGGCTCATGGAAGAAGGGAAGCTGAGGAGAAGCCCTCGCAATGCACGCTGCAGAGCGAGAAGTGTGGCGGAAGTCACGTGCTTTTGCTGGGTGTTGTGGGAACAATGTGGGCACGTCGGCGTCTCGTGCGCCAGCTAGAGGGAGGCGCCGGGCAGCAAGTATACAAAGACGAGCCGCCAAGCACGCCAGCGTCTCCCTCTCGCTGGCGGTTGCGCATGCGCAAACCGCCGTAGCGTGCCCACAAGTGCGAGGAGGAGCACTCATACTCTTCCCTACTTCCGGCTCCTCAAAATGTGACGTAACAGCCTCTTCTCAGTTTATTGTGACATGAGACGGTCTGCTTGAGGTGGGTAATTAGAAGTGCGCTAACCCGATGCAGACCACTAAAACGTGATTTCATTTCAACATAAGCACTTCCTTGGCACAAAAGTAACACTACAAGGTTTCTAGACTTCTATTTCAAACGTCGACTTAAGAGTTGCCTTAATGTCCCTTTAGGATCAGGGGATTGACAACCAACCATTCGTAGCACAAAGCCACAAGGACATTCATACAGATTTCCCAGAAAGAAAGGCTCTTACCTGCCGAAAAATTTGTCCCCGTTTGGGAATCGAATTTGGGACCAATGGTACCCTGGAGCAGTTTACCAATTGAGCTATCTAGTAAGCTAGCAATTGACAGCGCAAGGGCAAATAATCGACCACTTGACAATAATAATATGTGAGGTTTTACGTCCAAAAACCAAAACATGAATATAAGAGATGCTAATGAACAACTTGAAGCGCATGGACACTGAGCATTGCAAATAAGATCTGCAGAATCCCACAAGAAGGCAGAAAGGTTAAGAAAAGAAAATTGGCAACTACCCATATGTAACAAGGACACGTTTGTAAAATGGTCAGGCCAAGTGAGACGTGTGCACAATAACAGTAATAGTTGTTTTGGTTTCTGAGACAAAGAGTAATAAAATAGACTCCTGTTAAACTAAACCTGGAGGGACCAGGAAAATGTGTTTCATTTAACAGGACTTATGTTTACTGAGAGATAAACAAGGGTGCAGAATATAATTATGAAACCAATTATATTAAAGGCAGCTATTCCATTTAAGCAGCAATTTCATTGAAGAGAGTTATGTCTAATGAGAGTCTACTGTGAGTCTAGCTCCGCCGCGGTGGACTAGTGGCTAAGATACTCAGCTGCTGACCCGCAGGTCGCGGGATCGAATCCCGGCTGCGGCGGCTGCATTTTCGACGGAGGCGAAAATGATGTAGGCCTGTGTGCTCAGATTTGGGTGCACGTTAAAGAACCCCAGGTGGTCGAAATTTCTCGAGCCCTTCACTACGGCGTCTCTCATAATCATATGGTGGTTTTGGGACGTTAAACCCCACATATCAATCACTCAAATCAACCTACATCCCAGAACGAGAATACTACACTCAAATGTCGTTAGAACAAAGTCAGGTCTGACACAAAAATGCTTCGTTATACACAAAAGTCCATTATAAACGTTTATTCTTAACACTGTGTCTACAACAAAACAATTCACTTAGTTCGTTACAACCAATAATTCGTTATATACACGTTTGTTATACCAAGGTGCGATTTCGAGAGACTGCACAGTGGAGGGCTGTGGAAATTTCAATGCGGACACGATAAGTAATCACCGAAAAGATGAACACAACTGACAAGGCCTCCTTAGAGAGCACCTATACGCCTTTGGCCTAATAATTTTAAGCAGAAATGACAAAGATAAGAAAATCCGAAGCGTCGCGGCTGTCATCACCTCTTCCAAAGAAAAGGAAGAGCTAGACAAGAAAATTCCTCGCGTTTTGTTTTCTGCTCCCTCGCTGTCTCAGGTTTTCGTGCCCAAGCTTCCTGCTCCGCAACTCCCAGGGTGCTATTCTGGACACTGTCTAATTCCGCCATAATGTCAAATTTCGTAAAGCCGGAATTTTAAGCCAATCAGAGAGGTAGTAGCAACTCACTTGGCAGAATATAGTGGAATATGACGACATGGCGGAATTCAACAATGTCCAGAATAGCACCCCAACTCTGCCCTCTGCCTCGCTGACCTTGCCCTCCCGTGTTGCCCTCGCCTCTGCACTTGTAATTGTAAACCTGCAGCGCCTGCGTTTCAATAAAAAGAAAGAAAAAGAAGTCCTTTCATCCCCCTTCCCCCTGCACACCGTGGCGCGTCTTCCGAGAGGCAAGGCATTCGTTCGCTGTGTCGTCTGCTTGGGTACCATTCGGTGGTCGCGGCGGATTTCAGAACATGAGTTCTTAGTACTGAGGAGTTGTTAATATAATGTGTAACTAAATTAGTGCTCGTTATTCTGAAAAGTTTGGTATTCTGAAGTACGTAGCAGTAAAATAATTTTACATTGATACTATTAGCAGTCGGGGCAGGATTTTTTAAAAGTTCGTTAATCTGAAAAGTTCGTTAAAGTAGTGTTCTTTATACTGAGATTTTACTGTATACATTGGTTAAAAGAAAGAGAAAATGTTCTGGCCACTGCAACCATGTTTACTGTCATTCTGACTATAGGCTACAACAGAAAGAACACATTGGCAAGGGCATGTAGTGGGTTTGTGGCTGTTGGGTGGCTAGTTTCATCATTACTTGTGCGTGCCCAAGAAATTGGGCTGGAGAAAGACGAGGACAAACTCGCGTTCCTCGGTCCGCTGTTTTCCGCAATGTTATTACTTGTACTCAATTTATTACCGTGACAATATACAAACCTCGACATAACAAATCCGGTTACAACAGAATATCGTTTACTATGAAGTAAAGGAAAAATAGTCATGCAATGGATATAAATGTTAAAAATATGCCTTTATAACGAATCTTTAGATATAAGGCAGTTATTTTTGTGTAAGATACAAGCTTTTTTGTAATTAGGTTTGACTGCACAATTAAGCCCCTATATATAAAATACACTAATATGGCAGTTGAGTATAAGAGACACCAGCGTACTTGTATTAAAATAGCGGTTGGTAAGAAAATGCACGTGTGGCATTCTGCTTGAGAGACACCTCATACAAAACAAAAGAATAAAGGGGTTGAGCCGTACAATCACCACGAAAAAAATAACACGTTGTAGCTGAAGGGGCTTTAATGGTACACTGCACAACACCACGACTCGGGAGCAAATGCACAGATCGAGAGTGCACTGGCTCTTGTGCATTATGCAACCTGCAGGACGGATTGACTGCTGTTGTTAAGAGTTGAGGACATGTCTCGATTTATAATGTGTGATTTGTATAAGCAAGATTAGTGTGAAATGCAAGGCTATGAAGGATTTTGGAATAGAGCATGGTCTTCAGAGGTCTGATTACAACAGAGCTGTTTCGAATAGTATTCCAGTACTTATTGTATTGAACAAGGTCCCTGTAGGGGGCCCTCATGTAGAACTCGCATTTTGTGCGACCAGACATAACTTCCTGATCAACCGAGAGCCTTCCGAAATTCTTGCGATTTTGATTATTCTGAAAGATGTATAAAATATGTCAAAACGAAGCTTTTGAACATAGCCTGAAGTGTTAATTAAAGGAAATATCTCGTTGAGTCATACGAGCGGTCTCTAGTGAGGACCTTGCCTCTCGGTGAAGCCTCCTGCAAGAAAAAAAGCGGCGAACTCGCATACCCTTGGCGTGGTTTCCTCGGAGTACAGCCGACTGTCTGCCAGGCTCCACCGCTGCCTGTGTGTGTCGGAAAGTGTGGGCCACACAAGCAGGGCGTGCGGGTGGCACACCAGCGGGGTGCTCAGCTCCATGGCGTAACAGCAACGCTCCGGCTCGCTTACGTTTACCAGAGATGTGCGAGGGTGACCACAGGTGAGCTGCACCTGCGCCAGTCAGACTAACAGCTCAGTTTTGCGCAGTCACCTACGAAAAAAGTGCGAGCCAATGTTCTGTGAAGGTATATTAAGAGAAAGAGAGAGAGAGAGAAATGAAGGAGAAAGGCAGGGAGGTTAACCAAGCTAGGCTCGGTTGGCTACCCTAAGCGTGGGATGGAGGAAAGGGTGGGAATAAAAGAAGAAAGAACTGGAGAAAGAAATAAAAGAAAATGAACGGTTAGTGAGAGCACACACGACACAAAATAGGTAGACTAAGGTTGCAGTTGGTGGGTACGCAGTGCTGAATCGGCGACATCACGACTCTTTTTGCTGACAAAAAATTCAGGTTGAGCCTGTGGCTACTGTCTAGTTACTTTGGGCTTCTGTCTCAAAGCATTAGGCAGCCAAATTTTTTATTATTTGCAGATAACATACACTGTTTTCCAGCTTTTTTGTTGCCACCACTGATGCATATTCGCATCTTTCTCCGATGAGCAGGCTGGTCCTTATCAAAGTACCCATCGAAACACACGGTGCGCGTGACAGTACGAAGTGGCAAAGTTGCGTGCATGGTGGTGAATTTGGGGCTAGCACGCTGCCCATGCTGCCTGTCATCTATGCTGACTCAAGGTGCAAATACAGATGCACAAGAGCGTGTACAAGTACGAACTTGACAAAAACAGGGATCTGCAATGAAATAGATGTGGGCTCAATGGACCTTAAATGAACTTTCAATAAATGAACATTCACTGTTTCAAGATGGACTGGCATTATATGTAAAGTCTACTTTTGAAGTTCAATCTTTGTCTTTAAGGAAAGACTGCGTTTGGTGTACCTACAGAACTGCTGGTTGCAAACGTTCCAAAATTACTCGGTATCTGGTATGGATTATATATTCTACATAAGGTTGAGGCAGGTGCACTGAATTTATCTTAATTAATTCATTTATTTACAGCTTATTTGTAAAACTAAATCCGAAGTTTCTTTCCAGAGGGTCCTTTTTGACTTTTCAGTTTGCTCCTTCACGGTTTCGCAGTTGAACAACATGCCTCTTTTTATCATGACATGTGTCATCTTGTCTGTCTTACAACATGCACTTGGTACTAGGATCTTAATTGGTGTTCGTTGCCCATGTGTTTTGTCTTTTATTTCTAGTGGAACAGTGATGAGTGTTGGTGTTTACCCAATGTGTGTCACATATGTATTTGCTGACAAACAAACGAAAAAAAAAACATCAACAAACAGATCAAAACAAGAAAACTACAGAACCCTAGCCACATAGACCTTCACTGTAAGATGCTGAAAATAATTCAAGGAACCCTAGTTATATACAGTTTTGCTCTAAGAAGTTGTGCACAAGACACCACTCTAATAGTCGTGGCAGCACCTTTGGATCGACTTTTTTCTGATAAAGCTACGACTTTTCATTAACTTTTTCTCGCACTGGGTTGCTCAGCTTTCAGGAGACACATGAGCGAGCCAGATGGCCATAACTGTTGCATGACTGGAAGATACCCTGAAAGGGTGCATCTATTTTGCAGCGACAATGCACTGATGGTCAGATAGAGAAACGAAACAGACCCAAAAGGATAGAAAGCGTAGCCATGGATGGCAGCCAGTTGGATGGCGCAAACGAAACTAAGGAGATTGCCGGGGTAAAATGGAAGCATGTTGCACATGATGAGCTAAAGTGTAGATTGTTTGGAGAGGCCCCTGTCCTGCATTGATCATATGCACCTTCTATATATAGGATGATGGATGTCTCGGTTAAAAAGCTAGCATTTTTTTTTTTTGCACAACACACTTTTTCCCTTGCCATGCAGCCTTGAAACTATTCGGTGTGCTTCACAGTCACGCACCTCCACAGAGCGGTTGAGCGTCCCGCAGCTGTCGCCATCGCCGTAGTGCATGCTGCTGAGGCTTGCGTTCGTGGCTGACCATCCTTGCCAGACACTGCAAGAGAAAGAATGCGAAGCCTGTTAGTGGCCATTCGTTGGCCCAGCAAATTTTCATGCACTTGTGTTGGTCAAAAGCCGAGATGATGTGAAACTGCGGCCCTCAGCTAGACCGAAAGATGGCATCCAGCTTAGACGTCAACTAGCTTAGGAGCAAGTTTTTCTAGAGCAACATGTTATGGGAACACTAAAGTGAACAAATGCACCAATTTATATTGATAAATTGTACTCTAAAAATGGTAATTCACCATCATAGGTTCAATAATAAAGGAGAAAATCAAGGTCAATGACTAATTTCTAAAATTTTGTGCCAGAACTTCCACACAGTGACATCATCGATTTCCAGGTGAATTTTTTCTATTTTGGCGAGGTTTGCTCAACAGAAGTTCCCGAAACCTTGTAAAGGTCTGGTACCTCAGAGGACAATGTATACTTCAGTCTTACCGATTAGCAACAACATAGGCCCTAGTAAACGCCACCAAATTCCATGATGTCATGGCGATTGATGCGAGAACTTCAAAGTGGCGTCACCAGATCAGATTTTCTTTTTGTGCGTCTTCTCGGTCACCAACTACCCGCTCACTGCAATTTCGGTACCGTGAAAGTAATGCACAGTAGACTCTCATTAAACAGAACCGGAAGGGGCCAGGAAAATATCTTCTGTTTAGGAGAAGTTCCGTTTACTGAGAGGTCACCAAGAATGCAGAATACAAGAAGGAAACCAAACTTGTTCCGCTTAAGCAGCAGTTCCGTTAAACACATTTCCATTTACTGAAAGTCTGCTCTACGAATATTAGACAAATCGTTTGTCTTTAGCGTCCCTTTAGGAAAGCTACAACTGCCATCACAGAAGGTTGCTGAAAAATGCACTGCTAGCGCTAAATGAAAAGCTCACAACAACATCGGACGCATTACAGGCATAGCACATCGCAAAGACCTTATTCTTTCCTGTTCTTGTCAACTAACTCTGCAGTGCCAATAACCGTACCAAACTGATCGGCCTAAAAAGTCAGTATTGCCGAGCAAGACTAGTGGAATGTATTGCTCTTAATTGTCACATGATATAACAATGCGATGAAATTGATCTTAGGAGATCCTTCCATGCAGACAAAATGAACAGCGACTGATGAAATGTGTCGCATAAATACTTTTCGTGAAGCGGCTATGTGGTCTGTTTATTACGATGATGCTGAAAAAGATGCCCATCTCAGTGTGGCTACCCCAATCAGTCATTCCCTCGGCCTTTGGCTATGTCTCCTAAAGAGAGGCAATGAACTTAGCTCAAGTAAACCAAACATTATTAAGAAATTAGCCATGCTTGGAAATGCTGTGAATAAGGACTGCATGACATCTTTAGTAATATTTTACTAGTTTGCATTTCAATGGACCCTGAAGGTGCATACAAGGATGACTTGGTGGACTAGTTGGTAGTCTGTCTTTGAAAGTTTGTAGCACACAGACAAGAACAGAAGAAAGAAGTGCTCTGTCCCGTTTCTTCTTTGCTGTCCGTGTTTGTTGTTGCCCTTTTACGGTACACACAAAGCGTGGCACTTGCTAGGAAATTATGTTGCTAGTGTACACATAGGCAAATCAAAGAAGGCAATAGTTTATTATGATTTGGTTTTGCAGTATGCCATGCACACTCTAACAGCAGAGCACTGTTCGCTTTTGTTGGGATTTTTCAGTTGCCCTTAGCAGTAATTGAATGCTTTCAATGTCTGCTTAAGAGAGTGTCATAATTATAGTTATTTACATTATGCAAGTAGAGTGTGATGCTGGGCTAGTTGAATCATCGTTTTGTTTGTTAAAAGATGTGGTTCCAGCACAAGGTAAGTAATTAGGATATCCCAAATTTGTAAGACATAATGATTTCAGTATGCTACACTACTGGCCTAACAGCTCAACGACCAACGTGCACCGTTATCATAGCCATCGAATGATGATATGCTCGTACATTACGGGAAAGATCGGTGTGTAAGTTACATAATTCTGTAGATATCGTTCTATTTAACATGTGCATACTTGTGTTTGCACCCGTGTTTCTCGCTAAGTATGCATGTAATTAGACGCAAATACTCAACACTCAGCTAGCACTGCACCGAGACACGTCACTTTTCAATGTACGCCAGAAGAAACAAGCTTTTCGAGGCAAGCACAGGACGATGGAATTCATATGCTCTGAAACGCACCCCAACACACCACTGTAGGCGTTCCACCGGGCACTCTCCTCGGCTTGCGTGACGTTGTCGAATGGACACAGAGTGTAACGGTACCTGCGCCAAATAAAGAAGCACAAGAACGTGCGGACAGTGTCACGCGCAATCAAGGCGGGTGTACATGCGACACCTCTCAAAAAGGTTGTAGCGCGTGAACACTTATGCGCGGTTGACACCGTACCCAGCAGCCGTGCGACCGAAGCACCGACCCAGCAAGGATCTCAGGTGCTCGGGCCCCGCGAAGGGTCGTGGTGTCGCGCGGCCGGCTTGCTGCCGATGCTGTTGACCATGCACTGCGAAGGCGCCGTCAAAGCCGCTCGCTTGCTTCACGACTCGCATTGGCACCGTGGCACCGGACGCCCGCGAGACATCTGCAACGTGAAATGTGCGCGTGTGTACCGCAGAGCCGTGTACACAGTACATGCACAACGAGCAATTACCTAGAATGAGCAGTAGCAACGTGACGCAGCTGCCTACGGAGCACTGCACGTGATACGCTTGCCCGATTGTAGGGGCACGCTTCATTTCGAAGCGGACGTTTTGAAGCGCGCCTTCAACAAGTATTCGTCGAAGACCTCATGGTGGCACGCACACGACCGAGTGCGCTCGGCTTTATCTGCCGTCATGAGTTTTTATCAGCTGACAAACCCGTCCTTTTTCAGACGAGTGCGGCTATCTTAACGCTAGTCGTCTACGGCTGACCGTATGAGCTGCCCGAAAAAACAAAGCTTTTTCTACTGAACACGAAACCGATCGGATAAACTAAGGCTGTGTTGTCAGCACGAGCATGCTTGTATTTGCTGTGCTCAGTGCTTGTATCACAAATTGTGTGTCCTTGTAATACAAACTCGCCAACACTCGAGATGCTTTGACACGTGCCGCCATCTATGACCATGACCGTAAAAACGCAACGACGACAACCGCCGTGGCTTCTTCGGACATTATAGCAAAAGTGTAGCTAAGAATAAGCAAGTCACTTTTATTTTGATGATGTAATCAAGCTTACAACTAAAAGCTATTTTGTAATTGAAAGTTTCTATGAGAAACAGTAATTAGAAAGTGACTTTTTTAAGACATAGCAAGATCACACTAACACAAGCTTGCCGTACAGCTTGGCACACTTATGTGGTTTTTTGGAGTGGAGTGAAATCTTTTTAGATGTATTTGTTGTCATCATTAGGATAAAGATTGACCTATAACAATGATGAATGATTCTTTGTGAATTACACTTCATGCGATTCGCACCCTGGGTGCTTTTCGCGGGTTCTGAGCTTATAGGTGACGATAACTTCAGATGACCATAAGAGCGCCTTGTTATTCTTGCTGTATCTGCGAGGGTCGTATATGACCGGTTGTAATGAGGTAGGTGGTGGATGATGGAAGAAATTACATGAACAGGGCTGTACAGCATGTCGAAAATACGCTCCTATATCTCGCTGCATACCACAGCGCGTATAGGCAATCTTAGCCATACCCTTTAGACAACTCTGAGTTCAATTATGCTCGCTTGACCGACAAATGTGATTTTCGCGAAAGGCTGCGATACACCACAACCTTTTCACCTTCATTAAATTGTTATGTTGTCCACTAATGCCCCGCACTTATTCTAACTGCCGTGCTTTCCGTACTATACAGCAGCGAACCATCATTCGGAATCAAATGTGAGAGGCTGAGTGGGTTTCCAGATGTGCGCTGGGTTTATCGAACACGCGACAATACACCGTTGATTTCTCTGCTCTTTTTTTTCTCACGCAACCCAACTAGTTTACCCGTCCACCGCAAGAGCCGTTGTCAGATAGGAAGGAGACGCGGCGCCGAAACGCTTTGTCCCAGAGTCACACTTAACTCATCAACCCATCATCATCCTACGTCTGTCCCGGCTCTCCCTCCCCCCAGGGCTGTGTGGGGGGAAGATTTGTTTCGGGCAGACGGCCATGCCCTGGCAAGGGGGCCACCGTTCGGCGCCAGGCGCCCAACAGACGCGGCCTGCCTCCCGGCATACAAGCCAGGGAGGCCCGACAAAGGGACTACCCTCCGGCGGAGCAACTTCAGTCGCAACGCGCAAAGTGAACGTACCCTGGCAGGGTGGGCTATCGCGGCGCATGGGGCGCGCTGCGGTCATGGCCCGTCTCCTGACCACTAGGGCCCAGCGAGACTTGACATAGGGGCTACCCTTCGGCACGGTAGCTCTCGCCACCACACGCAAAGCGGACGTACCCAAAAAAGTGGCAGCGGTGCTGCCTTCGGTCGCGGTAACTTCAGTCACCACAACCAAAGTGCCCGTGCCCTCACACTGTCGCGCGGCTGAGACCCTGCGACAACACCCCCACAGTGCGGATGGGCTATCGCTCAGCGCGAGGCGTTTTGCGGTCATGGCCCGTCTCCTCACCACAAGGGCGCAGTGAGACACAATCCGTCCTGTGGGGTCGACGGGACTACTATTTGGTGCAGAGGCCAGTGCTGCTGCACACAAACCAAACGTACCCACGGAAACCGGCACGGCTGAAAGCCGGCTTAGTCCTTCTCGAAGAAGGGAACCACCTTCCGCCTCGACGAGTAAAGTAGCCGAGCCTACAGAAGGGGCCAACACGGACCTTGCGGGTAAAGCCCGACAAGGTGACAGGATCACCTTAGCACATGCAAAACTCGGGTGAAAGACCATACAGACCAAACTCGGGGGCGACTGGCTCACTAGGCCTAGTCGTGGAGCCTTAGAGAAAGCCATCATTAAAAGTTGATGGTTATCTGCCCTCCTGCCTCACTGAAAATCACTGCCGGACGGTGCCACGTCTCGTAGAACTTCTTTGCACCAAGGCGCTGCCACTCTCGGTGGAGAACGAACCAGACCTCCTTCCGTACTTTTGCAAGCACTTCGAGAAGCCCGGGTCGCTTGCCATCAAAGACGGCACAGCACCGTGCAACCCACACTTGGTACGAGCACTCAACAAGCAGAAGCACGTATTGCTTAGCCGCTTGTCGCGACAGGGGTTGAAGAAAACGAACGGTGTTGAAAGGAACACCTGGGTGGCCAAACAAGCTAGCTATCCTTCGATGGAGGGCAGCTGGTAGTGCGCACTGAGAGAACACGTGAACCAGGTCCTCCTTAGTGCCACAAAAAGGGCACACTCCTCGTTGAGCAATTCTTGTGAAAGGCCTGAAGCTTAGAGGCAGGCGATCTCTGGCCAGGCGATACATGAATGTAGCGCGCTTGGCGTCCAGGAAACTGGCAGTAATTAACCGCCAGTTAGGACTGTATTCGGACAGGTCGTGTTCTCTGTAGCATTCGGGTAACTCCGGAGCGAGTCTATCGACTAACTCGCGGAGTTCGATTGAATCTAAATCTATCTCGGGGTCGACCTCTTGGAGACGGGCCAAAGTAGAAGCGGCCCCTGCATAGAAGGCAGAAGGCGTTCCCGCCCGAGGCACGGAATTCGAAAATGCCCCAGGCGAGAACAACCTCAGCCTGGTACTCAGGAAATAAGACGCAAAGCTTCTAGTAAGGAGCATATCTGACTCAAGAGCTACCCGTGTCCATTTAACATGTAATGCCGTGGTCACAACGCTAAGGTCGGGAATACCTAATCCTCCTTCGTCCCTGCGCAACTTCAACACGGGGCGCGCCACAAAAGGAGCGGCACGACCCCAAAAGAATTTGAAAACTTTCTTTTCCAAGATAACTTTGGTGTGGGGTTTAACTGGCATAACCGAACCTATGTACGTGAGGAAACTGAACAACAGTGATTGAATTATCGTGGCCCTGGCTGTAAGCGGACAAGACAAGGCACCGAGTTCCTCAATCCTATCAGTAAGCTTTTGCCTTGCTAACCGCCAGTTTTCGGTAGTCAGGCCATCTGGCTCGAAATGGAAACCTAATATACGTAGGCGTTTCTTTATGGGGAGCCCATGTACAGGACGTGGACTGGAGGGAGCACAGTTCAGATACATGACTGCGCTCTTTGACTTATTTATTCTGGCGCCGCTCGCCGAGCAGTACCCCTCCATAACGTCCAAGACGGTGCAAACAGTTGCCTCGTCCGGGACGACGATAGAGAGGTCATCTGCATAGGCAAACATTGCCACCGGGGGGGAACCTGGCGGAAGGGGAAATCTACCTATGCTGGTGTCTTTAGAAAGCCTCTGCAAGAGCGGCCCGAATGCGAGCACGTAGAGAGCGGGCGACAGTGGGTCACCCTGTCGGACTCCACGGCACACACCGAACGACTCCGAGACGCGATCTTGTATGACAACAGCAGAACTAGGACGAAAGTAGAGAGCCCTGACCATGCTGATGAACTTTGAACTGAAGCCCGCCTGCTTTAAAACTTTGAAGATGTACTTGTGACTGATAATATCAAAAGCCTTTTCTTGATCAAAAGAACAAAGGATTCCACTTAGGTTGCGAGAATTCGACCATTCTATGAGGTCCCTGATAGCGAAACCATGAAGTTGGCACGACCTATTTTGGACACAACACGCCTGGTACGGACCCAAAACAGTACTGAGCACTGGAGTGAGTCGAACGGACAGGCACTTAGCTATGAGCTTGTAATCACAGTTCAAGAGGGTGATGGGCCGCCAGGCTCTCAGGTCGGTGCGTCTCGTCTCATCCTTGCACAGGAGAGTGATCCGCCCCTCTCTTTGAGTTGCTGACAGGGTCCCCTCACGGAGAAGCCTGTTTGCCAATGTGGTAAAAGGCCCCCCCAAAACTCTCCAAAACTTGACATAAAACTCGACTGTCAAACCATCTGAACCTGGGCTGCGATTATGCTTCATGGATTTAAGGGCTGCAAACACCTCCTCTTCGACGAAGGGAGTGTCACAAATATCAAAGTCCTCGTAAGTTTTGGTGAAAGGAAACGAGTACGGAGTGGGAGGTGGTTCGGCGTAAAGGTTCTTGTAGAACTGTCTTGCCACCTCTAATACTTCGTCCTGCGTTTCCACTAAGCCGCCTGTGTTAGGATCGACCAAAGAGGTTATCGCTGAGCTCTTCCTAGCCAAGTGTCTGCGAAGGACATTTCTGCTGCACCAAGCCTCCATTTCCCACTGCTCTGCGCGTGCTGTGGCCCGCAAGCGGTCCCAGCGTCGCTGGAGCAGGACTCTATATTCTTTGCGCAGTGAAGTAAGAGCCGCGGTTACCCCCAGGCCGCAGGACAATGGCTTTGAGAGCAGGAGGATCGCGTCAGAGACCGCTTTGATCCCGGCGCGCTCCTCCCGCGCCCGCCTCTTGCCCCAATCCCGAAAGCGCTCCGCGACTCCGGCCTTCACCGTGTCCCAATCGCTACCGCCTAAGTTTTGGTCGCCAAGGAGTGAACCGATGAGATAGGTCGCCACATCTTTTGTGGCGTCCTTATCTTTAAGGAGCCGTGGATTTAAACGCCACGGTCGCTTGCCCCATGGCACCAAACTAGAGTCGGCAAATCTCAGTGCAAGAAGGCTATGGTCACTCAACGCGGAAGAACACAGCCAGCTAGAGTGCATGCTAGGAGCAAGCGAGGGCGAGACATAAAAACGATCGATCCTCGAGCGGCTCCCCCTCCCCGTCCAAGTCATGCCTGACTGGAGAGGACGGAGGGACCGCCAAGCATCGACAAGCCCCAGCTCTTTAACAAGCTCCCGCAACTCTAGCTCGCCGTTTCCGTCTCTAAACTTTGGAGTTCCTTTGAGGGAAACGCGATCCGCTTTTTCTAAAACACAGTTGAAATCGCCTACTAAAATGACACGGGAAGGGCCAACTAGATAAGAATCTAGGGAATTAAAGAAATCTTTCTGCTGTCCGCGCTTTGCTGGAGCATACACATTCACAATTCTAACGCCAGAGTCAAGATCCACTGACAGAACACGGCCGTCCGAATCCCTGGCGTAGCGTAGCACAGAACCGGTGAATCGTGGCATTAAAATGACAGCAACTCCCCGGCAATGTGCGCCACCATAATTCCAGTAGGATTTGGTGCCAAACGTTCTGTCAAAGTTCTTAATCTGTTGCAATTTAGACACAAAAGTTTCCTGCAAAAGGAGAATGTCTATTTTTCGAGACCGAGCTAAATGAATGACCTCAGCTTGTTTCGCTGCTCTAGTAATACCCCGACAATTAAAGGTAGCAATAGTTAGAGAAGAAGCCATGATGAAAGATAGGAGAGAAGACAGACTCTAGAATAGGCAAGAAGCGAAAAGAAAATCACAGAAGAGAAGAAAACAGCAGATACTCGAAGGTATCAGCTGCTGAAAAGCTACCTAATATAAAACCTACGAACGAGAGTCCCCCTCGGAGAGGGAATCCTCGTTCGTGGACGAGTACACTGTGTTAGACATTAACGAACACTCGCAATTGCCTGGTCCACAGTTAGGGCAAGAAGAACTGTTGTTCAACTCACCCGTGGTACCGTCCGTGACAGTCGACGAGGTGGACTCCTCGTCGGACTCTGTCGCTGCGGCTCGCTTCGGAACCGGGAGGTCGTCCTTAGGGCTGCCGGGGCCGCCGCTCGGAGCCGCCGCCAGCCTCTCCTTGGAGGGCCCTGGTGATCGGTTGGCGCGCCGCTTCTTGCCCCGAACAGCGTCCGTCCAGCTCATGGGTTCCTGTGTCTCCTCGGAAGCAGGCGCGTCAGCAGGGCTGGTCCCGGGCGCACCGGCAGGCGAGGCCGGCGACGGCTCGGCGGCAGCAGAGAGGGTGGGGGCCTCAGCTAATTCCGACCCCGCCTCCTGCTCTTCCCCTCCTGGAGCCCGTTCGCTAATGGGCTCCGGCTGTGGCTGGGTCGAGCCCTCGGCGTCCCCCGGAGCAGCCTCCCGATCCTCCGCAACGCCGCTCACCTGCTCCTGGGAAGAAGAAGAGGCTACAGGCGGGGCGGCCGACGAATTCGTCCGCGCCTTGCACTGTGAGGGGCCATGATCGCCGCCGCAGTGCCTGCATTTTACCGCGCACTGGTCGTGACCAAAAGCCCCACAGCGCACACACTGTGGCACAGTGCACTTCGCCGCATGGTGTCCAGTCTTGTAGCAGCGCCGGCAAACCCGCGCGACGCCCTCATACTCAAACTGGACGATGACGTCCCTCACCTCGAGCAGGTTGGGGACACTCTTGTGCATCTCCATTTTGATCATGAGGACGCCGGTCGAGACTCCCGGCAGATACGGTGATTCGAGATTGATCGAGACCCCCTCCCTGATGCGAGCATCAAATGCCGGCGTGTTCTGTTTCCCCGCGATCAAGGGGCAGATGATGACGTCACTGAACTACACATCCAAAAACGAAACCGAAACCGGCCCCTGCTTTTATTCGATTCACGGTACGCTCAAGCTAGTCCCATTTTTCTTTATAACACAGGCCCGGCACATCACTAGCCGCAAAATTTTGGTAACTGCGAATACCATAATGTCTTGAAGGTTCAAGTTTTATACTTTGCTCTACCTTGATTCACGACATGGTGATCTATTGAATCAGCTTCCTGGGCATTCTCGGCCCCGCATTGATAAAAACAAGCAGTGACATGAACTTAATTTACCCGTTTTCTGCGTCCACGTGTACTTATCAACCTGGCAATGTTTCGCTACTGATAATGCGAGAGGGGCGAGTGCATATCTGTAATATTGAATAGTAAGATCGATATCGTGTGCAATTCTAAACGGTTGCCAATAAGCCCGCCAAATTGCAGCGCTTCTGCGTACCAAGCTATCGAGTGAAGGCCACACCTCGATCTCGCAATTTCATGAATATTCAATGTCTTTTCAGTTGCTGTTGTAGCTCTTGCACGTTTCGGCGCTGAGTTAAGCTGACTTTCATTTCGTAACGGTTACTAGAAGTAGATTTTTTTTTTTTGAAATATCGAAGCTGCAATGGGCTCTACGCATCAAGGACTGCAATTCTGTGATTTGACGTATCCGCTAGCTCTATCAATAAAAAAAGTTCATCGATTTAACTTTCTCAATTACTGTTCAGAATCACGTCTCATCTCAAAGGACTCCTGTCAGAAAATTTGAAAACTTGAGGTGTTTGTATTTTTGGAGAATCCTGTATGCGGGGACAGTTCTGAGCAATTGTTAGTAATGAGCGTTGCCTGTAAGATATTTTAATTTGGTTTTAAAGTAAAGGTGAGTGCTCATCTGCGTTATCCGCACCGATCGACACCTTCTCTGGTTTGACGTTCCACAAGTACTGTTGTCGACGTCAGAGAACATTTGCGGGCGCACAAAATACCCGGACACCTCACCTGGTGAGAGCTATAACGTTCGTCAACCTTTTCGCTCTGTTGTCGGGCTACTCTCAATGTGGGTTCGGTTGCTTACGCCAAGAATGCTTTTGTTTTTCCTGAGGAGGACCACACTTAAAGCACCCACATCGTTTCATTCTACTCCGCCCGCGGGTTCCCCGATTTGAAAATACCGTGTTCAGCTTCATATAAGCTTGAGCGCACGTAGTCCCAAGCACTCTCCCGCTGTAAGGCGCTAATTTCTTATGGAATTTAGGCGGGCGTTCTCGAACTGACGCTAAATCGTTGTGAACAATAATGACGCTAGCATAAATTACACGATCACTGACGAATCAATTTCGACATTACCTGACGCAAAGCTACAAATTACCGTAAAAAAGCTCACACTTTCGCTGCAAGGGCTAAGCAGCGAATGCGATAGCAACAACTTGGAATGTCACGCTGAGAACGGCCAGCAGATCGAAACGTGCAGCGAGCTGCTCACACACAAATGACGCACGAACACAACAAGCGCAGTGTGAAAGCGAACTAACAACGTTTACAGCTTGACATTTATCTGAAACGATGCACGAAACGTAATCACAGGTACAGATGACTGCAAACTAACAAGTGCTAGTTGTTACTTCAACGTGTCTGGAAAGAGCGCTCTTTTCGCAAACGGGGCCTGTGCAGTAAGCGAAGTGACCTTTGCGCGCCCGATAACTACAACGTAATCGTTCCGGTGAAAGTCCCGCGGCGTACAATTCTGCCGCACCGCAATAAGCACGCACAAGCATCTACTCCCCCTCCACACTCCCCACGGGGCAAAGTATACGTGGAATATAAGCGCGCGTCCCGAAGAGCGCTCCTTGCGCCATCTCACTGGTAATGCTGAAAACACGCTGGTATTTTCCCTAAGATCGGCATCACCAGCTGTAATTGGTGTAAATAAATAACTTGCCGTTTGCTCGTTGACGCACGAGCACCTTCATGTCTCCGGGGCTAACGCCCCTCGCTCAGGAGTGAGAGGTCGCACGTTCGATTACGCGGGCCGGGAAGTCTTTTCTGGGTTATATTTCTTGCTTGCGTTTCTATGCATATAGATACGTACACATATAGGGTGAATGACGGCGGCGACAGACGCCGGCGGCAAAGACAAGCCGAGAGGGTCCATATAATTGCCATCGCCTTAACAAGTCGCAAACATAACTTTCGCTGTCAGAGGTTATTTATTGGCTGTGGCTACAAAAAAAGATAAATTCTGTTGGCCTCGAGCAAGTATCGCATTTCTCCGATTCTTGAGAATTTCGGCCGCATCTTTGGAAACAATCGGTATAAATATAAGGCTAACAAGCATGCAGCGTTTATCCGACAAGAAGAGAATCTCGGTACGGATATTTGCGAACCCAGCGTGCGACGTGCGCGTTACTTTTTTTTTCAACGCTTTACCAATTGTTCGTTTGTTACGGCACTTGAAAAACATGGCACCTGGCAGCAAGTTCCGTCAGGTTCTTTGCCCCATTCATACGTAGCGATGAAGGCACCGGGGAAGATGAAACATACAGTCACTACAACATTATATAATTCTGAACATATACTAAGATTAATGTTACGCATTCGATGGCAGCATGAAGTGTGTGTTCATATTTACACGAAATATTCGTTTCTTCCAGAAACTTCTTGAAGGCGACACACGCTCTTTTCAGCATCCCTTTATCCCATGCCCATTACAGGGTAGCAAACCGGATATTTATTTCCTCACTAACCTACCGTCCTTTCCTCCTTACGTTTCTCAACGGTGTTTCCCTCACTTTCTCTCTCTCTCTTACAGCTCATCTTGCCTGGCATGAGTGCCGTAAGGCTTCGCCCTTCTTGTGCTGCATGAGTCGGAACTTCTCTGCGACAGCTATACATACTCCCACAAGAGTCTTACACACAAGAGGAGCGGCTGTCGCAGTTCCATGGCTGCAGACGCGAACTTATTGAAATCTGCACTTAATGCATAAAGTGCACACGACTCGCAATACCGACGCCTGTCCAGGATGTGATGCTATCCCCACCACCTTTCACATCACCGTAAAGTACACCGCTGCCTACTTCCCTCCCCTCTCCCCAATCCTTCGGTCCACCCGTCGTACTCTAGGGGAAGGCACCCTAAGGACGGTGCCCTTGAGGTCGGTTGGACGCTCGTTCGGCGGGCCTGGGCTATCGCAGGGTATGTAAATAGGAATTCTGGAATGGTGACCCAATCCGTTTTCTTTGCACTTAAGTAAAATGTTTTCAACGTGATCTACGGTCAGCACATCTATATATGCGTTCGAGGCCAAAGTACCAATATGTTGGCAGAATGCTGGCTTATGAATGTTGCTACCACCGACTAAATGAATAAGAAATGAATATGACGATTGGTTTTGCTAACGAAAGCTTTTTTTTTACTGCGAAACATTTCTTAGCGAACTTCGGTGACTTTGAGCGTATCTATCTATCTATCTATCTATCTATCTATCTATCTATCTATCTATCTATCTATCTATCTATCTATCTATCTATCTAGCCCCTTACGTTTGGGTGCTTTCGTGGTCACCCCATCTACTTGGCGTGAACCAAAATTAGCGTGACAGGGTAAGATGGTTTTACTAATACGACGCGCTTGTCAATACATGAATAACGTCGCAATCCCGTCGCGTACGTCGTCACACACTTCCCGCCAGACAGTGGCACATACCCACAGGCGGGTATGTGCCGCTGGTATGCGGGTATGTGCCACAGGTGATTGAAGCATGGTATCTGCTCAGGAACGACAAGAACACACACGGGCAATTTTTAACGAGCGAGTGTGAAGAAATACCCGACGTCGGTAGCGTCGGCCCGACGAGTCCCAGCTGGAATCGAACCTAAGCCTTCTGGGTGCCAATGAAACATTTTAGCACAGAGCTACGCCAGGTCTCGGGACTACTTTTCAAATATACGCTAATCTTTGTGAAACGTTAATAGTGGTTTCAGGGCTACCTACGCAATCTTATAAACATTACATATGTGCTATTTTGATGCAGCCGTCACGTCGGGTTAACGTCAGATGTGGTTAGTTGCCATGCGCTGGAGTTGATTTATGTAGCAGTGTCCAGGGCAAGCATCTTCGCGAGCATCGACGCTTCATATCAGCTTCTGGTGTTGCTAGTGTGCATGTTCCAGTTAACATCGTTGCACAAGTGCAAGCAACTGGTTATATTAACTTCTGCAGCACTTCAGCATATGTGTGTGTGTGCGACATTTGAGCATTAATTTAGAGTGATTTCATGACGTGTCACTCAAAAAGAAATGCAACATGGTCACCTTTCTTCCGCATGCTTCGCATAACGTGGATTCCCAGGTACGTGGGATCTGCCGAATTTTTTTGTCGGTAGTAACGCCAGGCACTTACTCCAGTGCGTTCACCCGCAGCTAATATATGTGCTATATCTATAGATATATGTGCCACTATACGCTAAGTGTTCAGCAGGCTTCGTTTGTTGTAACTAGACCACAGGATATTAGCTTGGCCAAAACTTATTTTTCTAAAATAATTTACGGAATCACCACAGGGTGCCGATTTCATTCGATCTCGAAGGCAATACCCGCAAAAGCCGAACAAGAGAGAGAGAGAAAGGTGTTCCGATGCAACGCCTCACATTATGCTCTGATACGTGTGCTGTTACGTTTCAATCGCACACATCTTATCCAGACTGCATTCGCCTTTGATAAGCCGATAGAATATGAGAAGCCATTTTATTTTATATATAAGAACTTGGCAAGACGTGAAGCGGCTTTTAATATTCGATCATCGTCCGAAGGCGCAACGCCCACGACTAACACGAGCCCAATGGGCAGCCAGGGATTCGATGTCAGCAAATTCCTGGACCGCGACGTCCACGACATCGGGGTTCGCTTCCCAGATTTGGAAGTCTTCGTTCCTTGCACGGTGCCGAGTGGCAGCCTCGGCAAGACCTCGGAACAATGCTGCAGACTTATCGAGTGGCTGCCCGTCTGGAACCGGGTGCTCTCCCACTTCGGCTTGCAGCTGCAGGAGCTCACGGCGCCCGGTGAACTGTCCCTGGTACGGATCTCCCACGTGGGAGACCAACAAGAAGTGCGCGGCCGCGACGCCAGGCTCCTGGTCCACGTCCTCCTGTCCCGGCACCGGTGCCTTGTGAGCATTCACCTGGACGACGCCCTGGTCGAAGGATGTGGTCTCCTGGAGTGGCGGGACCGAGTCATCATAACCCTTTGGCGCAACCGTAGCGTGCGGTCGCTGATCCTCGGCAGTCTATTCCACGACTACAGGTAAGCATTCGCACAATCGTTGCGGCATCTTTCGTGACGCCGGTGGTGGGCGAAGGTTTGTTCAGGATGGGCGCCAGACACTGGTGTCTCGTTGCTTTCTTTGTCGGAAATGACATGACGGTTTTCCCGGGTAGAGGGGGGAGGGAGGGGGCAAGGCAGAATTTTCGTTCTAGACTAAAGGAAAGGTGCACCGCCGCGAATAATTGACACCCATAGAATGACCCAGTTGTAAAAGCGCCCCCGACATTGCCGACGGCATAATTGCGGAAGTTGTATTGTCATTCTGTCTTTCGAGCTAGGTATCGCACCCTGGATTTTTTTTTTTTGGGTGAAAAGGCGTTACATTACTTCTGTAGTGTTGCTTCTAGGCTAAATTGATGCTGTATAAACGACAGCCTATTTCAGAAGCTGCTGTTCTTTAGTGGAAATATCACAACAACCTCGTGTCTAGAATAAATGTGTGCTATTTCTCAATGCACTGGCGTACGCTAGTACTTCGAGTGATATTCATGTTTCAAGTGTCAATGCGTTGGAACATTAATCACAATATTAACTCGCACGTAGTACCTTCCTTAGCAGATCATCGGCATCCTAAAAAAAGTATTCAAGTATTTGCGTTCTTGCATCTGTATCCATGTCACTGTAATCCGAGATACTTTTTCCTGTTAGGTCAAAAACAAAGAAATCTCAGTATCTGTACCTTATGATTGAAGCCCGTGTATTTCTTTATCTGTATTGTGGAATACTTCTCTGCGTATCGCTGCCCAGTCCTCTTTACGTTATAGCGGTCCTCTTTACGTTATTCGCATCCTCCGCGACTAGATTGCTATCCGACTGATTAAAACGCCTTCGAATAATTTAGACTGGAGGATGTAACCGTAAAGTACTAAGATGGGTTACTTCCGCGTGGACCTTCGCCGTATTTTGCACTAACTATTGAATCTGCACCGAAACTTTGCGTTCCCCCGCTCCGCACATTGCATACTGCCGTGGTGAAAACTGTAGAAGCAAACTCGTGTTCGCGGCTAGCTGTTGACATCCTTTGAGGCACCCCGAAATGGAGGGTGGGGGGAGGTAAGTGTTCCCCCTTAGAGTTTAAGTAGAAGTGGAGTTGAAAGGATGGGGGTGGGGGGCGGTCCCCTTGCCCGCATAACTTAGGAGCTGTAATAAGCGGTTAGGTTTTATTTCAGGCGTATAGACGTATATCACACTGTTGTCTAGCGCAACTGCGAAAAGAAAGCATATTGTGCGCTCGAATTGTGTACCTTGGCAAAGGGTTTTGTTGATAAATGCATCCAGCTTTTTATTTAGTCGCTGTGGGACATTACTTGTTTCGAGTGAATTGTCAGTGCAATCGAGGTAAACCTTCGATTGCTCTGACAAAGAAGCAGATAACCAGAGCTCTTCCACACAAATAACCTATAAACACAAGTGAGGTTTTTTTTGTTTTGCTGTTATTTCGCGGGTACCTTCACTATTGTCTCTGATCCCGTTTTCGCGCACAAGTGAATTATCTGCGATCCCGTAGGCTATTTTTTCGTTTTCGTTTTTTTCATATATCACGTTGACACGTGCAAGTTAGAAGAACGTCCACTTCCGCTTTTAACAAGCGCACTCACTTGTAGAATTTTCCAGTTGCCTGTCGCGATTTTCGGGCTTATTTAATTTTTTTCCGCAAATCTATTTTAGTGGTCATCACGTTCACCGAATAACGCGTTTGCCAATGACCTTATGCATTTGCGTGTTCAAGTCAAACGTACGTTGCTGGAATGAAGGTAGCCTTATTCCTGCACAGCCAAACATGCATTCAATCGAATGGAGATACTACTCTGGAGACAATGTTAAAAAATAATTGATTGATGTGTGAGGTTTAACGTCCCAAAACCACCATATGATTATGAGAGACGCCGTAGTGGAGGGCTCCGGAAATTTCGACCACCTGGGGTTCTTTTACGTGCACCCACATCTGAGCACACGGGCCTACAACATTTCCGCCTCCATCGGAAATGCAGCCGCCGCAGCCGAGATTCGATCCCGCGACCTGCGGTTCAGCAGCCGAGTACCTTAGCCACTAGACCATCACGGCGGGGCAATGTTAAAAAGTAAATGTGCTTTCTTTCATAGGTCATATTTTCGATTTACAAACTAATTGGTTATTTTTTTCAACTCCCCTTCGTACTTGAGTGATCTTAGTATTATATGCGATGGCAGTGCACATTAAAGAACACCAGATGGTTAGTTTCCGGAGCCCTCTACTACGGTGACCCCTTATAATCATTCAATTTTGGAGACGTTAAATCCTACATTTTACTATATTTGTGTTATAATAGAAATGCACTCAGAAATAGGAGAATAAATTTTCGTTTCTTTCGGGTTTCTCCGCGTAAAACACGTCGATTTTTCTTGGTCTTTTTTGTGATTGTTCGCTTTGTAGAATATGGAAACTATAATTGACAGTGAGCCCCAGGTTTTGCCGGTCTCTCGTCGTTATTTCCTTACAACACTGTTCACGTAGTTCCATTGTCTTTTCGTAGGTTCATCCAGGAGGAGTTGTTCTCGGCGATCGGCTTGACAACGAATTTGCAACGGTTGGAGATCACTGCTTCCGGAGAGGTTACCCCACGCCTTGTCGACTCGCTCTGTGTCCTCCTGTACACTGGCTGTCTGTCAACCCTGTCCATCCCAGGACTCTCCTTCGACGAAGAAGCCACCGAGCGGCTACTGGACGCTCTCCAAACGAACACCACACTCTTAGACCTGTCCTTGCCTGGCAGCGTCCTACGCTGCCGTAATTCGGCCGACGTGCCCAAGTTGTGCAGTTACCTGGCCTCTAAAGCGTCGCTGTGGCATCTAGCCATAATAGGAACGCATTCGAAGCCCGAACAGATGAGACAAGCCATTGCGTGTGTGCTGGCGGTACTGGCAGCAAGCGGCAACCTGCAGACGCTGAGACTTTCCGGCTTCCTGTTGGACGGGGACTGCGCGTGCGCGCTGTCCCGACTCGTGGCCCGACACGATGGACCACTGCAGCAACTGGACGTCAGCGGCTGCCAATGGACGTCGGGCGATTCGCCCGCCAGTGTTGACGCTGCGACTGATCGTGACCAACCGGACGCATCCCCTGCCGACACTGCACCTCACCTCTGGCTGGCGCCGTTCGACGATTTCACGCTGGTCACGCTGGAGTCGCTCTCGATCAACCTCGAGGGCTGCAAGCCGGACGACTACACGGCTCTCTTCATTGTCGCCGCCGTCATCGAGTCGCTCAAGAGGATTACGGTTACCGGCGTGTCGTTGAGCGAGCTACCGCGAGTCTGCCGCGCTATCCGCGAGGCCGGAGCGGGAGAAAAGGTCCGCATAAAGAACGAGTATCTGCTCGATTTAAAGAAGCTGGGCGCGCTTGACCACTGCCGAGAGCAAATCGGCGAGCTCGTCCTGAGTTGGCGCAGTGACCCGAGCGTGGACTCGTTTTGCAAGAGCGTGCAGCTCGTGTCTTCCTGGCGCCACCTCAATACGCTACGGCTCATCCTTTCGCAAGAGGCCCTCGATGACGTGTCCACTTCCTGGTCCTTGAGTGGCTACATCAAGACGGCTACCCGGCTGAGGGAGCTCGAGCTGGCGGGCTGTGACAATCCGCACCTAGGCGACTCCCTGGTGGCTGAGAATGGACCACACAGCCTTATCCTGGACGCCGCCTTCTCCAATGAGGGCCTGCGAGTTCTGAGACTTGGCGGGATTCGCCTGGGTGAAGTCAACGGGCGCTTTCTGGTCGGCGCGGTGCTTTCCAACGAGACGCTGCGCGAGGTCGAAGTTTGTTCCGGCGACGAAGGGGAGAACGAGGAGTTGCTGAGACTGCTCGCCGCAGATTTCGAGACCAATCGCACCTTATTGAAATGTGTCCTTCCGGAATGCGCCGCTCGCCATACGGAAGCCTGGACAAGAGCCAGCATAGAAGCCGTTATCAGTCGCAACGTGGGCTACGTCACGTGCGCCGCGCAATTTGCGGCCTGGGAGAAGGATCCGACGCGGTGCTCGATAGCCCTGTCGTGCATACCGAAGAGCCGAGCACTGATCGACAGGGTTCAAGAAATCGCCCACGTCGGCGAGGCTGAGGCGAAGAAATTAATTTTATCTCGTTCGTCCCAAGGTCGAACCATATAGAGGATTTCTTAATGGGTTCACTTCCAGCGAATTTCATGTGCAGTTAGACAAAGAAGGCCAAGATGCTTTCGGCTATTGTAAACTTCATTTGTCATTTTGTTTTTATTGGACTATTCACGCATACATGACGCCCAGTGCGGTAATGAGGCTACACGTTGATACCTCAGTGCTTTCACTGCAAAGGCTAATTGCTCGCTCTCGATGCACGCAGCTACTCTGTTACAGCAGTCCGGATTTTCTATACGGCCGGGCGCCGTCACGTCAATCCCATGAATATTTTTTTTGTATGATGTGTGTTCACTGTTATATCTGTAGTCTCTACTGGGCGTCCCAAATTGTTCAAATTTGACATCGACACTTTTAGCATTGACAATATCGAAGATTTTAAAGTCCGAAATAAACGCACTCTGTGCTTTCACCAATCTTCCTTGTGTGGTTAATTACGATAAAAATCGGGCACAATATATATGTAATGAGGTGTTGACATATGACTTGGTAGTATTAAAGTTGGAAAAAAAAAAGAAAAGCGCGTGGTAAAAAGGGTGCCGAAAAGACTGATGTGTCGGCCGCGGGATCGGCCTTCATCGGTGTGAGGTCCACACGTGGAACGGCGGCATATTATAAAACGAACCATGACTTATCACATTTCTTACTGGCTGTCTAGCGATTGGTAAAATGTGGCTATAGGGAAACAGTTTGCGTCATCGAGGGAAATACGAATACGTGCGTGGGCATTTGGCCAAGAAATGAGTTAAAGAAAATAATTAAAGCCACATTTGATGTCTTCATTACAAGCATTACCGATAACACGTCACAGGTTCGACTGCGAGCAGAGTGTCGACAAACATTAACGCGTGTGCAGCATTTTGTCCTGATCCGACAATGAAAATGAAATATAAAATATTTATCTGCGTGCCAGTACAGCAGCCATAACAGCGGGGAACATACAGCATTTTGGAAGCTTCATTGGTATAAATTTTGCCAGCACTGTTATTCATACTTCGATTGATATGGGGGGTTTAACGTCCCAAAACCACAATATGATTATGAGAGACGCCGTAGTGGAGGGCTCCGGAAATTTCGACCACCTGGGGTTCTTTAACGTGCACCCAAATCTGAGTACACGGGCCGACAACATTTCCGCCTCCATCGGAAATGCAGCCGCCGCAGCCGGGATTGTTATTGATACCTCATCTAACGACTTTAAACTTACATAATAAATACGACTCTCGAGTCTCTAGCGTTATATTAACATAGATAAATAGTTGCAACTTCATTACAGCTAGTAATAAATTAGAGCTTACTATAACAACATAGCTTCTTTGAGCCTTGTCTTATTTCAGCGCTGTTCAAACGAACATTTCAAAAAAGGGCCCCCACGTTTTTTTTTGTTCTATGTTTCACATTTCATTTGAAGTAATTACGATGCAGCTCAAAAACCCCAACTAATGACATCTATATGTTATTTGGCTTCGTTGTCTGCTAGGTTTCATTTGGTTGTTTCTACTATTGAAAATTAGCATTTCGCACGTTCACGATGAGCCAAAGTACACCAGAATCATAATTACGTCGTCTGCTATCGCCATTGTATAGTGTATTTGGCAAATTGTTTTGCATACAGTTGATGGTTGCGTGTAACCGGCGACTTATATACCCGTGATCATGGAATACGTCGTTGATGGCACCTCGCATTTTGCTTGAGATATAGTGTTAGCTTAATTGTTATCACTGCCTAGTTTTAACGGGAGTCCTGAGACGCTCTTTCGTCTGCATTCTGCAGCGCTGCAGTTCGTTTAGGGCCGAATGCCGATATGATGTAAACAAGAATTATTTTTATGAAATCGGTGCACAGAAATGGAAGTTACAAGCTTTCAAACTTAAAAAGGCTAGCAAACCACGATAGAGGAAAAAAAAAAAAAACGTTTCCTTTCGCATTTCGCTCTCTCGCTGACGTCAAAGGCATAGTTACAAATCACCGAACGCCTCTTACAGAGCCGTACCGGACACCTTCTTTCGTGGTGGTCATGGTGCAGCACTCCTAGCATCGTTTTGCGATTGTTTTCACATTTTAAGATTTCGAAACAGAAACTATTTTGTGTCCGAAGTACAAAGAGTGCTTTTATAACCTTTAGTGCACAATAGTGTGGCCTATTTGTGACCGTACGAACATTACGCGTGAATTGTGGCGTCGAACCAATCAAAACCTAACGCAGGGAGATATATGTCGTCGCTCCCACGTGATGAAGCGTCGCTCCCGATCGCGAAAGTATACGCTGTGTGTCACTCGGCAAAGCGTGGTATCACCCTTGAAATGATACTTTAACAGTTTTATTTTTGGCGCTGCCACTTGCGCAAAGATATCTGTGTATTTCACAGTTCCAGAAGAAGAGATGAAAACAACGTGCTCAATTTTTGTCGCAAGGTCCCTTTAAAAGCGATTCCCACTGGCGAGGTGACAGTTATTGAGGGTATGTGTACAATGAGGATTAACAACAACAACAACAACAACAACAACAACAACAACAACAACAACAACAACAACAACAACAACAACAACAACAACAACAACGACAACAACAACAACCTTCTGGAGTAGAAGCTCCCGCATGCCTGGCCAGGAAAAGTGAAGCCAACTACTGCTCACCAAAGATCCCGAAACATGCTCTTTTCTGGTGGCGCCCACATAGAGATCCACTGGCTTTGATCTATTAGCGTAATCGTTATGTTAATTATAAATTAGAAAGTTATTTCCTCCCGACAAAGTAATACATGTAGACGAGTATAGGAGACTTGACCTTTAACAAAACTTGGCTAAGATTCGAGGCTTACTAAGGAAAACTATTAACACAAAGACGAATTTCGAACACCATGTGGCATGAAAGTAAGTTTCCGCTTTAAATCGTTTGGCTTTGGCGTGCAAAGAAAACGCATTTGGAATTCGTTAAGCTCGCGAGTGTGCGCGAGGAAAACGCTTTTAAAGTAAGAACAATTCTTTTAGCAATGGCTCAGTGCTCTCCCATAGTTGAGTACGAAGTACTCGAAATTGTTAAACATTTTTTCTAAACACATTTTATTATGCCCCCAGTAAGGGGGCGGCCGTTGTCGTCATATCTCATCTTGAGGTGGATGTCGCTTCACTCTTGGGCGATAACTACCAGTCCATGGAAGTTATCGGCCAAGAGTAGAGCGACATCCATTTTTCCTTTTTATTATAATGCACTGCGAGCGCGCCCGCACGAGGTGTGAAGACTTCGGACTATAGGTTCTATGCATCCTTGATAGCATGACGCCGTTCCTGAAAGGTGGTCGTCCACCAGGGTGGCATACAGTGGTTTATGGTTCTCGGCTACTGGCCCGAAGGTGTCGGTTTCAATCGCAATCGCGGTGGTCGCGTTTGGATGGACGCAATATTCTAGAAGCCCGTGTCTTGTGCGACGCCTGTAGGCGTTAAAGAACACGCTTCCGCAGCCCTACCCCACGGCATGGCTATCCCAGGAACTACGAACATCCAGGGAATATCCCAGGAATTACGAACACGACTATAAGTAAAGCAGGCATCAGACACTGACATTCGAAGCCCGTGTAGCAACTTCAACTGATTTTGCAGACATTATTTGTAAACGTGAAGCTGTTTCGCCACACTTGTTTTTTCTTTAACGGTGAAGTGGCGCAGCAACAGTTAGGTTATATAGATCTGTCGCGTTTGTGTGCAAAAAAAAAAAAAAAAAACAGAAGGGAAGAAAATTGATGATGCTTTTACGAAGATTCGATACAGCAAAACTAAGCTATTCTGAGGACCAAATTGATATGCTGAGTGTTCAGCTGATAACATTTGGTCTAGCCAGGCCGAAGGTACCCACAAAGGTAACCCAACTCGTCATTTTTGGGGACATTAGCAAGGCCTGGCCAAGCAGAGAAAAACATGTTCTCGGTGTAAAGATAGGCCCCACGCGTTAATATATCTACAAAGTGAACGCAAAACTGTACGCATTCTTCGGACGAGCGTTTTGGAAGAAATTGCTATGCCAGACCTCATAGCAACTCAGCCAGCAGGAGAAACCCATGATGCGTTGTAAGAATGAGTGTACCCTCCTGCGGTAATCAATTGAGAAATGACTGGCAAGTAGTTTTTTGTTATCTGCGGCGCCTTTTCTGCGACTCAACATATCGTTTTTAAACTTATCGTGGTCGTTTTAGAAAATCGATTGACGAATTTAACATCCTTAACTTTCCGTCCATCTTCCCACTTCTTTTTTTTTTGATTACACATACATGATAACTTTTGTTTGATGCGTTGAGAGCAAATATTATAGCATGCCTGCATAAGGCTATCTTGAGTGTCGCCATGCAGATTTCGAGAAACCATTTCCCACGCTAGTTTCTTTCAACCGTGCAACTCTCATACCAACGCCAGCTCAGGAGCTGCGGTCAAAACTACAGCTGACAAATGTGAACTTCGAGGTTACCACATCATGTTCCGAGTCATATGGCTGGCCAGGCTGCCCTTTTCAGGAGGGCTGCGCTAACCTGTAGGCTACTTCTGCGACTGATTAATCACCCAGGCGCTTTGTGCCTGACATCTGTAGAAAGCCGTAAAGCAGTGGGAAAAAGTTACTAGTGACTAACTTCTACGATCGACGGAAGTTGACGCAGTGTGCAAGTATGGGACCCACAGGGATAACTTCGGAAGATGAGGTGGCGCCGAACACTGGCTACCTCGCTGACGAACTTCAACTGACCTGCACCCGCCAGAACAACCGTGTCTGTCAACTGCTGCGACGCCTGACATCCTGCAACGAAATCCTATGGCACGCAGGCCTACACCTGAAAGACTACGCTCCAGGAGACCTCGGGGAAGTTAGCATCGCCGCGGTACCGGTACTTTGTCGCGGCTTTCAATGCTGCCGCTCCTCAGAGCCCGACGAGAAGTTGGCAGAGCGTCTCCTATGCCGACTTCTGGCAACGCACAGATGCATCGTTTCGGTAGAGGTGAACTACTTCGTCGCGAAGAACAGCAACTTGCTCGAAGCCCTGGCGTCTTCGACGAGCGTGCGAAGACTCAGAATCTTCGGCATTCCTAGCAGCGAACCGGAAGTCCTCAATTCACTCGTCGGAGCGATCACGTCTATGGACATCGTCTCGTATTTGGGGTTCCTTGACGGTTATGAACCGTGCGAAGCCAAGATGGCGATCCCAGTTTTAGCGTTGCAACGACCAAGTTGTAGGATGACGAGGCTTGACATGGCAGACCTGGAAATGAGCCCGCACATGTCCAAACTTCTCATCGACGCTCTCGATGCGAACGACACCGTGACGGAGCTGGCCGTCGGGGCTTCCGTCTTCGCTTCGGGTCCAGTCGACAGGCCTTCCGAGTGGTTCGCGCAGTATCTGACCAAGTCGATGCTACAAAAGCTAGTTCTAAGA